CGCGAACTAAAAGGGATATCACTGACGTTTATGACAAAATGGCGGCAAAATATTTTTACGGACTTTTTGGTGCTAGTAGGACCGTATGTGAGCAGCCCTAAAACTTTCAGCTCGCTACTACATAAATTCCTGCACGAGTTACGAGCCAGATAGAAGAATTTGTTTGAAACGAGCTCGAGATTCACACGCTCCTTTCTTAATTTAGAAAAGGTTTCATTAGTGAAGTACGCGCATACGGGTCAGAAGGAATGTCAGTTTTATACATACAACCTACAAAGACGTAGCATTTTTAATGTAATTAGAAACATGGACGCAAAAATGTACCACGTTCTGTAATGATATATTAATGGTTAAATATTTAATAGTTTCTTTGTTCCATTCATATACGATATAGAGTGTGAAGTGAGGATTTTTACGTATTTTTGAATATCCAAAGCCAAAATAGGGGTCGACAACAAAATGTTTATAAAATATTATATGCTTGTCCATCTAAAAAAAAGTAAAAAGGGGTGAAATTTTGGTAACTTTTCTTTTGGTTTATGTTCTTTGGTTAGCTAGTTTAAGATATATTATATCTTGTCTTTAATTTTAATTGCTTCTACGTAATAAATACTATTACGTAATATACAATACGTTAAATATTTTATACAATATGATTACTATGAATTACAATGACATCATATTATCAAACGCATTTATTATGCACAGTGTTAAGGCAATCTTTCCCAGAAAGACAGTATATATATTCAAGCTACGTACAATTTACCGAGACTGTTTAAGTTATTTGATAGAATTTAAGTTTATTTTAAAGTGTATGTAACTGGTTATATAAATAAAAAATAATAAAGGTTGAAGGTGAACTATTTATCAGGTAGAAAAGTACACAATCGTATAGTTTATATACTCTTTTGCTGTCTAGAAACGTTTTCACTTCAATCAATAAGTCCAAAAAAATGCATTGAATGCTTGTTATTTTTTCCCATAGTTGGAGCTCAAACCCACAACGTTTGGCCTGCATTACTCAAATGGTATATGCATCTCTTGCGCAATGTAGTATCGTGCGATAAGTATCTAATACTTATATCTTATAAAGATAATTTAATTCTAAATGTAAACGGACTAAACGCTTGAGAACCTAAAAGATACTTATAATCTAGGTTTTTAAGTCAAACTGTTTTAGAACGATCTTTTACCCTTAGCGTCGTTCGCGCGTCTTGCAGAAAAATGCCATAAGGTTGAGACGCTAATACATTGAAGAATGGGCCTTATTTTCTTGTAAACCTTTTAACTAATATTCTTTAAATAAAACACTTTAACGGTTTAAAACGCAATATATTCAGGGAGTCTCCTTATGACCACGGCTGCTGCAAAGCATCCGAAACGTCGGGCCGTAGTTAAACATAATTTTCAAAAAAGTTTTATATATCGCTTTTTAAACCGTTAAAGTGTTTTATTTATATGTGTACTACTCGCGTAAACTATAGACAGTAGTAATATTCTTACCTTCATGAAGTAGTTATCCGCCCTTATGACTGTGTGCTAAAAATAAATTGGTAGCGAGGTGTACGGCAAGGACCAACACATAATTCTCATAAATATGGCTTAGGCAAATAATAATTCTGTTGGCAATTCATAAAAGTTAAAACTGTCCTCTAATAAAGGGCCGCTGTTGTTCTCATTAAACTAGTTAACCCGAGGGGTTGCTTGTTAACCACTGACTACGATGAACACTTGACGTAGCCATAAGTGTACTTAATAAAACCGCATTGAATTCTACAGAAGTTGTATGCTTATCATTTGAACATACATGTACGTACAGCGTTCAAAATCCTACAAAGCGTAAATTATATTTGTTCGTATAATGAAAAATATCTAACTGTACTATCTAATTTATATACTGATATTATAAAGCTAAAGAGTTTGTTTGTTTGAATGCAAAAATCTCAAAAACTACAGGTTCGAATTTAAAAAATTTGTACACCGAAGGTTATATACAGGTTATATCTCGTAACATCACGCTGTGACCAAAATGAGCAAAGAGAGTTGAAGAGTGAGTAATATCGGGGAAAATCCTTATCTTTGAGGGCTCCCTTTGCGTGGGAAAACGGTTCAAGAAGCCAAAATATACAATATATGAAACAATGAATCCTTAATAATGATCTAAGAATCGTCCGCGACAGTCTATCTTTTAAGATTACCGTCGCAAGAGCCGTGTTTATGACAATCAAATTTGGTCAAAATTAATGCATTATTACCAATTATTTGTTAGACTTGTTATCAACTTAATAATATTAATTAAACAACATACCTAGCTAATCTACTAGATTTTATTAGGCCTGCCGAAATAAGCAAGCCGAAGTTTAAAGTAAAGTTTTTCGTTCGAAGATATATTTTAATCTCAGTCTAATGTATGCGGCATCAGCTGTGTTCCCTCCGGCTTATTATGAATTATGTAAGATGTTTATTCAAGGAGATTGTGCATGTAACAGCTACTGAAGTGTGTTAGCTTAGATAAGAAAATGAGGAAATTCGTTTTATTGTAACATCAGTGGAATAGTGTTATAGAGGATATCAACCTAACCTAAATATTATAAAGTAATTTTAATTAAGAAAAGTGTGTATAAACTAAATCTCTAGCCGGCTTTAACAGCTTTAATAGATCAGTCGATGGTTGACTTGATGGTATATGAAATACCCCAGCCATATAATATGTAAACAAGATGGGCTGTCGATCTACTTTGGATTTGGATATTCGGAAATCTACAGACTGAAACCGAACGAGTTTAAACTTGGCGGCTTTTTCTTCTGTTGACGGTGGTTTGTGACCCGAATACGTTTCTTTTAGTAGGAATAAGATATTACATAATAAAGATGCCACAGTGGAGGACAGACAAGCTAGAGGCCCACTCGATAGAAGACCAAGTCCTCAAGCCCGAAAAAGTAAAAGTAGCGTAGAATAGAATTCCAATATCGTGTCTACGGATAATCATAAAAACTTAAAAATTTAAAATCTTTCATGTTCAGTCTTTTTCAACCAGCTTTGTTAAAATATTAACCGAATAAACAGAGACCACAATTGAAACCAGTGCTTGAATTATTACAGTTAATTAGAGAATCAATTAATAGCGCCGACAAATTACGGAGCATTGGACGTAATTAAAAAGCATCGAAATTCAAACTACGACGCAGACAGGAAACGTCACGCGTTGTCCTAACGAGACAGAATTAAATATAAGCATGAATCCCGTCTTCGCTTACATGATTTAATAATTTTCCTTCATTCACTCGACGCGCCTTCTCAGAACACTGTGTGGCGTGTGACAAGAGTCCTGATTAACCATGACTCTGTCGGGACCGCCTTTAGTCTTTTAGCCCGAGATCCGGCTACGTCTTTGCATAAAAAATAGAAATTCCATATGAAAATATTTATAATCTGTAACGATGCATTATTTCGTACTAAAAGCTGTCACAGAACAAATGACAAAATGAACCGGCATCCACAACGATCTGTGTATTGATTAGAGCAGCAACTCTACCAAACTCATGACACGGTAGCTCAATTGGTAGAAGGTGGGTTGGTACGGTAGCTCAATTGAGGATCGTTTTTTACAATTAATATAATGCTAAAAATTATATGTGAAAAATAATAAAGTTTTCAAAATGCAATGTTTACGTTAGATTACAAAAGAAAGTTTTGTTTAATTAAATTAGTATAACAATTAACAAAATGTACTGTAAATATTAACAAAATAAATAGTAATTATTGAGCTCACGCGAGATGTCGTAGACCTTCTACGAGAATCTATAGAAGTGGGCTCTTAGTCTATTTTTCTCTATTCATAAAAGGAATATCACCACTTTCAACGTATCCGCACTTGATCAAAGAATATTCTAACGAAATCAAATCCTATTCGGTATTATATAAATATTGAATGACCTTATGCGCTACGGGAGTTAAAAATATCTCGCGTGGAAGTTTCGGAAGCAATAAATCGAGTTAATTAGTCAATTTAGCTTTCCAATGAAAACTTTGATTGGGTTCGCTTGTGGCGTGGGTGAAATTAGGCTCTCCGATAACACGATATATATTGACGCTGTAGCTCTAATGGTTAAAGTGTAGTCTCAGTGCGGGAGTTAAAATTTCGGATAATTGATCAAAACAAACACGATAACTGTGTTTGCGCCGATGCCTCAATGGCGAGATACTATACGTAACCGAAAATATTAGTTACGTATACATTTTCAAGAACAAAATCCTCTTCCAGCACTATTTATTAATGTCACAGGTTTCTTTATGCAAAGTAGCGTTATTTACGATAAAGTATCTTGTATGCGGCAGTCTTTAGATTCTAGAAGGGTGGTGCCGCACATACGTGAGAGTGTTTACGAGTTAGGGCATGTGGGAATTTTATCAATAACTGCTAATCACATTCTCGACACCTATAAAATATTTATTAGGCGGAGCAAAGGTATTTGTTCATTCGGCCCTGGTTATGTACCTGTCCATAATACGCCAAACAAAACATGTATTATTATTATAATAAATAAAGGGTTAATTATGTTTTTTTGTTGATACACCTGGTAGCTAGGCAATATGGTTTCGAACTTACAGTTTCCTTGGTTCAAGTCCATATATGTCCTAGGTTTCAAAAAAGAATATTCCATTCAAAAAAACATTTTAACGGTTTGAGACGCGATATATATGAATTAAACTTGTTTGAAAATTATTTTAGACCACAGTCTCCCCGCGATGCAACAGTTGCTGCAAAGCATCCGTAACGTCCGCCCGTAGTTAAAATAACTTCCAAATAAGTTTATTTAATATATTTATCGAGTTTTAAACCGTTAAAGTGTTTTATTTAAATATGTACCACTCGCTTAACTACAGACAATATTTGAGAATATACCATCTATTTCGAAAAAGAACAAAGACTTTTGCGTAATTAAAAAAAAACGTCTAGTGTTCACAAATATTACCAAGGGTGTTAATGTTTCCTTACCTTTTCGCAAACGCTCCGACATGTTCCTGTGGCCTTATCGCAGCACGCTGATATGTCTGCAATGAGAAATAGCCACCATTAGTCTTCCGAAGCTTACGAAAACAGCTGCGACGACCATAAACCCACGACATTTACAACTACCTTTTGATCTATTCCATAAGATGCGTTTGAGAGCTTTGACGCAATTAAAATTAGTGTCGGCAATTATGTTGAGCGATTTCAAGATTGATGACACTCTATTGTGACACTACTTACATCAGTCGTTTTATGATAAGGTAATTAAATTTAGGCTTGAGTTATAATACAAAATATGTATAAACTCAGTCTCTTAGTTTTAAAACGAGGCTTGTAGAATCTCATCATGCTGCAAGCCTATGGACCGAAGACACAATGATCGGGCAAATTATTTTCTTTTTTCTTTGATATAATATTATAGATTAACTCGCATGAACCGTTTTATTTATTTTTTTGTTTTTATTAATCAAATTTAGTCGAAATTAATATGTCGTTACCAATTGTTGATTAGAGTTGTATCAATATAATTAGAAAAATCTTGCAAACAACAAAATAACGTGTACCAAGTCAGCTACTATGTATGTTTGATCTGTTATCTTTTTTCAAAGGTACATGATAGCTTTATATGTATAAATTAAAATTTTCTATTCAGATTGCAAAAATCTAATGACACAGGCGGAACTCAAATCCACTCTTTTCAGCGTTCCGTTGCACTACAAATTAAGCTACTTCGCTATTTAGTAGAGCAATGGCAAATATGTATTTACTTTAAAATGCTACTTTACTCGCATAAAAACATAGGCAACATGCAGAACTGCATGCATGTTAAACTTCCGACATATGCAATTATTTTGTACTGCATTACAAGTTACACCGAGGTAATAATTTCCGATAATCTTATGCCGATTAAGAATCATAAATAATTTAGAGAAAGCTTAATACGCACTAACTTGTTTTATGAAAATAATATACACTTTCGATGACTTAGGAAATGTAGGTGATTTGTTGATATTAAAAGAAGATATTTATTATTAATATTGCGTTTAAGATGAAGCAAAAAAATGAGCAACACTGCTCATATTCTTCCCTTAGTTAATTCTCTTGGTTCTACTCGCGTCAAATATATATGATAAATATGCACCATCTTGATATCAAACTAATCGTATAAACAATGACACATTAAAAAATAAATGGAATCTGTTGATTAGGTACAATAGAAAATCTCAATATAAAAAAAATAATAATTTGTTAATTAATAAAAAATAAAAATAACAGTAGGTAATCTAAAAAAGTTAACCTCAATCAAATAGTTTTCACCTGTTACGGTAAGCGATATTTTTTTTTTTGTTTTACTATATAATTATATATAACATATCTAAAAGATTGTCTACTATTTTTCTATACAAGGCACTCCATACATTCACTTCTCGTTTTTGTTCGAGTAGAATAGCGTTTTCAAAAGCGTACGGCTGGAGTCATTTCAATGTAACTCCGACAGACTTATTGCATTCAATGAAATATGAAATTATGTTTTATTTGCTTTGAAATTTTTTAATGCTAATTTCATTGTAAAAAACTGCGTCAAATGTTCCTAGTTCGAGATTGAAATTTAGTTTAAAAAACGAAACTTATTTTAAAAAAACGCTCGAGTTTATTTATAAAAATTGATGTGAAAAGCTTCTATAGTTTCCACACAACTGTTTAAAGTACTACGAGTATGAATGTTACAGGTTAAATGTAGCAAAGCTTTGACACACAATTACTCGTAATATGTAATTAAATAGTCTCAAAATTGCGGAAAATTCAGGGAAAAATTATCGTTTGCTGCATAAGCTTTTAGATACTGTCTGTAGTAACGTCGAGCAGTACGCATTTAAATAAAAACAGCAACTCCCGAAACGTCGTAACTAAAATATATTGCGTTTTACATCGTTGAAGTGTTTTATTTAAATAATCTTTTAGGACAATATCACACAAATATGAACTAACTATCATACAAAGATGAACTAAGCTATTTAGTTTGAACAATAGTCAATACCAATGTCATAATAGTTTTAACAGTTGTTTTAATTATGTATTTACTACTTTTATATTGTAGCGGATAAAAAAACTTCAAATAACTTTCTTCAGTCGCATCCGATTTTAATGAAACCCAATCTATGTTGCGCCAAGCTGAGCTATTAGATACATTATTTGTGCTGTAATATAGAAATCATTGTGTAAATATAGAAATAAAGTAACTTTTACTCGTTCCATTAACTCTTATTTTGTGTTATATTGATTTTTAGAACTAATATTATAAAGCTGAAGAGTGTTTTGTTTGTTTAAAGCTATATTAGGACTACTGTTTTTCACACAGCGATGAATTATAAAAAATATGAAATTAGACCCAAAATAACTATTCATCGTGGACGAAGCCGTGGGCACAGCTAGTATAGACATAAAGTAACCATAACTCTTCCTATTAACTCTTATTTTTAATTAATACATTTTAACGGTTTAAAACGCGATATATTCAAGGAGTCTACCTGTGACCACGGCTGCTGCAAAGCACGGAAACGTCGGGCTGTGGTTAAAAATAATTTTCAAATAAGTTTTATATATCGCGTTTTAAACCGTTAAAGTGTTTTATTTAAATGTGTACTACTCGCGTAAATTACAGACAGTATTTAACACTTATTTTGATTTCTATTGATATGTTAACATAGTATATAGATAAGTATTTCCTACCTCGAATGATAAATGGAAATTCTAGATTCTGTAACTGAATTTGTTAACTGCGGGCGCAGGCTTAATTAGTAGGGCGTGCGCGTACGAGCCCATTTGCGTCGGATAAATAAATTAGCTGATTGGTTGTTTCCATTAAGCTCATTATCGATGTCCGGCATGAAGGTCCAACGGTTGTCAAATGAATATCTGGTGCGTTACGCGTGTTACTTAAAATACATTTACTTTTTTTACTGTAATAATACCTATGCGCAAATACGCATTTATAGATAAACATGGATTGGTATCCAACCATGGATGGATGGATAGTAGAACACGCCTTTTGATACACTGTAAGATTAAATACTGTCTATAGTTTACGCGAGTAGTACACATTTAAATAAAAAACTTTAACGGTTTAAAACGCGATATATTAGTTAAACTTATTTCGGTATATTTATTTTCGAAACGTCGGGCCGAAGTTAAAAATAATTTTCAAATAAGTTTAACTAATATATCGCGTTTTAAACCGTTAAAGTGTTTTATTTACACTGCAAGATTCCTTTTTTTTATTGTAGTTTCAAATTCTACATTATCTCTATTAAATGTTATTATTATTTTTATTCTTGAGCCCCTATTCTAACGCGAAGTTATGCGTACCTACACTTGATAGAAAACAGAATAACCCAGCTCTATAAAATACTTTGTCTTTGTATTCCTTGTATATATTATAATATTCTTTTTCATTTAACATTTCGAGAGCTTATTTTTTATTCTTCGCTATAGGTGTTCAACAAAAACTACTGCAACACAAGTTCGCCAAGCCAGGACGCTGTGCGGAGAAACTTCGATAGCTCTGAGGAAATGAAGGTCGGTTTACATATTCAGACGACACCCTCATCGACCCTTAAGTTCCCACCTAAGATGTCTAGGAGTTATGGAAAATATTTTGTATGGAATAAAATACAACTGTTATGTTATATTAATGTTAGTAAATTCCTAATTAAAAAAAATAAATGGTTTCCTCAACATAAAGATTACCTTGTGAATTAGCGAAAGCTAACGAGAATGCTGAAAAAATCAGCCTCCATCTCCAATGTGCCCCTCGCACCTTCATTCTTCTCCTTATATCATGTCACCACCTCACTTCACCAGCATATCTGTAATTTAAATAAATCACTAAAAAGAAAATATTGGAATAATTTATTTGGTATCAATGCACTGGATCCCACCGGGTCCAAGATGTTTCTGATCAATTTATAATTTTTCTGAAACATGTTGGACTTCGTCAGAGAATTTGGATATCAAACGGGTAGTTGGCATATCAAAATTTCGTCCGGATCACGAACCTCCGCCCTCAGATGAAAAAGTTGTCTAGTTTCATCGTGTTTCGGTTACAGTCTGTGGATTTGCGAATATCTAACGCCAAATCAAGTCTAAGTCGACATATTGAGATGTTATATGGCTGGGATATTTTACTTTCCACCATGCTTGTCTGTTCTCCAATATCATAAAAATACATCAGGACCATTTTACATCCATTACAATATTAATGTCAAAGAAGATATCCCATATAAATGTGGTACTGACAGCATTTCCACTGAAGTCCTCTTCTAGATGTCAAAATAAATTGAATATTATATTACCCACCGTTTGCTAAGAGGGGGGAGGTGTAATTAAATCGCGTCACTTACGTAAAGAAATGTTAATGCTATTGACATTCTATTATATCATAATATGGGCTATTTAAAATAATTTAGAAAAATTATTGTTTGTTTAAGGAGTTTTGTCGTTTAATCTGAGGTTAGTGACGCTGATCAACGGATTTTTCTTTAAAAAAATACTTATACGTTAATAACCCGATTTGGTAATTCCTTACGCAAATGTTTAAAACCATCGTATCGAAGTTATAAATAGAATTTTCATTTGCGGTTGCAATTTATTTTCGTAATCTCAAAAGTTGGGAGGTCCGTTTTATCGGGAAATTCGTAAGCTAGCAATAAATCTTAGCGAAAAGGGGCATGTTGCCATGTACTCTGACACCTGCTTCGAATGTTTCACAAATGAAAAATGGCTTAAGAGCAATCTACTTTTCACCCTGCTGAATCTTGGATTTACGTAGAAAAAAACGTTTTTTAAAGACTGTCGGCATAGCTTACTACCTAGGTAACATAGAATTATGTTTGGTTCTTTCTTGCTTCGAAAACCGAAGAAACTTAATATATCATGTATATATTTATAGTTTGTTTGGTAAAGAAGACGCATAGGACGCACGGACATTTTCTCCATGACCGATATTACAATAGGAAAGCTAATTTTCACTTACATGAATTTACTAAAACTTACGAATAATTTCAGAAAAATATTTCTTGTTCTTACATTGTGCGTAAAATATAATTTGCTTGAATATCTATTGATTACTATAATATTTTATTTTAAAACAACTAACCCATAACTCAGAACATAGCTAGCTCACGTAAGCTTTATCTCAAAAAGTTTTCCCATAAATAAGGTTTAGCTTTCGGTCGGAAAAGTTCTAAAGCTATAGCCCTGTCGAATTCAAATAATGGCACAAGTTCTTTGCAGTCTTTTTACTATTTAGAAGCGTTAATAGTAAAGTTAATATAAAGCATTATTTAAATAAAAAATATAATTTTGTATTGAGTTATAGAACATAACAGTGCATACTTATTAGAAGGACATTATTACATTGTACATTAGCTGACTGTATGTCTCATAATAATTTATAATCATTTCCATTAACATTGTAAATTTTTCTACCGTGTCAATTACGTATATGTCACTTAATAAAAATTTAGTAATACGGTGTTATTGTTAAGAGATGCCTTTAATCATACACAAATTATTCTTATCAGTTACTATAACATAATTACTTCTTATCTTTACTATATTGTGTACATATTTACCATTTTCCTCTCATATGTTAACAGAAACAATGAAATTAGCACTAAAAAGTATTTAACATTATGCTACAGCACTATAAAAAAAACACAGATTACGAAATAAAAGTTCGCGCGCTTTTACGATACTATCGAAAACTTATTCCCACCCACAACCTCTCTCGCGCCAAATTGACGCGTAACTAAATAGACCGGCATAAATTCATTCAACTCCAGCTTATTCTTTATCTCGCTCTCTCATCAGCATTTCCGTATATGACTATCGCGTAAAATGCTTCCGCTTGATGAACCCTATTGAGCTCGTTAGTCATTAATTAATTCTGCATAAGAAAATTACTTTTAATTTAAGATGGTCACAGATGTGTCGCTGATGAGTCTGGCCAGAAGTGAAGTGTTAAACTTGACGGTCAATACAAAAGTCATGTGAGTAATATTTCAATAATCAAATCCAGTGATAGTTTATTTCTCAGTAAATGTTTTGTTGCAAAACGCGAGTCAGTAATAATAACATACCAGAAAAAAACAAACAATATTTTCTTATTTCTGAACATTTTATTTTATTTTTAAAACTCTCACGTCATGAAATTTAAAAAATCTAAGCAATAGACATAGATGTTACATATTACATTGTTCTATGCCGTTCCATTGTTGTCTATGCCGTGGTTTACTGTTTTAATAAAAATCTAAACAATGTTTCACAATTATAATAATTTAATTCTCGTCCGAAACAAACTTTGTCCGCAAAGCAAAATTTACTACTGTTTTTCAAGTAAGAAATTTTCACAAACCGTTTCGCTTCGTATTTCTTCATTACAAACGAATAAAATGAAGACAAACATTCTTTCATTTCGCTGTGCCACTGTTTGTGATACTATATTTTGCCTGTGAACATACTTTTAGATCTAAGTAGTGAGATAAGTTATAAAAGATTATATCCTCAATACATGCTATCTATTTTTTAAAACAAGCTTTTAATAAGAAAATAAAAGTAACAATGTACAAAAAAGTTGTGATATGAAAAAACATGAAGAAAGACTTTAGTCAATCGAAGTACTAAATACTTTGTTATATAAGGTGATTCGTTATAAAATAAATACCTATATGTAAAAATAAGCTTATATTTTTTAATTAACTTATAACAACTAATCAGTATAATACCTAACTAATTAAATATAATAACTAATAATACTAATAAAAAATTCGAAGGCGAATACTTAAGTTACCTTTTAACCTATGCGCCATATGGAACGTTACTTGTTAACGCAGGTCTTTCCGCATCAAGTGTTTGAGCCTTTGCCATAATGATTTACAAAAGGAACACTTGGCGATCATAAAGTGGACATTCGAATTATAAAAAATTGGCGCCGACGCACTTTTCGTTTCAAATGTTCAATGACGTTCCAAGTCACGTACTTAAACAAGTTAGAAAAATATTTAAAACAAATATAATTAATTAACAAAAAAAAATATTTTATTAGTCGACAAAAAATGTACATTTAGACATTTTATCCTATATTATGTCCTGGTTACGAGAATATTGAAAACTAGACAGTAGACGCCACACAGGTACGGTCGAGTCGCAGACACCCTGGGGACTAATTTGCAGTCATTAATATAATGTTAGCAAAGACTTGCCAGCTTTAACCAAAATAGATAATAACGTAAGAAGTAATTATGGTCACTTATTCTTTGTTTTTGCCAGACGTGGGTTTCATTTGATAGAAGATAAAATATCCTAGCCCTGTAACATTTAAGAACGGCTGTATTTACTTACCATCAAATAAGGATCGTACCTACTTGTCTCTCCTCCTTTAAAACAGCATAAAACTCCGGCTCCATTGGCGTGAATATTCATGAGGTCTGAGAAATTTATGGAAATATAAAAAAGATTAATGTATTCCCTCGATATTCATGTTACACAATTTTCTCACAGACAGGTATATAAGATAGACAACATTGATGCAAGCTTAGACTGACCATAGCGTTTAAATAAATTCCGTAGCGTAGCCACGTAGATCCGAGAAAATTCTCATTCAACATGAATTCCCGAAAGGCTTTAGTGCTTCATAAAAGCGAATGGGACAGAATAAGAAGAATGCACAACGATGTAAAAATAAATAGCTATGGAGATTATATGAAATCGTTGAATGAGATATCTCAAAGTTGGATAAAATCTTGGCCAGACACTGAGGAGGTATTTTAATTTTCTCGGATTTTAATTCAAACTATAACATCGTAAATGTCTGCATTACATTACGTTTTAGGGACACGTTAATCTCGTTCAAAAACGTATAAAGGTTCAAAAAGATAAAAATCTTGCCTTCATGAAAGAGTACATCTCTAAACAAAAAGTTGGATACAACAAAGACTCGATCAAACGAGCAAGAGAACTTATTTTTAACGATAGCTGCTATGGAAGACAATTAATAAGGTTAATAAAAACATTATAAGTGTTTGCTGAAGATATTTTTATTATATCTCAACTACCGTATATTTCAGCGCCTTCTTAGAATCAAAAACTTTCGAAGAAAGAGACGCTCAAATTGAATTTCAAAATAAATCAATCGCTGAAGCAAAGCGTGACAATACTTCATTTTTGTGTAATTCTATTGAAAGTGCAGAAGAAATGGAAAGAAAAGAGAATCTGGGAATAATAAAACAAAAGATAAAAAATAAAGAGGCCGCAGAAATAAATAAAATGTTGTTAGTTTATCACTTATTACTTAAAAAAACTACTTACGTGTTAACTGCACAATTTTAATTTCTTTATTATAAAAAAAAAATATTGGTTGTAATAATATTTTTTAGAATTGAGACCAATAGAGAAAAAACGAAGGATATTAAAGATGAAAGTATGCAGGACGATCTGTACCATAAAAGACTGCTAGCTATTGAAAATTTAGAAAAGGTAAATTATAAAGAAATAATAATTAAAACACTGTTATTCATTTTAAGTTGGACCCGACATTTTGCTTAATAGGTATGCGGGCAAGGTATAGGTTTAAAGAATAGGTACTTATTTATAAATGTCATAAATATTGGAAGACAAAAACTCATACGTTCTATCGTATACTATTACAGGAGAAAAAAATAATTGATACGAGGAAAGAAATCGAAAGGTTCATGGAAGAACAGGCAGATATTAAGGAAAGAAAGAGGCAAGAAGAAGAGGAAACTTTGCAAAAGATCGAAATGATACGGCAAAATCAAGATCGTATTGCTTGTAAAATTCATAACATCAACAACAAGGTATTAACGCTAAAATGTTTTTTAATAGATATATAGTTATAAACTAAATCTTGATAATAGTTTTAGTGTTATCCTTATTATCCATTGTTATTGTAACACTCCATTTTCGAGGTTGCCTGGAAGAAATCGCTTGTTAGCGACAAGACTGCCGTTTCTGCATTTTTTTGTAATTTCTTCAAATTGAATCTTGTCTATATTTGAAATACTCCTAGCGACAATCAAGTGTTTTTGTTTGGTTTGGTTTTATTAATCTTTTATGTTATTAAATTAGTATTTTACAAGTAACTAGAGTTTGTAAGATACAATTGCGTTTCAGTTAATAAGAGAGAGACATAACAACATGACAGAAAAGGTGTACGAGCAATTAAAAGTGTTGAAAGATAAGGAGCGAGAACGCTATGATAAATTCATAGAAGCCGGAGTACAACGCAAACTGATACTTGAAGCGTAATATGGGTTTCATGTAAAATAATTTAGCCAGAATAATGTGAAATATATGATATTTGTATTTATTACTAGTAGTAGTTAAACATTTAACTCCATCGGTTTCAGTCGTTCAGAGTATGTCTGATTAATGCCTTACTTGTATCTAGACTAAAATTATAAAGTTTGTTTGTTAGAACGCGCTAATCTCAGGAGCTACTGGATCGTTGTTATTTGGTTAGAGCATTTTTCGAGGAAGGCTTTAGGCTATAAAATATCGCGCTGACAAAACGGGGGAAAGTATTTATCTTTGTGGGCTTCCCTTGCATTCGCTACGAAATCGATTTAAGACACCCAAAGAATAATTCCCTTTTAAACGACCTAAGAAATGACACGGCAGCTACTGTATATAACAGTGATAAAATCATACTTAACTTTGTTTGCCTTATATCTGCATTCATTAGCTGCCAAAATCTTTAAAGGTAGGAATAACTTTGACATGGTTTGTTTTACAGTGAATTAAATGAAACTTCCAAAAAAATGAAGGCGAGGAACGAAAAGATTGAAAGTAAGAATAAAAGATCCGATGATAAAATCATTATTAATAAATCAAAAAGTACAGAAAATTGTTTATGCGATAGGCAATGCATATTAACTAAGAGCTGTAGAGACAACATGCGCTCTAAGACAGAGAAAGGTTAAACTTATTAACTACACGATAAAGCTGTCAATAGTGAAAATAAGCTGGAGAAATAATTTGTTGCACCTTCTTTGTAGAACCGATAACTCCGGATTTCGTAAATTATCGTAACAAATTAGTGGAAAAATATAAGCAACGCCAACAAGAACCATCGTCATGGAGCGGACTTGGCGCTGCGCACGCGCAATTTGCTGAACACGCGGCTAAGGTTCTAGAAGAATGTCGCTACAAACATGCAGCCAGGAACGTTATTGATGTAAGTTAAGGTTCTTTTATGATACAGGAGGATAGACGAGCATGTGTGTTAGTTGATGGTAGTTGAAATACCACAGCCATAATTATTATTTATTAGCCATATATATTGACCTATTTTGCCTTTGGATATTCGAAAATCCACAGACTGAATCCGCAACATGGTTAAACTTGATGGCTTTTTCATCTGCACACAGTGGTTCGTGAACGGAATTTTAACACATTTATTATTATTTCAGGAATATCGTCGGAATCACTATTTGGTCGAAACGAACCTCCTGCCCGGTTGTAGTAATTAATTGAGCGCTCTTCTCGCGTTGGAATTTCCGAAATAAAATTACAAAGTCGACAATCATTAATCTACGATTTATTTAATCTAGACACATATTTACAAAACTGTCCTTACATATACTTCCTGTTGCTTGTCTTACATTCCGTTTTCTACTATATTTTGATTAAAACTGTATGCTTACAATTAATAATAAATAAACAGAGTTCTACAATGTCAAAGTTGTATAATTTTGCTATTGATTGTAACGAAGTCGAATGATTTCAAGGGATTAAGAGGAATGTTCATTCGACCTGTTGTTCTGAAGTTTTTCTTAGTAAATATGATTGCAGAAAAGCGATATTAATCTACATAATATAAAAAAAACTTGAAGATAAACATTTAAATATCAAGTCTGAGTTTTAGATATGCACAAATACTTTTAACCTTCATAGAATAATGTTAACAATTTTTTTTAAATTCCTAATATTAATGTTTACCATGCCATGGTAATAAAACCTTCAAAACGTATTCAAGGTTAAAAGTATTCGAGCATTCTTAAATTCAGAAATCCAATTAGTATGGAGATTGTTTCTGCTTGAGCACCGCTTGTACACATTTAGCCATTGTGGGGGAGGCTCGGCTGATGGCATCAGTCATGAAGAAGTCTTCCAACTGTTTCAATTGTACATCCAATTTACCCGATACTGGTTTCTGGAGACTCTGAGAAGCGTTCATATTTAAATTATATTATTATTTGACACACAAAAGTCTGTTTAAAAATACACAAACATTTAAATATAACAGTTTAAATCAACAAAGCATCCGAAACATCGGTCGTAGTTAAAATAATCTTCAAATAAGTACAACTAATATATTTCACGTTTTAAACAGTTAAAGTGATTTATTTCAATTTTATATAAGAAATACACATGAAATCTACTTCTAAATTTAAAAAAATAAGTTGTACAAAAGTAAAGCAATAATGATTGTTCTTTATAGCTTGCTTCTTATATTTTAATGTAGAAATGAATTACACTAAAAATGTATAATACTACAATCCACGATAAAGCCATATCTACAATAAACAATTCCCTGGACATGTCATTGAGAGTATGAAATATGTAATTACCTGCGCAAGCGCTCTAGCCTGCGCGAAGTAGTTATTGTTTTGTACGTCCCCGTAAGCAACAAGCGCGGGACTGATCTCAGCAAGTCTGTCTCTGACTTCATCCAAGTTGTCGTACGGGAGACGGGCGCCTAATACTTCTGATAGTGCACTGAAAATAGCCGAATTGTAAGTATAAAACAACTCTGTGATCTTAAATTGTATTCTAATACGTTAAAAACAAGATTCAGAATGGCACTTCACACTTTATTTTACAAAAAAAGAAGATAATACAAATGAGAGTTATATACTAAAAACGTAGATTGCAATAGGCGGCCTGTTCGCTAACAAGCGATCTCTTCCAGGCAACCGAAGATGGAAGATGAGAAAGTTTGCGGGAAAACAAGATGTGTAAGGTGGACGAAACAAATTAAACAATCTTAAAAATAATCTTAAATAGCTTAATATAATAATTTTGTTTAATAATATGTGTAAGTAAGTAGGTTATTTACCGAATGATCTTCCAGTCCTCTCTAGCCTTTCCTGGTGGGGTCACAGCTGGCAAAGTTTGTTGGGCACGACCTTCAGCATTGACATAGGTACCACGCTTTTCCGTGTACGCCGCACCCGGGAATACAATGTCAGCTATGGATGCCCCAGCATCACCATGGTGACCTGAAAAATATAATACTAGTTTATAAAAGGAGTGGCGGCGAGTTTATTGCCAGTTCTTCTCTTTCGTTTTCCACCCTTGTTTTGAGAACTGGTAGTAAATGTAGAGTTAGATTCTTTAGTTTTGTGACGTCCATAAGTATACATTGTCTACAAAATAAATTATTTTGATATTGACTTTAAAAACGCGTCGCAGTTACTATTACCTGGATAAAGATAATAAACAAATAAAAATGTTATATATTTATAGGCTAGTAATAATTCATTTTAAAAATATTATTCGCACATAATAGTATTATATGAATTAAAAATATATTTAGTTTAAAAAAAAGTTAATGACATAACGTAATAGCTCAATTGGTTGGCAGCACGAAACAATTGGTACTTTCAATTTCCGTCCTTGTCATAAGTTTTTTTTTATTATATTTTATATTTATAAATGAATTGTGCATGCCTTGATAGATGACAACACAGTCCTTGGGCAAAGTCTCACGGGTGACGACACCAGCATCAGCACCCAAGAGGAAGACGACTTTGGGTCCATCTTGCAGCACTTTTCCTACGCCTGGTTTGTAACCGATATCCAGGGCTGCCACTTGCGAGGCAGTGCGTTGTAGTACGTTCAACACCTGTGAAAAATAAAACGATATAAAATTTGTAGTTTCTTAAAACAACAGGTACTGTGGCTAACACAGTAACAGTGGTAATAATTATAATATTTTGTTATGATTGGAATTCTATTAAGCTATTCCATGCATCAGTATTATAACAGCAATTGCGTTATTTTCTATTGCGTAACACTTTTTTAAATCTTGCTTTTAACATAGCATTCTTAATTATAAGTACTAAATCTTTACCTTCCATTCTTTGTCCTCCAACTGATCCTGTAGACGCAGAGCCAGCTCTTGCGTATAAGCAAGCAGCGCTGGACCCTCAGATCCTTTAAGCTGGTCCGCACCGAGAATTACCACTGGCCTCTTGGCTGACTGTAATCTCTTGAGGACTTCATGGCTTGATGAACCCGTGGCTAAATCTTTTAGAATGGATGATGAATCACCGACATGCTAAAACAATGTTATATGGTTATTACTTTACAACTCACAATAAAAGGATATGCAGGAATATGTGACTATTTACAATTTTAGAGACTTCTAGAATCACGAACCTACTTGGAAATCTGAATATCTGATGAAAGAATATCTGAGCTTTTGAACGAAGTAAAATTCAAAGATATTTTTACACAAATAAAAAACTAAACATATGATGTCACTTCTTATTACTGCTACAAAGGTATAAAAACTTCACTCACCATGTACTCATAGGTGAGATCAACCTCAGGTCCAATCAGGGCAACATCAGTCTCCTTGTGGAGGAAGGCTTTGCGAATCCTCGCGTTCAGCAATGGCGCCTCAAAACGGACGTTAGTTCCGATCAGGAGTACAAAATCGGCCTCTTCAACATCTGTTTATAAAGTCCTTTTTAAAACCGCCAATAATCACTATTTAACGCTAAATATTTTAGCTAAGTTCAAGTTTAATGAAAATTACTATTAAAGATTAATTTAGACACTTGAAAATGTTGAATTAATATTTCACTTTCTATCTTAGATTAAAATATGTTTATATAATTTAAATAAAACACTTTAACGGTTTAAAACGCGATATATTAGTTAAACTTATTTAAAAATTATTTTCAAATAAGCTTAACTAATATATCGCGTTTTAAACCGTTCAAGTGTTTTATTTATATGTGTACTACTCGCGTAAACTATAGACAGTGCTTATATAATGATTATTTGGCTATGCTATAAAAAAATTACCCTTTCCAATGAGGTGAATTGTCTACCTATTATTATTACTTACAACAACACTGTTACTTGTAACAACCACGACTGATATATTTCGACAATTTAGACGTTATATATTTGAAAAGGAAATTCTTACTAGCAATTTTAGTGTTGAGCACGTAAGAGGAACGAAGATCTGTGCCGGCACCCTCCATCGGGAAGTATTGCTCGGTACAAACGTTCTCGCCACCTAGACGGTTCACCAGATCCTTCAGTGCAATGAGAGACTCAGCATCAGCGAGTTCACCAGCCACTGCCACAAGCTGAAATAAGAATATTGGTTTAAAAATTACTGACCCGTTTAATTTTCTTTTAAGGTTTTTTCAAGCATCAATCTCTCTCTATCTATCGCTTTTCAAACATCCTACTATCCTTATTAAAGACAGCTTGATCATAGTATAGAGTACAAGGGAGAAGATAGTTCCGTAATGACATAGTTCCTACATTATGTTAATGTAATAACATGTATTGCATTATTTCAATAGCTACATAAAAACATTAACAAAACTATTAAACACTTTTGTCATAGTAAAACAAAAAGTTTTACGGTAGCCTTGGTGTAACGGTACCAATGTATGGCTAATAACAGGTTAGATCTCCATTGGATACAACATTCCTCTTATCAATTTATATTTTTTCTGAAACTTGTTGGACATTGTCTGGAAGTCTGGATATGAAATCCGTGGTAGAAATATCGTCATTCCGCCCAGGTCACCAACCACCGTTCACAGGTTAAAAACCCGTGGAGGTGAATTACATTTTGGTTTCGTTTCTAGATTTCCAGATATCCAAAAGTCGAAAGCGCCTCTTGTTAAAATGCTATAGGCTGTATTTCACGTGCCATCACTAAAAAAGTAATTGCTTCAGAAATGTTAAAACATCTATTAATGCTCTAGGATTTACCTTACTAGGGGGACAGTCTCTAATGGCCTGAGCAGCGGCGACAATTGCGTCTTCCCACTCAACAGGGGTGAGATTTCCACGGCTGTCCGCTATCATGGGCGTTACAAGCCTCTGCCGTTTGAGACCGTCACAGGCAAACCGAGATTTGTCAGATAGCCACTCCTCATTGATCTCCTGAGGACAATTTTGTGTTTACAGCTGGAGTATTCATATATTATGATTTTTAATGAGGAAGGGCTCAAAGATAAATAATACCTCACCCTATTTATGTACTTATACATAAAATAGCATTAATACAATTTACAAAGATTCATGATCAGACAGTTGCCACATTTATCACAAAGCTCCCTTTAAAACTTCCAGTTTATTTTTCATTTAGGTCATAAATAATATAAACTTATTACTTAATTTCAATAAGTAGATCTTTCAATTGTTTCTACTTACTTCGTTAGTCCTCGGCAAGATACGTAGGACTTCGTTAGTTCGGGTAGCTACAACAATGTTGCTACCCAATGGATCTAGGACATCAACTGAATCAATCTGTAAGTAATGACAATTTAAAACAAAATAAATAAATGTCTGTATTAATAATTCTAATTGGTATTAGCAACAATAGTAATTATTGAAGAATAACACACCCTTCTAGTTTCCCAAGGTCGAGCGGCAAAGCTGTAGGGTTTCGACGTTAGTGCACCAACAGGGCACAGATCAATAATGTTGCCTGAAAGTTCAGAGAGGAACATTTTCTCAACATATGTTCCAACCTGTAAAAATTATTTTTACTATAAGCTTAGGTCATGATGTAATGCCACATTAGTAAAAGTAGTGAATAATTATTTTTTTATACAAAATGTATCTTCTTGTCTTTACTACTATGTGGTTTAATTTTTTTTTATTAATATTAAAATAAACATAATGTATTCTTAATGCATCGTACCTAATTTATCAAAATTCTATATATGTAATATTTTCCTTGATTACCTGCATTTCTGTTCCACGACCAGTGGTGCCAAAGTCATCTACGCCTGCTACTTCAGAAGCAAATCTAATGCAACGAGTGCAGTGAATACATCTGGTCATGATTGTTTTAATCAGTGGCCCCACATCTTTATCCTCTACAGCCCTTAAATAAGAATTATGATATTAAATCTAAATTATTAATGTACTCAATTAAAAACATTTTTATGACAGTGTATCTTGTGTGTTTGTGTAAGTTGTAAGTTTAACTGGTGTTTCAAAGGAAATAAAATTTTCAACTAAAAATAGAATCTTATTCCTCAGTATTCTTTAAGTACTTAGTTCCAAAATAAATTATTTAGACAAACATATAACAGATAGTTTTGGACATTTACCTCTTTCCAGAAAAGTGTATATCAGTAAATCGGCTTTTGTCTGAGCCAAATGCCATAGACTGATCTTGAAGATCACATTCACCTCCTTGGTCGCAGATAGGACAATCCAAAGGATGGTTAACAAGAAGAAATTCCATCACCCCCTCTCTAGCCTTCTTAGTAAGATCAGATGTAGTCTTCACTCGCATTCCCTTCATTACTGGCATAGCACATGCCGCAACAGGTTTAGGTGATTTTTCTACTTCCACTAAGCACATACGACAGTTACCAGCGACTGCTAATCTTTCATGGTAACAGAAACGCGGTATTTCTACCCCTACCATTGCTGCTGCCTAAACATAGGGAAAATAATGTTATAAAGAAATATTAAAAAGATATGCACATTTTGCAATAAACTTACTTGCAGCACTGTGGTACCTGGTGGAACATACACAGGTTTGTCATCAATGAACACTTCAACCTTTTCAGGTTGTGCTTGAACTTGGGCATATCTCTTGGCGGCTATCGGTGCAGCGCGGCTTGGGGAGCTCAACGCAAGCGCCCTTGACAGCGGTTGGCGCAGCATTTTCTGCATTAGTAAAAACGACACATCTCACTTCTCACTTAAAATGTAAAACTATCGCCCAGAGGGTGTATAAATACTTCAATCACAGTTAATGTTAATTAAATTATAAAAATTGCGCATTAAGCTTAACAACATCAAAAATATCGAATTTTTGTGCAATGTTTGGTTACATAAGTTGCTTCGTCTAACCTAAACAATACGTGGTATACACTTAATACTGCCGAATCCTTGACGAAATATACTTTAATATGTTTTTACTGGATATTTAACGAAATATTATATTTATAGTAAAACATTAAACATACTCGAAATTTTTGCCGAATTTGTTGAACAAAATCGACAGACAGCTGATTAAATCATTGTTGTCAATGTCAAGTTATAAAACGTCGAGTTTTCATTTATCAACCAAATTGTAACTAATTGAATGGCCTAGACACAAGCCAGACAAATACTTACAAATTTTGTATTTTATGCAATCGACTCATTAAGATAAATATTAAGTACCCTGAATAGACAAAAAGATTAAGATAAGAAATCATTCCTTTTCTTACAATTTATATATAAGTTTGCAAAAAGCGCATTGCAGAACTGGCAACATTCTTCTGTCTTCTGAAGGACTAGCATCCATGACATGTAATAAATAAAAAAAAATCTTTTTACCCTGAATTCCGGCCGGGTCGTGTCGCAAGGTGTGGTGTGGTGCTAAGTAAAAAATTCTTATTGAATATCACAAAAATGGCTTTTGGCGACGTAAAATCAGCACAAGGACTTAGCGAACTGAACAAATATTTGGCTGAAAGAAGTTACATATCTGGGTAAGATATATCGACATCGGGTTTACAGGTTAGGGAGCTCTCCACGTCAACGAATATTAATACAAAATTGATACTTTTTAAGGTAATCACCTTACATTGCCTTTATAATTAACAATATAGGACGTTTACTTAGATATGTGCCAACTCAAGCCGATGTTCAAGTGTTTGCTGAGGTAGGCAAAGCGCCGGCTGCCAGCTTGCCCCATGCCCTTCGTTGGTACAACCACATCGCATCATACTCTCCAGCTGAGCGCAAATCATGGGCTGAGGGAGTGAGTCCTTTAAAAGCTGGAGGCAAACCTACAACAGCACCTGCCGCAGCCAAGGATGATGATGACGACGATGTTGATCTATTTGGCTCTGGAGACGAAGAAGAGGTATGATTATTGCTTTTTATATAAATATTTTCCACACTCTTTGTTCTAGTTTGCAGACTTGGTTAGAGCAGGACAACCGACCTTTGTGTGTTTGTACACATTTTTTTGGTTGCATTTAAACTTAAACTTACTGATTATTATTATTTTCTTTCGGTGACACATGTTGTAGGACTGGTGATCAGTCCACGTCATCAGCTGACTATTTTACCCATTTGTAGAGGTTTTGGGTCATCCAACTCTCCCCGTGTCCCCTTCAAACCTTCCAGTTTGCTTGCAGAATCTTATTATTTTTTCCATCTGTAGTTCTTTGATCTCATCTTCTGTAACTTCATTCAAACCCATACGTATTGCCTCAGTCTCGAGTATGCAGAGCATTCAGTGAGTGGATGCTTGTTTCCTCTCTTTCTCTGCACTCCGGACATAGTGGGTTGCTGCCTATTCCTATCATTGTAAAATGTCTGTGTCGATGGCAATGTCCTGTTATGATTTCTACAATGAGTCGGATGTTCGCTCTCGTTATTCTCATCAGGTTTTTGGTCTTCTTTTTATCTAGGCTATGTATGAATATCTTCTACTGTCTCTTTAAACTTACTGATACTTATCAAACTGTTTAGTTTTAAATCCTGATTCCATATTACAGGATGCAGAGGCTGCCAGAATCCGTGATGAACGTTTGAAGGCATATGCTGATAAGAAATCTAAAAAACCAACACTTATTGCTAAATCGTCCGTCATCCTTGATGTCAAACCCTGGGATGATGAAACCGACATGAAAGAAATGGAAAAACTTGTTCGATCAATCGAAATGGATGGTCTTCTTTGGGGTGCTTCTAAGCTAGTCCCAGTCGGATATGGTATCAATAAACTACAGATTATGAGTGTCATAGAAGATGATAAAGTATCAGTCGATTTATTAACAGAAAAGATCCAAGATTTTGAAGATTTTGTACAATCTGTTGATATTGCCGCCTTCAATAAGATTTAATTTCCTCAATAAGTAATCACTTTTACAATAAAAATGATTTACATATAAAATGTGTTTATTAAATAACAGTAAAAAAGCTATTTACAATTAACTTAGACACTAAATAAAGTACTGCTACCACTAGCAAAATAATTTCACTTTCTGGGTGTGTAAAAACTGCAATTACTGGCTACAAAAGTAACACATTTGAGGTCACACAAATTTAAACTCCACTGACACAAACATTTAAGACTTTCAAATATATACATTGAGACACTATTTGATGACTAGTTCATATCTTGGTAGAATGAGCATTACTCATTCAACTATATTTTTAGGTATAGCAGTATCCCCAACACTTGCTTGCAAAAACATGTTAGGTATATCACTACCAAAGTAAATTTTATTATTCAATGCGAGAGCTTCATATTTCTTCAGCTCCAAATATTCTCTAGTCAACAAAAGCTTGTTAGCTTCAGCTTGTTTCTTTAAATTGTAATAGTCTGCCTCTGCTTTTGTTTGTTGTTTAGCTTTATGAATGCTATCTTCAATGAGTTCAATCTTTTGCAGTGATTCCTTCTCCATAATCTTCTGGTCATATTGTATTTTAGCAACTTGAGCTTCCTTCTCTGCCTCAATTAATGCTTTCCGGCGTGCAGTTTCAGCCTCCTTTTCCACAACCTGCACATGAAACAAAATAAGATGAATAGCCAAATTTTAAAGTAACTTTTATTTCTTCCTTACAAACCTTTTGATGCTGGGCTGCGATTAATAGTTTAGACTTTTCTGCTTCCATCAATTCATAGTTTTTTCTGATCGCTTCTGGTATCTTTGGCTTTGTGACTCTTACAGCTTGAACTTTTAGACCAGGTGCCATTTCATTGAGATCACTTTGCAAGGCCTGTATAACATTATTGTACATTAGAAATAATCAGTAAGAAATATAATATACATGACAATTAATAATTGACACTCACTGTCCTTAGATTTTCATCAATTTGGTCAAAGAGATCAATATACACCTCATGCAAGGTGTGTGCACTGCAGAACTGATTCAACTCATGATGAACTTTGTTGAAAATTAAAGTCTTGTCATAATCAGCAGTGAAGTTACGAACAACATCTAAAACTGAAATGTAAATAGACCAATATATGAATAATAAATTACAAAGTACCTATGAACAAAAACACAAAGTAGCATATTGTTTTCATACCACTACCAGGTTCCAACTTGTTCACAACTTCTATTCTTTCAAAGTATATCATAACACCACCACTTGTGCCACAGGGAACATTTTTCACTTCGTCAGTTTGCAGTGTTGTCTGAAAGGGACAAAAAATATATATAAAACCTGTTAAACTCCATAATTCAGCTAATGATTATGTATAATACCTGAATTGCTTTATATGAGGTCAATAAGGGAATCATCATGTGGAATCCAGGTTGACTTGTTATGGGGAGTAATGCACCTCCCTAGAAATTAAAAGAAACATTGTAACAATATTATAAATTAACAAAGTAGAGATGCTATGAAAACATTTTATGATATGCATTAATAATATTGGCCTATATCATAAAATGTTATGTATGCTGCGTTGAGTTCAAATATATTAAAAAAGCTTATACTATGAAATTATTAAAACTTACACGATAATAAACAGCAAGGTGTCCTTCTTCAACTTTATGTAATGAAAAGTGAACAGTGATCCCCACCGCCAGAATAAACAGAGCCAAAACTGACGATTGATCAGCCATTGCGATGGCGGGACTAAAAAAATAAGATCATTAAGTTCTCATAATAAATGAATAGACTGTATATTACAGAAATATATTTAACTTACCTCCAAAAATCAAAGTGCACGCTCACTATAAACGGTATCGTGAAAACTTTACTACGAACCACGTTCAAAATTTAATTATTAATATAAATTAATTGATATAAATCATAATAATTAAAAGATGAAGTATGCCAACTTAGAAGAATAAGTACCTAATTGTGTTTAAAGAATAATTACAAAATAAATCAAGTCAAAAGTAAACCTTAATGTATATGGACTAGTGACAGAAATAAATAATTAGTCAGCTGTCAGTTGTCAACTTTTGAATTACAGATTCTCATTATCTATTTGGAATTGGAAAGCCATCAAACTAAGAAGAAGAAGAATTATTCACTGACATAATATGTTCCTTATTCAATATCGAAAAAAAATATAGATAATACTAGTTCCTACAGGCTATATGAGTTTTTTATAAAAGATGTTAGTGGAGAGAGAATAATATCAATATTTTCAGGCGAAGTTCAACTTGTTTCAGAAAGGTAATTAATTTATCAGAAACGCATTGGACGGTGTGAATCAAATCAATTATTATTAGCCATACATTGCTACCATTAGGCCAACGTGCTCATTTATATACAATGGTAAACCAAAAGAAAAAAAAACAATTATATTCCTTTATTTCTTGTTCAATCAACATCATTTAATGTTTCCTCTTCAATTTCATTAACATAAACTTTTCCCTCCTCATGAATGCCATCCAAGACTCTTGCCATATCTCCTTTCAACATTCGGTATTGTTCTAATGCTTTGGCGCAAAGCTCACCTTCCGGGGAATTTCCGGGCTCAATCAGTAACATTTCCAATGAGCTTTTGAGGTATTTCTCAGCACTAAGTAATTCATCCTGAAAATAATTTATTTGTGTGGGTTCCTATTCACATACACTATAATTAGGTCAAATATACATTTTGCAAGTATAAATCGCATTATAAACCGTTAAATGTTTAACACATATATGAAATGTACAAAAGAAAAATTCGTTTGCTCGGAGCTATACAATATTGAATATATACAGATTGAATAGTTCAGTGCCAACAGTTCGTTTCCCTTCTATAAAAAGATGGAAGGGCCATTTTACTGAACAATATTTTAGAAGTTTCCTTTTAGAAAAGATAAGGTCTAGTGTAGCTGTTATATATTTCATTTACTTACTAAATATTTTGGCGCTGTAATATCTCTGGCGTCAAACATTTTCTTTGCCAATTGCACTATCCCCAAATGTAGTTCATACATTGTTATAGCTGAAAAAAGAAATAACTTAATTCATGAAATTTTATTCTGAAATGACATTATTATTATAAAATTTGAAGTAAGCCTTAGAACACTTAGGAGAGGGGACGTAAAAATAATTTGTTGAACTTCTTAGAATTCTTCTGAAAAAAAAACAATTTTTCTTTCGAGGCCAAATGTCGCCTATCTATGCCAAAAATTAAGAGATGTTGAATAGTTTTGGGGAAAAAAGACAAATAAGCATACTTTTGAAATTTTACCACCTTTACCTTTAGTTCTACTTATACCAGGACTAAGAACTTCAAGCACTGGCAACAATTCTTGGCAAAGATCTACTTTACGACGCATCATTTTCTTCGTAGGTCGTGGCTCTCTGCTTATGGCATCCCGTAGAACGCCCGCTAAACGCTGTTTCGCGTCTATAAGCAAGTAATGATTGGGAGCTAGCACTAGAGACACATTTCTTATGTACTCCTCGAGTTCTTTTTCGTCTTTTTTGTCTGAAAATTAAAAAAAGTAAAATTAATGAAAATAAATTCTGGTTTAACTCAACCTACTAATACTAGCCCAGATGAAAAAGCTTTTAGATTCATATAACAAATCGATCACAACTAATAATTTTCCTAGGAGGGGAAACAACAGACGTACTTATAACATCTAGCTTATCCGAGCAACATTTGACTTTAAATCCAACAACGGAATCGTCTGCTTCCTTCTTGCAAGTATGGCATTCCCATTTATCCAGCCTCTTTGTAACGAAGCCAGTTTTACATGCGGGGCACAGAGCGGAACTCATGTGAGTGCCTAACTCTGTCACATCTGTGCACCGTTTGCATGTGCATTCGAAATATTTACCCAGGACTAAGTGTTCTTGTCTTAACGCTGTTCCCTGTAAAGAGAAATAATCAATAAGTAAGAACAAGCATAATTTGAGCGTTCTTTAATCGTATTGAGTATAGTAGTAATTTGTCATCATATCATTATTAATATCATAAGTCCTATAAAATGTGAATTATATTAGACAAGGTGCTGCAGGGATATCAAGCAATATCACCTTTTCAAATATCTTAGAATAACAGAGTAAGAAACCGAATGAATCATCGTTTGTTACTTAAAAAGAAACAGTAAGTATGTGAATAATAATTATTATAGTACGAAAAATAAATACAATCTTCCTTTACCTTTAAGGGATCTGTGTAGTTATAAAATATCATTTCTCCTTTCTTAATATCCGTGCTGGCATGACATAGTAGCACGTTGTTATCGTTGATGGATATTATCGTATTTCCTATGCAGTCATGCTCTAGAAGCGCAGCTTGCATATACACTCCCCTAAGGGTTTCCGCGTAACCTAATCCGGATATTGGCGGTCCACGAACTTCGAAGCTATTTACGTCGATCACAGCACATACTTTTTGAACTAAGGTCTTATCTTCTGGTCCTTCTAGAAGTTTTAGGGAGTCTAAAAACTAAAAAAAAATAATGCAGAATAAAAATAAAAAACTCTCAATTGTTTTTAACTAAACAGTAACTGTATGCTTTAATATTTGTGGTGGAACATACATTAACTGTGTTTTGATAATATTCCCACACGCTGCTATTCCTCCTCTGATCCAAGTGCGTTTCTAGTTTAATGAATTCCTCCCAACCCTTCGTATTGCTCCGTTTTTGCAGAAACGCTCGCAAAGCCAATAACGAACCGACATTTTGCACCATTCTCATGGGGTTCAACCCATCGTTCAATTTTAATTCTCTGTAGAAATCACACTCACTTTTTGTATGCCACTCTAAAAAAGAAAATCAAACTTTTTTTAACACTCTCTGTACTGATTCCACGCTATAAATAATGGTGCACAAAGTGATACAAACTTACTAGCGATTCCCTCGGGGCATCCATCGCCAGGACATATCGGTGCGACCGCGCAGAATTTACATACAAAGAACTTGTTGATCAGTGGCAGATAACAATTGAAACATAATAAAGAAGTGTCACTACTCGGCCCTAACACAAACGGTTGATCAGTCAGAATCCTCTCACCAGCTCTCAAATCCTTAGCGGCGACGAGGTACCTGTATAAAATACTCTACTCATTTTTATCCTTTTATTTTACTATTATTCAATATACTCTTGACACACACCTGCCCCGTTTCTCCGAAGTTTTAATTTCATATTTTACGTCCATTTCGTATTATAACCAAGTGCTTTAAACACGTGCGCGAGTAACATCGAATACCTTTTTGCGTTTATAAATAAGTTCGTTCGCTCTATTTTTAATCAAACGGTCGCTTCGCTTTGGTCTGCAAGTTTATTATTACAGAAATAAGGTTTGGAACAAATCACTGTTTAAAAGCTTCATTCTAATGTTATAATCTACATATTATGTAAAATTATACATAATGGAATCCCAGTTTAATGCAAATATTATTGCGTTGTAAATAAAATAACAAAACTTAGCTTGTATAATATTCCCTTACCCTTACACTTTAAGCTAAAGGTGGACAATAGTATGTACTTTGTATAGATATTATATAGCTATGGCATTTTACTATTTTCTTCCTGTCATAAAAAATAGATTAAGATTAAAAATAAAAATGCTTAAAGTTTCCACTGTCTTTATTATATTAATATTTACATAAACATCTTATGACTAGGCGTGGGTACAACTGTACACATTTAACTAGCTATCTTTATGGTTAAAAATGTATAATAAACATTCCATGCATCAAATATATATTCACTATATCATTTTTATAGTAACAGTCTTTAAATAAAATATTGTCATTACAAGATATTTACATAACAATAACAATCACAATTAGAGTGAACAATAGTTGCAGATTCAGTGCTTCAGAGACTTAGAGATGTTTTGAATCCAAACACTTCATTTTTCTAAAGATTTTTCTAGTTAAACCGCACCTTATAACACCTCGTTTGTGAAATGCACTAGACAGAATTAAATTCTAGTAATATTGCCTCCAATAGACTATTATTTACACTCTTTCGTATTTCATTATTTATGTCACGTTAGGCACTGAAAAGAAATAAGGTACATTAATATTGAACCAAAATTGTGTCAGAATTTGGTCTCGAATTGAACCCGAAGTTTTGGAACGGAAATATTTAATAGACAGGTGGGAACTGATTTCTACAAAAAATACATGGCGAGAGCATATCCTTTGTGAGTTAAATATTAGCATAGTGGTAATGTTCTGATCTGCTGAGACCCAGGCCACAAATGACCAACATAAAAATATATTCAGTGTCCTTCAGAAAGTATTTTTTAATCATTATATGAATCTAGATTCTAGAAACATTGTTAGTATCCCTTTGTCTCCTGAATGCAATATTTATTTTTATAATAATAAGAGAAAGTGTCTGTAGTTTACGCGACTAGTCTAAATTTAAATAAACTTAAAACGCGAAATGTATAAGTTAAACATTACAAATTATTTTAACTACGGCCCAAAGTTTCGGATGCAGAAGACCGATATAACTAATACATTTCGTGTTTTATGTAAATAATTAGAGACAAAGACAAACCTCGTCAGGCGCTAACGGCCTAGAGTGGGCAGCGGCTATAATGTCCTGTAGACAGCGGGCGAACTCCTCTATGACGTCACGAACGGGATCCACCTCAACGTCAGGAACAGGTAAGGCATCCCTCTCGCCGCAATCAGCGGCTGCTACGAGACACTGGCAAACTGCTTCTATCACGTCAGTTGTCATGAACGTGCATGGTTGTCTGCAAAATCGAAAATTATATGTACATTGTAAATACTACAATATATATTAAAAAACTGAGACGTTCAAAAAACCAATATTTTTGTCATGTATATTTAGTTTTTTATATAGTACTTTGTGTTAACGGATATTTGTCAAGTACCGTCTACCCTTTATCTAGAATGGGGTACATCCAACTATTAGCGTAATAATTCAGTAATTTTTTATGAATGGGTATGCTTTCTGTGCCCAAGCCCTTTTGCCCCACTTATCCTACCATACTTAATACAGTTTTAGGCATCACGTCTTTCAACGAAGCCGTTATTATTAGTTTTCTTCTCTTACTTGGCATGTCCTGGTCCGGGCGTGCGTTGCAAGCTGTTGGTCGCCCTGGGGACACGCTCGAGCCTTCCCTGCTCCATGCAATCAGTCACGTTGCGGCATCCGACGCACTTGCACATCGCCGTACACGCTATCCGAGCCTGACCATCAAATTTGGTTTTAAATATCAAGGTGGAAACACAAAACAATAAACAAAACCTCACAGGGGGTGGACATCGTGTCGTTCCCCTGGGATTTAAAAGGTTGACCAACACAAATGCAACATATGCATAAGTACAAACTTATTTAAACATTTATGTTGATATCTAACTATAATCATATTTGTTTCGTAAATACAAGCAATAAGACACAATTAACAGGCATTGGTCTAATGGTGGCAATATGGTCCAACATGTTCCTAATTTTTCAATTTATAATTTTTCTGAAACATCCTGGAATTCGTTTAGAAATCTGGATATTAATGGGTCCAGAAATTCCGTCCGGGTCACTAACCACCGTCCATAGATCACCACCACCCGTGAAGCTTAATCGCGTTTCGCTTTCAGTCTGTCGATTTCCGAATATCCAAAGCCAAAGACGATATTGGCTGGGGTATATATGCCATGTCTGTCTTCTCAATCATAAAAAAAACATTACGCACCTCATAGCATTCGCAATAGTTCTTCAAGCAACCACTTCTCTTACAGTTGCATCCTTTATTATGCCTCCTGACTAATTCTGGACCCCCTATTTTTGATTTACCTATTTTTGGCCTGCAAAAGAAATCCTATTACTCCTTTTTCAATATGTTAGATATGGTTTGAACAGACTATGACTATAAAAACAAGAGGGTCTTCAGGGGGGTCAGTTTCGATTCCCACTGAGTCTAGCATGTCTATAGAAAAATAGTACTTACTTAAAAGCATGCGGGTTCCTATCGAGACATCCCCTAATCGCCTTCTGACGAAGTTCCTCGTTTTGCAAATTGTTGTAACAGTTATTGCAATTGCATTGGTTGCAGAATTCGCCGTTTGCGAAGCAATCGCAGTACAGTTTCAGACACTGCGACTTCGTACAGTTGCACGCCTTGCGCGGGCGCAGACCGAGACTTGCTGCCTCTATGCCTGAAAAAAATTATTAACCTATTGTTATTAATGAATACTTTATAGCTTCTTAAAATAGTCAAATATATTTCATAGTTATTTTTCATGACCTATTATAATATAAAACTGAAATAATCACCTTGGTCTGTAAAAGAGGAACTGTCATCATTAGCATTTGTTGAATCACATTCTTCTTTTAGATTTTGCGACTCATTCTGAAATAGTTTGCACATTAATAAATTAACCTACTGTTCAAAAATTATAAAAAGAAAGTCTGAATATCGCTGAAATCAGCAAACTGAATTACTAGTACACTTTACTTTATAGATTTAGACACTCTTAGATCCATGAATAACAAATTAAGATTATGTGCATATAATTGTTTGTATTAATGTGTTGTCAGTGTACATAGTATACTAACTGATTTATTATAGTCACTTTGCACCTCGATAGAGTGGTCGAAACTGGCCGGTATAACTATGAGCGGATGCTCCTGGCTTTGCTCCTCTTGGATCTCAATGCCTGAACCCGCCCCTATACTGTCCATAGTGCTCTCGTCTTCTGAAACCTTAAGAAAGGAGACCAAACTTTTAAAAATTGCCTGAAACATGTTGGACTTCGTCTCGGACATTAAATGGGTTGTAGGAATATCAAAATTTCGTCCGGGTCACGAAACTCCGACCACAAATGAAAACACCGTGAAGTTTAATAACGTCATTGGTTTCACTCTGTGGTGGTTTTCCGAATATCCAAAGCCAAAATAGGTCGACGGTGCATTTTGTTCAGATGCTATACGCTGAGGTATTTCACCTACCATCAAGTGGACCATGCTTGTCTTATCATTAAAAAAAAGCTCCATACCGCATTTTTCTTAAAGTCCATAGTGACTTCGTGGTTGACGCCCGCGTCGTCGCCCATCGAGTTCTCAATAAGAGCACGGAGCGCTTCCTTGGAATTCACCTCAGGATCCGTCTCGCAAGGCTCAATGACTATTTCCTCTAACGGCACTGTTTTAGTCTCGGCCACTGATGATATGGGTGCTAAAAGACTTTGCGATGAACGGACGGGTTGCTGTGTCGAAAATGTAAGCCTATTATTAAACTGAATAATTTATTTAGTCTAAGAAAAGATTAGAAAACAGGATACATACTGCAATTGCTTTCATAGGCGCTATCCTCACTAACTTCGGTACTTTCACGTCATCTGTAGAAAGAAGAAGAATATGTAAGAACACGATGGATATTTTGATTATTTCTGACGTCAAACCTATGCAACGGCACGTAGTAAAACCGTTAAAATAAAATATCACCACAACGGTAACTTTCGTTGTGACAACACAATTATAAATGCGTTCCATATTGTGTCAATTCACTATTTGATTTTGAATACAGAAATTAAATGTTTCCAAACACAATTTTTAAGAAATTTAAATATTTACATTTTCTATGGTTACTTTTCTTTTTATTTGACACCAGTTTTTATTGCTACATATTAACTAATGTAAAACAAATTTGATTTTGACAAATTATAAACGCTTTTCCATGACCCCGGTGGCAAAGCTTCCGAAATGTCGGGCCGTAGTATAAATAATTACTAAATAAGATTAACTAATACATTTCGCTGTTTTTAACCGTTAAGAGTGTTTTATTTAAATTATAAACCCTCAATGCATAGAATTCGCATCACAACTACCATCTTGATGGGTGCATTGCTTGTACTTACTTTGCTGTATAAATTTTTGTTTGATATTAAACTGTACTACGAAGTTTGAAGTTACGAAGTATTTGAAAGAATTTTGTGTTGCTATTAATATTTTATTAAGTATTAGAAACAATAAGAATGACGCACCTTTACTATCAGCTTTTGTAGCAACAGTTATATTCTTCTGCGCCGACGCAGCCTTAATCACTTTCGCCGACGTTGACCCCGGATTTGTGACAAGTCTGATGTATTGAATCTAAAAATAATAAAACAGTTCGGTATAGGAATAGAATTGCAGGTAGTTCATGTTTAGTGTTGTTCCCTATTTATTTAATACTTTTCACATTCATAGTGACATAATAATTATATTGTAATGTTGTGGTCAATATTTCAAGGCAGTTAAGTGTAACTATATTTGTATAAGACAGCGCGGGCGCAAACTACATAAAATACAGATTAAATATATATGTATATACTCTATACACTCTCAAAAAAAGCCCCCTCAGACTTACCCCTTTTCCTGGTACATTTATTTGGTGAATTTGAGTTCGAGTTGTTTCAACAGGTTCCTTCTTGACCTGTTAAGAGTCAAATGTCAAATATAAAATGAGTTTACTTTGCATGTAAAACTTAACATATTAAGGTCGCTCACCTGTATAGTTGGTGTTGTATTTTTGAGAACCACATTTTGGGTTGCATTCGAGGAACTGATTAGTAGTTTATTTTTAGTCGACCCTGTAAAAATTTAATTTAATAATTACAAAAGTCGAAACAAGTATACTTTCAAAACATCTAATGAGATGAATCTGAATGCAGATAAGAAATACTATGGAGAATTAAAAAAAAAATAGGAATAGGACAAGCCTTACCCTTTGGCAATAATTTAGTGACAGGTTTGAGCGAAATAACCTCTGGCTTCTTTGCAACATTCACGCCTTGTTCATTCGGCGATAACATTATGACCTGCTAAAGAAAATCACAATTGTGTATTTATTTTTATCATTAAATTCTGCTAGAAATTATATGATGATAAAATTAAAATACCTTATTTCCGACTGTAATAGGCCCTGATTGTTTAGGCTTAAGAGTGACAAATCGTGTCGCCTGATTGGCTGGCATCATTTTGGTGATCACTGCCTTTGCCTCAGGTGTTAAGTTTTGTTGGCCTGAAATCAATGAAAATTAGTTAAATTAATCACTAGTAAATTATCATTACCTATTTTAATAACTACTAACCCGCTTTTAATAGTCAGTAAATATAAAAAAAACAGTAAACAAACAAACTGATCTATTTTAAAGGCAAATTGTAAACCATTGGGCCTACCAAAGGGTTCTGTAAGTGGACCCCACAGATTTCTCATCAATATTAATGATTTGTTAATTACCTGGGATGGTGATAATCTTCATAGGTTTTCCTTGTGAGCTTACATTCTTTGCTGGAATAATTTGCACCTAAAACATAAACATAGTATATAAAAATAATTACAAAAAGTTTTCTTAATTCACGCTATAAAAAATTTACAATTTATAATAGTGATTGACCTGATTAGAGTCTGTCCTTAGTATTTTCTGAACAGGCGGTGTACTTCCTTGAGATGTGACTAATTTAATTTTTTGTGCATTTGCAGGCAACATTAAAATTTGCTTTCCAATTTGGGCTGTAAAAATAAGTACAAATTGTAAAAATTACAAAGTTATTTTTTTTTATAACAAATAAAGTTTAAATTAACATTAATAAGATAATAACAAATAATAAAATGAACATAAATGCTGAATAAATTATAAGTGATAAAACAATTGAAACAAAGAAACAACAAAATGTAAAAGTCTTTTTGCACTTTTCACTATAGCAGAACTATTTCTCTAAGTAATAAAGTGCAATATATATTTATTTGTTAATGATAGAAAATAGGGAACCATATTTTTACGATGAATTAGGAGGTTTTATTATTTGACACACTCACCTAAAACTGTATTACCCTTGCTGTTTGAGCCACTAGCTTGTTTACCAATAGTTTTATTTTGGACTAAAGCAGCAGGCTTAGGAGCTATATTCAATGGTTTCCCATAAGCAGTAGGAAGTAACTTTGGAGGCTTTGGTGCAATAGCAACCGGTTTTGGAAGTGAAGACTCTGCCTTCTTACGTGGTGATGTCTGTTTACAATAAATTGTTAAATGACATACTATTTGATTATATCAAGGTACAACAAGAAGTCTATTTACCGTCAATGTGATAATTTTTTGTTGGTGTGGATCTTGTGCTATTGTTATTGCTTGTGGATTTAATTGAAGGTCTAGCATAGTATCTGATTGAGTTGTTAGGTTGTAACTTGTCTGAAAAAGAGTAAAATAAGCATTTATTATTTATTTACAATATTGAGAGGGAAATTAAAAGAATATAAAGAAATACCTGATTTAATCCGCCAAGCACATTATGGTCACTCTGTAAATCTTGTAAATTAAATTGACTTCCAATGAAATCGGAAACTGAAAAGATGTTTTTGTAATTAGTATGATATTCAGAAATGGTAAAGAATAGTGTATTCACAGAGTTCTTGTGGCATAGAAAATGATAATTTATATTTTTCTCACTTATAATTTCTTCTCCACCAGTATCCATAAGCATTTGCTTTTCTTCATACACAAATTCCATTGGAATATCCTCCTGGTCCAGAATGATTTCACTTTGTTGGCATACTGTCTCCTCTGGACGCTCAAAATCCACCTATTCAAAATATTATTTAGTAAAAGAAAACAGAAAAAAAATTCAAGAAACTATAAGTATCAAATGTATTTGATACTAGAAGTATAATTAACTTAAACCACACCAACATGCTATCAAGTTATTTATGTTTGTTTTTAAAACTATATGAGAAATATTAAAATTAAGATCAGACTCACCTGCATTGAACTGTCCAAATTAAGGGAATCGTCCAAATTATGATCCATAGTAGTTGGTGTTTGTTTATCTGTTATTCTGCTAACTCTTTTTAAATCTTACTTAATAAAATATGAATAAATAAAACTACATTAGATAAGTTCAAAAGACGCCGCCATTTTACATTGTCAAAATCATTTACAAAACAATCACAGTATGAAACTAATTAAAACATTTCGTAACACATTTATTTAACGAAATATTATAAGAAGTTGAAACTCCTTATTAACACATATCCAAGAAAAAACGCACACCTATTTTTGGTTTATTAAAGGTTCTAAAAAGTTATTCATTGAAAATTTTAATTTAATGGCGCCTCTTTCAATTTTTAAATGTGAACTGTCAAAACGAAAAGTGTCTACGTCAAATCCACAACATTCAGCAAATAACTCATCACAGGTAAAGTTAAGATGTTATAACTCTGTTGCTATTATAATGTAAAATTTTAGTCGGCTGTCAGTTGTCATCGTAATCCGTAGATGTTATTGTTTGTGGATAACTGAAATATCAAATCTTGTAATTCATATTTCTCAACCAAAACAGAAAACGAAATATAAATTATAATTGGTACGATTTCTGCTGTCAATTTTTTATTATATTGTGTAGCAGCCAAAATAATGTATAATTTTGGCTGCTAATATATGTAATATAATCTTACCTTGTTTTTCAGTCTGATCAAAACATGCCTCTGAATCTGCAAGATGTACGACAGTATTTAAGCGAATTAAGAAATTCCGGTGGTTTGCACAAAGACCAAGCAGAAAAGTAAGTAGATTTTAATAGTTGTTTCGATAGCGAAATCCTATATCAATACCTAATCGTAATAAAATTAATCCTGATATTTCATATGCTTTTAGATATCGGAATGTTTTATTAAAGATTTTGAAAAATCCTGAAAACGAACTTGCGGACAGCTTAAAAGCGTTTGTCGAAGCTAGTAAGTATAAATATTTTACATTTTTAAATAAAATAAAATTTAGACATATTAAAAATAATGTTCTACCTACAGCGATTAGCTACAGTTAGAGAAAAAGAATACTGAGAATACGAGTAGAAGTAGTACAGTAGTTTTAATTAATTTAAAATACATATGTGTAATTTCTTTTACAGTTGTGAATGAAAATGTTAGTTTGGTTATATCTCGACAACTTTTAACTGATGTCAGCACACATCTTTCTTTACTGCCGGATCCTGTATCTCAAGATGTATCACATTTTTGCTTAGATGTTATCCAACCAAGAGTAATTTCATTTGAAGAACAGGTAAATTTATGTAATTATTTTAGTTTGTGTCACATAAGGAACAAAAAAGTATGTACCTACTACCATTTATGTTTTAGGTTGCAAGTATCCGACAACATTTGGCTGACATTTATGAGCGTAATCAAAATTGGAAAGATGCTGCTAATGTCTTAGTTGGCATTCCTTTGGAGACAGGGCAAAAGTACTTATTTTTTATTTAATATTTTTGCTTTCATGACTTATCAAAATCAAGATGTAAATGCACAATACACAGCCCATTTTAGTAATAGGTAATAGCTAAAGTAATTTTTTTTTATTTCAGACAATACTCTGTTGACTACAAACTAGAAACATATTTGAAAATTGCACGTCTTTACTTAGAAGTGGATGATCCTGTGCAGGCGGAGGCCTTTGTTAACAGGGCATCCTTACTACAGGCTGAAACTACCAATGAACAACTGCAAATATATTACAAAGTGTGTTATGCTCGAGTGTTAGATTATAGGCGGTAAGTTATAATATATAAAGCAATTTATACTTATATTAATGGCATTCCAGTAAGATTGTTAAAATCAGTCATCAGAATAAAACTAGAACTTGCCACATTTAATTTACCCATGCATGCTACTTAAATAATTATAAAATACATTTCAGAAACAAAAACAATTAAATTCAAATAAGCAAATTTTAATTTTAACACTCTTGATGAAAACAACACCATCTTCATAGTTACCAATAATTGTCATTCATTTTCATGTCTGTAGCTAAACTAAATCTGATGACGATTGTCTTGTTATTTTGAAAATGAAAATTCAAAATTATTTTGATAAAATACTGTCTATAGTTTACGTGAGCAGTACACATTTAAATAAAACACTTTAACGGTTTAAGACGCGATATATTAGTCTCCCCGTGACCACGGCTGCTGCAAAGCATCCGAAACGTCGGGCCGAAGTTAAAAATCATTTTCAAATAATTTTAACTAATATATCGCTTTAAACTGTTACAGTGTTTTATTTAAATTAATTTGATAAGGCAAAACTGTATACATTCCATATATATCAAAATTGAAATCATTTATCTTTATTTGTATAACATAAATATTTTGTTGTAGTAAGTTTATTGAAGCTGCTCAAAGATACAATGAATTGTCATACCGTAATATCATTCATGAAGATGAACGCATGACATGTCTGAGGAACGCACTTATTTGTACGGTTTTAGCGTCAGCAGGTAATAATGTTTTCCTCAACATTATGTTTCAAATTTATTACATTGTGCCTTGCTTGGTGTCTTGGTTCTGAGTTGACAGAGGACAAGGCAATAATTAATGTTTATTATATTACTCAGTCAAGAAGTTAAAAAATATTATCAGTTTGGGTACTATAAATAATTCTAAAAATATTATGTATAGGTCAGCAAAGGTCCAGGATGCTGGCAACCCTATTTAAGGATGAACGTTGCCAGCAACTACCTGCTTTCTCCATATTAGAAAAGATGTACTTGGATCGTATTATCCGTCGGTCTGAGCTACACGAGTTTGAAGCACTCATGCAGACTCATCAAAAGGTAACACATGTCATTTTATGCCAAGTTACGATAATACCTGGTGAACTTTAATATCTAACAATTTGAATGTGCAAAAAGAACCACCAATATTTTTTAAAGGAACATGTTTCTTAGTTATTCTGTTTAAACAAAACACTGAACGGTTTAAACGCTAAATATATTAGTTAAACTTATCTGAAATTATTTTAACTACAGCCCAATGTTTTAGTTTTAGTTTATGTCAATGTTATAGTGTTTTATTTAAATGTGTACTACTAAATATTACAATTCAAAATTCACAAAAATTATCAGTTTAGTGGTGCTACTTTTATGGCCAAACTAACAGCTATATATAATTAAAAGTAACATTATGTTTCAGGCCACAACACCAGATGGGTCTTCAATATTAGACAGAGCTGTGTTTGAGCACAATCTGCTGTCAGCCAGCAAGTTGTACAACAATATTACCTTTGAAGAACTCGGTGCACTATTGGAGACTCCGCCAGCGAGAGCTGAACGTATTGCCAGCCACATGATCAGTGAAAAACGAATGAATGGACATATTGATCAGATTAATTCTATTGTGCATTTCGAGAGTGAGTATTTTCGATATAATTAATAGTAGGTAATATTGGGAATCCATGCAATAATAGTACCTTAAAAAATGACAACAAACAATTGAAAGGGATTATACCTACTGTAATCAATCATTAGATTAAGATTTGTCAAAAAAACCGTTTTGGAGGTTAAATTGTAAATTAACCACCCATTGAAGAACAGCATTGGAAACGTAAAATTAATTTGAAAAACCTTAGTGAACGTTTAGGAACGGCAAAAAAGCTTTGCGATTTATTTATGAACATTGATTCGTCTATGGAACGAAGTTTTATTTTTTAAAGCATGGATAATTTTATTTTTTTTTCCTTTTGCCTCTTGAGAACATATCATATAATAATTCGTACCTAATAATTATGGTCGTTAAAATCATACAATTGATTTTCTTGCAGCGCGCGATATCTTACCCCAATGGGACAAGCAAATACAAAGTCTCTGCTACCAAGTCAACAGTCTTATTGAGGAGATCGCGAACGTAGAGCCAGAGTGGATGGCTAAACTAATGGAAGAAGAGATGATTCAATGAATGTATTTTTAAAAATAAAATTTTGGCAATCAACTGTTTGGCTATTATTATTTTATAATGTATGAGAGATTGTTTTCTACATAGTTGCAACGATACATACTTTGTTATTAAAGGTTTGTGGAAGGGTCACGGCATACTAGCTATATAGGTACAATTGACTGAATATTTTTATTCATAACTATCAAAGTCAAAAAAATTTCTTAATGATAGAGGGGACAGACAAGCACGGGGTTTACTCGATGGTAGTAGAAAAACCCTAGCCATATATAATCGAATCGCTGTCGAGCTATTTTGGCGTTGGATATTCAGAAATCTAGATTGAAACTTCACGGCTTTTTCATCTGTGAACGGTGGTCTCTGACCCGGACGGAATTTTCTATATTCCTATCACCCATACAAGGTCCAGACAGAATCCAAGATGTTTTAAAACATTGTTTTAATTTATTACAAACATTGCTACCCATTGGGGGTCGAATTCACGACCCGATGCCGCCATATTTCTTACTAAATAGGAATGGAATATAGGAAATAAAACAAGACATTGATTCCAACAGACTATTCATTATATTTTATTTCTCAATCAATCAATAAGGAACACACCATCGGTGCTTATTTACAACGCGATATCGACTGATATATGAAAGTGTATTGATTAGCGAAGAGACGCGTGCTTAATGACGCTGACAAGTATTAGGATAGCGAACCATTCGCTCGCAAACAGGCTCGCTGGTGGGAACTGAAGACAATTTTATTGTTCATTTACACAGAACACACAAGTTTTCATTTGATTTAGCGTTATACTTTGTTATACAGTAAGTGGCGTTATTATCTACATGTCTAAGTGGTGCGGGGCGCGGTGGGCCTAGGGCTCGAGCTCGAGGGCGACACCGACCTTGTGCCCGCCGGCGTTGAAGTTCTGTCCGTCGATAGCAGCCGACAGGGTCAAAGTCACGCCTGAAATAATACGATACTTAAGGTTTTTGCACGGGCTCGTTAATACGAGAATCTCGATATGGGTGTCTAAATTTAAATAACATAAGTATACCAACGAAAAATGAAGTTGTAATTAAATTATGACATCCTCTACTATAGGTTGTGGTAACGTAATCTTATCATGACACAATATTTGCATTGGATTTAAAAGATTATATCATCTCACGACAGTTTGATAGTACAAGGTAACGCATTGCGTGCGATAGGCCAAAAATGATAAAACAAGATTTTGCAACAATAATATGATCCGTCACACTTGTTATTTACGTAGATTTTTATTTCAAATGATATTAAAAAGATAAAATTAATCATCAAATATAGCAGCCATTACCGCGTATCTTTTGATTATTCTAAAATTATAACACAGTACAGAATATTATGGGATTTAATTACATTTACGACCGAAGGTTCATTATCTATAAAAACGCAAAATATGACATTTTATTGTATGGCAACTCATTAAAAGTACCCTAGAAAATTATATACCTTTCACCTAGCAAATAAAAAAAAATACCTGGGCGCAATTTCTGCTGGTATCCAAGCCCGATTAGGGACTTGTTGTTGATCTTTGCATGTAGAGACGCGTCCTGGTCCAGCGCGAATTTGGCACCAACACCGAAGAGGGTGTCAGTTGAGCCAGTCGCCCACTTCATGCTGACACCGCAGTCCAATTTGTCTGACACCTTCTGGTAGATGGAACCACCGAATTCTTTGCCATTGTCTCTGTAAAATAAATTTAAGATTGCTACCCATATTTTACCTTCCTGCTGCTGCACTACAGCAACTAATTTGGGTTTTACTTATTACAATATTATAATTCTTATTAGAATTTAGTTAGTAATAGGTAAGGTAAGTGTAAGCAATGTATAATATTTCTATACTCAGAATAAAACCAATAAGACAATGACATACATGCATAATTATGCAATACAGTCTGATTTAATAATCTTCACAATTGGTCATTGTCCTTGTAAATTGAAACTACCTGACACAAAAGAATTTATAATAAAATGGAAATGCTGCTATATTCCTTACATAGGTTATACATTTTATCTGAAAGGGAGATTGTAATAAAACATTTAAAGTATTATACTTACACATTGGTGTGCAGGGCGAAGTCGTTAGTCTGGTAGCCAAATGCAAAGTTGTTCTTAGAGAACTTAGCCTTTTGTGAGTCAAACTGTGTGTGAGCACCAGCGAGCCAGCCCTGGTACTTCAGAACTGCTGCTACATCCACAATTGGGCCAGCAAGGTCCAAATCTACATTGGTGTTGACCGCAACAGTTTCATTTGCAAATGATGTCTTCAACTTGCCAGTTTTGCTTCTAAAAGTATATATATTGACTTTTGTGTGAATTGTGCTTTATTTAATAAATTTAATATTAAACTAGGTTTCATTCCTTGTTTTTTTTTTATATAGCTACACTTGATCATTAAATTTAATGTGAGAATATTACTCAATGGTAATTTTTCTTTATATTCGAAATATGTACATAAAAAGTGATAAGGCTACACTTAATGGACCAGATATTACATAATCTTACCCTGTCATTGGTGCAAAGGTGCCTTCAAGAGTGACTTTAAGTCCTTGAGCAATTTTGTCTTGAATTGTAATGTCAGTGGCTAATGTGTTGTCTGTATTCCATTTTTCTGTAAATGTTAGACCATAGTCCTTGACTGCGTATTTTGAAGACAAGCTTCCGAATACCTGTAAAATACAAATTCATTTAATAACTTTATATATTACATATAATTAAAGACTAAATTACAACTGTTCTTACCTTTCCACTTTCCTGGTTGGAGGTAATACCACTGGTAAATTCAACACCTGATTCACTCTTTGTCTTTAGGTCAAGTTTAAAAACACCAAAGTGATAACCCTTGGAGAATACATCATTGGCCTTCTTTCCAAGATCGGCATACTGTGGGGGAGACATTCTCTACAAAAGAAAATCCAATTAGACACAGAAACTCGTTATTATCCAATACTAAAATTTGAACTAATTCTTTACAAAATTTTGCCTATCAATGTTAAAATCTAGACAAAATCATTTAGTCAATGCCAGCTGAGTTGGCTAACAGAACTGAATTTGCACATCCCATTTAACGGTTGCCTTCATTGAAAAGTGTTACATAACGTGCCAATATTGAAATTGCAAAGATCCCATACACCTAGGTTACTCGCAATAAGATTTTCGGGAATTGTACGAGACGATTTCTATTTCCTTAGACTGGTGGCCATAAACTTGACCTTTCACCAAAACGTTGACCGAAATAGTAGCGAAATCGTAAACTTACACCACACTTACAATTTTAGAATAACCTGAAAGTAACTCATGCCCTAGTAGGAATTATGAAAGTTATGTGGAGTAAATGTAAAGAAGAAATTAGCGAGAAGTAATCATATGGATTTTGTAAAAAAATATGTACAAATCACGTGTATGACGTAGATATACCCCGGCTATTACAGCACAAACTAATTCTTTTTTTACAAACAATACAACACTGAAGCTATCATGTATTATATAAAGTATATGTGTCACTACTTACTATATTAAATTATTTAACAGATCGTTACTAGATTTTACGAATTCGGAGAATTCTTGGCAATAAGTTCACTTCTAGTACCTCACCAGTTCACCACAAGACAAAACTAGTTTGACATAAAGATAGCAAGGTGGCGTGACAGAGCCGGAAACGCTTTATTGATATATCAACTGCGTATTTTATTATTATTAAAACATTAAAAAGGACAATTAAGAACAATGAAATAGCAAAGTAAATAAATTTTATGTTTTTTAAGGCTCCGTGTATTTGACGTTTAATCGCTTAGCGTTTATATGATTCTAAAATATTGTGGCTTGATTTTATGATGCGGCATTTTAAGGTCATTGCCCTATTTAAGAAAATAATGAGTAAGTTTAGCAGCAATGTTCAATTAAAGCATTTAAATAATCGAAACTTCTCGTAAGAAAAAAACAATAAAAATTACCCTTGATATATGTTAGTTTTTTTACCAAAAAAGTCTTATTTTGCCGCGGTCTTTTAAAGATTAAACGCACGCCACAGCTAACGCGAAATTTTAAAAGTTCGTATTGTAAACTATTCCAAAGATGCATTTTTAATTTAGTAAAATGTAAATAGTTAAAATGTTAAGTAAATAATTCAGTATGATTGAATAGGATTTTACAGTTGGAATTATATTTATGAAATACTAACGGAACAACACTTATCATCAAATGTGTTATTACGATCTTCGCTTTCCTCATTGTCGTCATCATCCCTTGGACAATCTACAGTTCGCCCCCATTCGTCTTTACACACTTCCATCTGGCTCATTGATCCATCCTGAAAGAAGAAATAATTATATATATTAATAAAAATATTTAAATCCGCCAGTAACATACGGAGGAACGATCAACAATAAAAGCCAATGCGCTAAGTACAAGGGATATTAAAAGGCAATTCAGTTAATTTATGTATTTACTAGCTGACCTTTGACCTGATACGTCCTTTTGTCAGGTCTTTTCAATTCGAACCAGTAATTACTGATATTAGCGCACGAACGAACGAACAAACTCTTTAGCTTTATAATATTAGTATGGATTATTACATTACATTACGTTACGGTTACAATATAAAATTTTGTACTCACGGGTCGTAAGCATGGTACCTTCTCCTTTGTTATGGCAGCATCAACTATTGGAAATAAGAAACCAGTTAAAGAATTAACACAGTCTCCAGTGGACTTAGAAAAATAATCTAAAATGGGCATAATTTAATGATAACAAAATTATAAATTAACAATGTTTTTGTATATTTAAGAATGACATTAACGGGCTGAACCACGTAGAAAACTGAATGTAGTATAATCTATGAGGCTCATTTTGTCCTTAACATTATTAGCCCATGTTTACCTACTTTTCATGACCGTTTTCTAGGCGTGATTGATATGCAAAATTCGTTATCATTCTTATCTCATAAAATGCACTTTTTATATACAAATATTTGGACGCAATGTAATATTTGATTGCAATATACATACTAGCTGCATATCTCTATTCTTTTCCCATTCAATTATACATAAAAGTATCTAATGCTATCAAATCCTCAAATCTTGAAATCTTTAAACAGTACAGATGTACAGGATAGATAAATACTTTGTTGCCTTATACCAAACAATATATTGAACAGTAGTTATTTCTAGAGATTAACCATATAAATATCTCATTATATACATACAATATTTTCAATCAAATTAATTCATAAATTCTCCATCATCACATGAATAAAGTTCTAGAGAGAGTATCAACTGTATATTATCATATAAGTATGGTTATTTGTAAACTCGAAGATTCTGTTCGGCACTGTTCTCGACGCGACGTACCGAATCTTATTTTAGACGCTTGACCGTAAATACGCTTCACTCGTCTTTAGGAAATCTTGCGGGTTAGTACATAACATTGTACTGAGATGGAAAAGCATTGCGATATTTTAGAGAACGAAAAATTTGGCCGCTACCTAGTTGCTAATAAAGATTTGGATGCCGGTGAATTGATTTTTTTCAGATATCCCATTTGTACTTGGACCTAAACCAGGCAAGTAGTGGAGGTGAAAGGATGTTATGTAGCATGGAGTTAACGCACTATGGAATGTGCAAACCCATTTAGTCTTTACCTCAGTTTATTCTTATTTGTAGAGTAGTCCTATTTCCTTTTTTTGCTAAAATCAAGACAGGAAATAAAATTAAGCAGTTTATGAACCATATTTACTTAAGGTAAGTCCCCAATATATTTACTAATTAATTAAGTAAAATGCGCATGCACTTAACCGGACCATACGAGTTTATATGGTAGTTTCAAGTCGACTAATAGCATATTTAAATCCTCACGACTACATTGACTGCATGCAACTTACCTAGTATGATTACTAGGGTACGACTGAACTTTTTAAGTAAAATTACACGAAAACTTGTTCCAATTATACTATTGGAACTTAGGTAGACAACATAGGTAGTTTGAAGATGGAGAAAATGTATTTATTTTTCTCGGGCTCTTTCTTTTTTATAGTATAAATAACTAATAATCCATAGGGCTTGGGTTCGATTCCCACATGTTTCTAATAAATTTATACATTTCTTGAAATATGTTGCACTTTGTCTGGAAATCTGGATATTAAATTAGTAGTAGGAATATCGAAGTTCCCTCCGGATCACGAATCACCGTCTACAGATGAATAAGCCGTGAGGTTTTATCGCGGTTTCGGATTCAGTCTGTGGATTTATGAATAATCGAAGCTAAAATATATTTTGTGATATGTTGTATGGCTGCGGTATTTCACCTTCCATCGAGTGATCACCATGCTTATGTATCTTCCTATGTTATAAAAAAAACTACAATAATTTTATTGCCATTTTAGATACACCTCCGCTATGCCTTGGTTGCTATTGTCCAGTGGACAACATAGTCTGCACTCGCTGTGGGTGGCCAATATGTAGCGAGGCGTGTGAAAAAACAGCACATCATCAATCAGAATGTGATGTCTTTTCTGCCGCTAATGTAAGATTTCAGGCAACCGTTGATTGGAGTGCGGCGTCACCACAACTTGATTGTATAACTCCTCTGAGGTGTGCTTTCCTTAATTGTTTATTTTGTTTCTCGTCGCTGGCCATCGTACTTAAGAAATAGTTCTCGACGTTTCGATTGTAGCTGTGCGAATTGTCGCGGGCATTCCTTTTATACAATTGAAAAGTAAAGCTTAATTACACATAGCTACAATAATATACGCTAATAAATTAAAGTTATTACATATTATGAATATAACAGCAATAGCTAGATTACAGAAGTATTTTTATTTTTTACTTTAAAAGTGTACTCCTGCCAATACTCTTAAGCAATTCTACATGTCCTGCATGATGCTATAAGTTTCGTTGCTTCTGTAACTTTGTTTAACATTCCAGGATGCTCATAGCAAAAGAGAACGATCCAGACCGTTGGCAACGCGAACTGGAAATGATGGAGACGCACACAGACGAAAGAAAGAAACGACAGTCATGGGAAGCCGACCAAAACAATATCTTGAATTTTTTACTTACTCGTTGTAAGCTTGGAGCGAAGTTTTCCAAGGATTTAATTGAAAAAGTTTGCGGCATATTAGCGGTAGATATTCACGATGGGGGCAATTCTCAAGAAGTGACAAAATTCTTATCGATAAACATATGACATACTATTGTGTTCCTTTTTTTGTGAATTGTTCCTGCCAAATTGTTAAGCAGCCCGGCAGTTTGTTATTTATTTTCGAGCAATAATTTATTTATTTTTAACTTTTCAGGTAAATGCAGTCGAAATACCATCAAGGGGGGGGTTTTAGCACAAATGCTATATATCCTTATCTAGCGATCGCTGCTCATAACTGTGTTCCTAATATTGTTCATACAATACTTTATGAAGGATACGAGTATGTTACTATTTCTTCCAACACCTAATTATTAGCCATATTTCTAATTTTTTCTTATAGCAGGCCCCACAAACAAGAATTAGAAACAGTAGACCAAAGTACAATAATATTATGTTAATATATACATTTGATCAACGGATCAGTGAAACGGACACAGAAATGTGTTCGCCCCACGCCCCACGAGGGGGAAACGGGATTTCACTTTTTTTGAAACTATGCATTATAATTTCATGTACTGAAAAAATGGCCTAGTAAATAATGGAGTGGATATTCCACTCAAATAATTATTTAAAAGATAAGAAAGATGCAAAATATATATTCGTTGCCTTCTTAATATTTAAGTATGTAATAATATTCTTTGGTTTCCGAGTCGTTCGTCGTAATTGAAAAGTTGATTTCATCATCATTTAGCCGAGGAACAACTTCTGAAGCTTTGCACAATGGGCTTGAAAGATTTGGTCATTATTTATCCACGCATGTTTATGCATCTGCAGGGTTCAAGTCCGTGCAGCCGTACCAATAAAGGCAGGAGAAATATTATATCTAAGCTACGCCCACGCGCTGTCCCCAACTCTCAGTCGAAGAGAATATCTGCTCGAGTCCAAGTTCTTCAATTGTGAATGCAAGCGTTGCGCGGATCCAACAGAACTGGGAACCCATATGAGTACCCTCAAATGCAGCAAATGTGACAATGGCGTTATTCTGTCAAGCAATCCTTTAGGTAATCTATTATTTTTTTATGATAGAAGAAGATAGACAAGCGTGCGATTCACTTGATACTAGGTGAAATACTCCAGCCATATAGCATCTAAACAAGATGAATTACGATCGATCTATTATGGCTTTGATTATTCTGAAATCCACAAACTGAAATTTAAACAGCTTGTTCATTTATGGATAGTGGTTCTTGACTCGAAAATTTCGATATTCCTACAACCCATGTAATATCTAGAGTTCCAGAGAAGACGAGAGAAGTCCAACATGTTTCAGAGTAATCATAAATTTATTATCAACATTTTGGATCCGATGTAATCCACGATCCGTTGATTATTAGCCACACATTGCTACCAATATACTACGAGTCGTGCTTAGGTTTTATTGTTGAGTTACGACGTGGGTTACTAACGTGGGATCGAGTCACGGCTGTTATACATTAATGAAACTTTTGTAAACATTTTAATAAGCTCTCTTATGTAACAACATAAGAAAATTATAGATGTTAGTTTATATTGATAAGCTTTGTTATTACAACTACTTATACTACCACTGTCATTCCTCTGTAAAACCTTAAAACAGGCAATGAAACTATTTAATATGTGCCATACAATATAAAATACCTCTTACAATTACATTTAACGTATTTAAATACATTAACCAATCTCGACCTACGTTACAAATAACAGTATGAACTAAATTTCAGATAATGATGCTCAATGGAATTGCACAGACAAGGGGTGTGGTTTTAAAACGTCTGGTGCTGCTATGCGAAAGTTTTTGAGCGTAATTCAAAGTGAGGTGGATCAATTGGACTCGTTGGAACCAGGACCCCAAGCTATTGAGCAAAGGGAAGCTTTTATTAGTAAGGTAAACTCAAAAATTATGTCAATGTATTTCAAACTAGTAAAAACGTTAGAATCCGTTTTTTTTCTATACCTGAAGAACACGTCATGTCTTTTTTACTCATTGAATACATATACAGGTAGAGTCTTATTAGACTTTTGTGCTCTAACAAGGATTTGGTGTACTGGAAGTTAACACGTTTTATCAATAGTTTACGCGTCAAACACTTTAAAACACAGGTTACAACGTTTCGGATGCTTTGCAGCAACTAGTCACGTGTGGGTATTTCGCGTTTTAAAACGTTAAACGCGTTTTACTTAATCACGTTTTATCAAACCAAGAAGGCGGAAATAATAAGAGGTTTGTATTTTAATTTCAGTATAAGTCCGTGTTCCATCCACGTCACTCGGTGTTACTATCTGTAAAATGCACATTGGCCGAGTTATATGGGAGAGTAGAGGGTTATACCATTGATGAATTGCCAGATATAATGCTTGGACGTAAAGTGGAAATGTGCCGTCTGATATTGGATACACTGGATATTATTCTTCCAGGGGAAACACGAATGAGAGGTAAACAGATGTCATAAGTATTTACACAATTATAAAAAACTAGCTCACCTGGCAAGCGGTATTTTGCTAAATTTTATTACCATAAATACGATTCTTGACAGTTAATCTTAAAAAATAGAACATATAGCAACTGTATAGTTTTTAATGTTGATTTTTTTCATATATCAATACAACATTAGTCTTTTTTTCACTCTGTTGGTCTCAGGGCGGTGCTTAAAAAGTACAGCAAAAAGATAAAGCTATGTGTTAAATATTTCTTAAATAAATTTAGTATATCTAGGCAAATGAGTAACAAAATTTTGATAGGTACTTCTTATTTGCAGGTATGATGCTATATGAATTGCATGCACCACTTATGTATTTAGCCAGAAGTGAATTTGCAGCGGGTTTAGTATCGCAGGATCAGTTGAAAGAAAAATTAAAAGAACCACTGCAGTGTTTGGTTGAAGCTGCAAGGATTTTGCAAAGAGAAGACCCACAAAGCCCTGAAGGTATTATGGGGCACATTGCTTTCGAATCTATGGCACAATTGAAAATGAGCTTGGATACTTTGTAAATTTAAATAAAACACTTTAACGGTTTAAAACGCGATATATTAGTTGAAAACTTATTTAAAAATCATTTTTAATTTCCGGCCCGAGTCGAAATTTTTTAAATTTTTTTTCGAATTTTAAATTATAACGCGATATATTTTGTTAAACTTATTTGAAAATGATTTTAACTTCCGGCCCGACGTTTCGGATGCTTTGCAGCAGGAATGGTCACGGGGAGACCGCGGCAGCTGCAAAGCGCTTTAAACCGTTAAAGTGTTTTATTTAAATGTGTACTACTCGCGTACACTATAGACAGTATTTATTTTGTAAATTCTAATCTAAGTCCCGCCCATGTTGCAAGATTTTTTTATTTAAGTAATGTCATCAAGCGCAAAATATTAAAGTTTTTTGTCCTCCAATTATTTATTTTGTATACATACCAGTACAGTATAAATACATCTTAAAGTAATAAAACCAGACTCCATACAATGTGGTTTCATTTACAGAACAATAAAAAACTAATTAGAACTTAATTTTTTTAGGCTTTTTAGATGGTTCTTGTTGAACAGATCCTATATCAGGTTTTCCTATGTCTTCAGTATTTTCATAGCCATCCAGAGTTGATAGTTTTATTGATGTACCTTCCTTCTTTTCTGCAACCTGCAATGTTTTTTTTATTATTATTTAACATATTTTAAATTTAACTATACACAATATCTATAATATAATTTATTTCAATAATGTAGAGTAACATTTAAAGATAAACAAAATGATTATTAATGAATAATACATTAACCAAAAAATATCATTTTTTTTTACTTACTGTAGGACAATCCTTTCTCAAATGTGTGACATCACCACATAGCTTACAGCATCCACCATTTGGATAAAGACCCTTAGGATTATCTGGACATTGCCTTGCCAAATGACCCTGTAAAATGAAATAAGAAATATTATTAAACTGTATTTAAGGTGTACGAGATTGGTATATTATATGTAATTAATATCTAAATTCCTTTATTCTCAGTACTATACCTGAGTTTTGAACACTCTGACATAGAATTTAAATGTTAGATAGAGAAATTCACTAACTAAAATACATTTGATGAATATTAATTTTTAACCCTTAAAGATAAGCAAGCAAAATTATATTTACCGTTTCCCTACATATGAAACAGGTTGCAAATCTAAACTCCTTGTCCCTCTGAACTTTGCATTCATTCTGTCTGTGTTCTGTAGAACCGCACTTAAAACACACACCATCTGCAGAATCAACTCCTGGTATATTAGATCTTAGATCTGGGCAGTCTGATAAATTATGACCTCCCTTCCTGCAATTGTAGCAAACATCTCTTTTTAGTCTTGCCAATGCTTTTTCTGCCCTTCTTCTCTCTAATTTTATAGTTCTTTGAACTTCACTTTTGGGTATACCTTTTTTGATCATACTATTTTTTAACTCCTGTATCCTCTCTGCGTCTTTCTTCATTATAGGAAATCCATCAAATCTCACTAGTTCAACATCCTTACCATTAATAATTAATTGAAAACTTTTATCGTTTATTTCTTTCCTTCTAATAGGCTTATCCCCATGCTTCTTTTTTTGCTTTGTTAAATTATTTACTTCTAAATTAGCTGGTTGATTTTGGATTGCCTCTGCATTATCAACTTTATTCATTTTACTGGACTTTTTCATCTTTTTAGTTGTTTCTTTTATATTAGGGTCGTTAACTTGCTGTCTTTTCTTATTTTCTTTAATTGGTTTCTCCTTGGGCTGTTCTATTACATTGCTTACATTTTCCAGACAATTATTTGGAGATGATTGTAATAATTCTTGAGGCATATTTTTAGAGCTATCATTTTTTATTTTTTTCTTCTTTTTCTTTTTCGCATCCGTACTGCACTGAGAATACTCACTGATTGCATTTGTTTCAATGTTTCTGTTCCCTTTTGCTTTTTTAGTTTGTGAACTCTCTGAACGATTTTCTACCTTGCTGGTTTGCGATTCTGGAAAATCACACCATTCAGCTTTACGTTTTTCAACTTTGCGTTCTTTCAGAAAATTTTCATAATTCTCAATTCTCTGTTGTTCTGCCTGAAAAAAAAAATATTGTAAAATACTTGAAAGAAATGAGAAATCAGACTTAGCATTTGTTTAGATGCTGATTATTTACTTCTTTTCGCTTTTTTGAATCTTCTTGTTCTGTTTTTGCTTTCAACATTTGTTCTTTCATTACTTCCCATGGTGTACTGTCTTCGGGTGCTTTTAGGTTAGAAGACTTAGAACCCTTAGCTCGAGCAAAGCGTGTCATATTTTAAAATTACAATATACACACACATATATAATTCATAACTCGTTAATTATACACAACTAATATGCAAAACTATAGACTTATAAAAAAGTCGCCTACGCAAAATGTGTTCTTTTTAAAATTGCAGCAACCTTGAATAAACCAAAACACAGGCCAAATGATATTAATTGACGTATATCTGACAGTTGTACTTTTTATGACAGCTTCACTGACATTTATGTACACTGATTATGATTAATACTACTGAGATTAACTTGCCTAGTTTTATTGCATCGAAATATTCTTTTTCTTACCTAAAGCTTTTATAGTAAAAAAAAATCTACCTTAAGATAACGCAAACTTAAATGAAAGAAATAATTGATATTTAATACATCATACGATTTTACGATTTTAACGCCCCTTAAGGTAAAGCAACTACGAAAAAAAGTACTATTACTATATATCATGATGTTAAAGTACATGGATTATCTGTTAATGTTTTATGCTTTAAAAGAACGCAAGAATGTAGGTAGGTACGTTTTACTTTAACTGGAAGGTAGACATAAATGTTACGTCTCAGTTTTAAAGCTCTTGAACAATTGATATTCGGTATTATAAAAAGGTACCGAATAAAAATAATAATATATATCAAAAATGATCACTTCTTTTTAAATTACAATCGACTTGATAGGCCAAATATATTTTTTTGCTGTTATCAAGAAATGAATAGTATTATGGAGAAGAATGGAAGTAACAGGCCGTCCAAAATAATTCGGTACCGAAGATATTATTGCTCTGTATGTGATGTTTACACGAATTCCGGTAATCAATTTACTCAGCATTTGGAAGGAATTCGACACAAGCAGAGACAGACGAGTAGAAATATGGATTCTTCTACCTACCAGTCGGTTGATTGCGTATATGAATACGATACTACTTTTTATGTTCCCGTCTTCATCGCTACATTGATGACAGTTTTTATATTTTTTTACCTTTGTCTACTTTTCTTTAGCAAAATGTTATAATGTTATAATTATGTACACTTAAGTGGATTAACGATGCCTTAAATTTCGCGCCTTAATTTTAATTGGCGGAGAAGTCGTCCCCAAGCGTTCACGGCTTCTATGCGCACGAACGAACGCGCAGAACAATGAGGTAGCAGCCATTTTATGTCGGTGCCTAAGAAAAACATAATTCGAATGGCCAATCTTATCGGAATTGTGTAATTAGTGTTCTAATTTATGTGTTTCTGCACACGCTGCTTTTGTTAAGTGTTCCTTCATATAAGTGAGTACATTCTTTCTCCTCTATTATGGTATAGTACTAACGATAGCTATAATGTGTAATGAAACATTACAAAAAGTGTTTTAATGGTTTAATTAGTTGACAATCTTAAAACTAGTTGCTATTCTAAGACTACGAGTTACTAATAAGAACAAGTTAGAAGTTTTTCCTCGTCAAGTGTAACACTGTTTGTGTTTACATAGTTCAAAAAGTCGAATTGTAAATCTCAAACCGCTTAGCATATAATATTTTTAGGTACGAGATATGACATAACTTTCCATACAACAATTGATTATTTAATTCGGTGTATCTATATTGTTTACATTATGATTGTAGTGGTCATTAATTACTCGGCCATAACAACCGGCGTCGCGCAGCCTCTGGCTGTAAGTTGGGGACAAAATTCAATAACGAATTGGCCATTTTATTGATGGCGGGGGGAGGTTGGGTGGAGACATTTGGAGGTGGTGATTAAATTTTCGAGTGAAATTAAAATTCTTATTAGAATGATTTATTAAAAATTAAAGTGTTGTACAACATAGAGGCAATGTATATGTATGAACAATAAAGTTTAAAGATAATTACAGTACATGTGTACTGTATAGATAAGCTGCATATAGGTATAGTAGATAACTTTTACTCAATTATAAATACAAATATCAGAGTAAATAACTTACATATTTAATATTTTGTGCAGACCCTACTTAAAACCTTATTAAAAATAATTCATGCATTATATATACAAATCTGTATGCCTTTGGTGTGTTTTTTTTGTGGTACAATAGTCAGGAAATTCTTATAAGAACTATTTCATCACCATTATTTGAAAAAATAAATCTTCCTTTATTAAATAATTGTTTTATTTTAACATATTGTTTATTATTATTTACGTAGAATTGAAATACACTAATAATTTTCAGCCAAATTATCATTCTGTCAAATATAAAGTTTCTTAGGATTTTTATTGCAAGGGTGGTTTTCCATCCTAAAGCTTTAACAAAAGAGAAATAAAATATAAGACAAACAAGACATTACTTTGGCTTTACTAAACATACAATCCTATACAATTTATACAGTATAGGAGAAAATTGACTGCAACATATATACAACATAATACAAATAGCATAAAGTGGCCTTACCTGACTTACATCACTATGTCCAAAATTGAAGCAGGGATTATCTAGCATACTTTTTGGGATCCCCTTGGAATTATGTCAATATAATCAGTACTTAAGCCCTGAGTTTGTCTGTTCTGTAGCAGGCGGCAGGGTTGCATGATGGCAGACAGCAGGCACCATTAGTTTCCCAGCACACTGGGGCGTGGGCGTCGGGGGTGTGGCGCGGGGCGTGGGCGTCCCCGTGCCGCCCCCCGGCGACCTCCTCGCCACCATCTCCATGTTCGAGCAGCAGATCAAGGCTGAACCTATGAGGTGAGTTCATCTGTGGCTTAGAAAAGACAACGGTAGCCATTTGTATGGAGTAAATGAAGATGCATAGATGCTGTACCGACTGGACTGAGTATATCATGTCAGATTATGGAATTGAGTGATATGATTTTTGTGAATCTCAGTCATATTGCTTAATACAAAATTGTGAAATGAGACCTAAAAGAATAAATCCATAATAAAACTCTTTCTTACAGTTTTTACACATCACACTCTCATGTGAATACTGGCCCTCCAACTATAGTCCGCACCGATTCACATGGCATCATCAGTATGAACCAGCACCATCCCCAGGAGGACTCAAAAGACAGCCTCATAGTACAACATCAAGTACAACACCAAGACCTGCTCGATCAACATCAGCAACAGGATATGCAACAGGATGATGAGGTAGATAATGTAAGTGTCAAATGGTGCAAGCTAATGTTTGTTTCTTAGCCTTTTTGATATAAGTTATTGTTTAATAGTTAGCAGCTAATGTGGACTTGTCATCTGGCCTTTTATTGATGTCCCCAATAAAAGATAATAATACAGTTCTTTTCTTGAAACAATAATTGTTCTAATCCATCTGTTAAGATACTAAGATTTTTTTTGGACCAAATCCAGACCTGAGAAGATTGGGGTAGCAGTTTGTTAGACTCATCTTTAACCATGCCAACCGGCTTATTATGTAGTCCAAATATTCATACCTCTAACACAGCATTAAGTTTTGCCTGAAATAAAAAGGTGGGGACTATATTATTTAATATTTTATTATTACAGTTAAGTTTCAAAGGAATGGATGACGATGGTGTTGAGATGGACATGGATGGACGGCAATGTTCACAGGTAAGTTTAACCTCGATGAAGAACTAAATTTTCTTGGAGAGAACTTCAAAATTGATAATTATTTTTGATGTAAATATCATTTTTAGGGTATGGGTGTTGACATGGGAACAGTACAGACGAAGATGGAAGTGTCTAATGGCCAAGGGGTACCACGATCTAAACCACAAGCATGCAAGGCGAGTATTATTTAATATTGTTAAATTGTTTAAAGATTATTTGAAACTCTTAGAGAAATAGGCGAAAAGCTTATATAGAGCAAGTTATATTAGGTTGATGCAGCCATTTAGCAATGCTACTTGTGTTCGTAGCTGCTTAAGTTCTGATTAGGAAACGGTTCTTAATTGAGACAAGCATGGCGATAAAAATTTGAACATGAAATCCACAAGCAATGGCAAAACAAAAGGACCAATCACAACGGCCAAGAAGCTTTAATTGAGCTAAAACCAAGTACCATAAAGCAATTGTATATACATGTATTATAACTATCTCTTCAATATCTAATAATAGTTAATTTAGAGAAATAGACAAAACAAAATCTCAAGCTTAACCAGTTCCAAAGAGATACGATAGGCAGCTCTTAATTCTTGGACAATATGCATTTGTTTATGTTAAACAATTTCCTTGGTTGCAGGTATGCGGTAAAGTGTTGTCGTCCGCATCCTCCTATTACGTTCACATGAAACTTCATTCGGGCAATAAACCTTTCCAGTGCACGGTAATTATTATTATATTAATTAAATCTTTTATGATTACAAAATATATAAAATAAAAAGTATTCATTCGGGTTACATTTTTTTTCTATCAATCTAGTCTTAATCTGGAAACCCTTTATGTAAATAATACTTGTTCCAGGGTTTCCAGCCAATTTTGCTTGAACAAACGTAATGAGATATAACTTTTTTATATAAATAGTGAAGATTAGCCCTTATTTCTAGTAACTATGTAATAAACATTTGGATATTATCCAACAAGACAATCTTACAAATTGTAGCTAAACGTGATAGATATTTATCAAAAACAAAATAAACCCCACTTTTGAAAATCTTTTTTTCCACATATTATTGCATAGGATGAAAAGAAAATATTAATAGATTTTAAACTAACTCATGTTTAAAACGCACTTAAGGATTCTATTACGAATTTTATTTTTAAAAAATAGGGTTTTCAACCTGAAAATTACAAAACAACATTCGGGATTTAAATTAATTTACAAGACTTGTATAACTAACTTTTGTTTGTATATAATAAACTTTTTAATTGATATACACAGGTATGCGATGCTGCATTCTGTCGCAAACCATATCTGGAGGTGCATATGCGCACGCACACAGGCGAAAGACCATTTCAGTGTGACCTTTGCCTCAAGCGTTTCACTCAGAAGTCCAGTCTCAACACGCACAAACGCGTCCACACTGGTGAGTTTGTTAATGTGTCTAGCGGAGTCATTTACCGTGTGTATGATGAGGATTAATCCATATATATTAAAAAAATAAAAAAAACAATGAATGCCAAATCGAATTTCTACACTTATATAGCTTAATCAGTTAAGCTACTGTAATAATGATTTTGGAACATTACAGCCGAAATGATTATTTCACAAAGACTAGACCATTTTGTATAAAAAATGAGGCTACTCTGGATTAATCTTTCCATCAAGCATATTGTTAGGTGTCTATAAAATGTACCACTAAATGCCTTATTTACATGTATTAAAAATGTAACTCTCATACCCAAAAAGCGAATAGTGGCACATGTTTATTGCTTCAATAGAATATCCTAAATAAAAGAAAGTCTTATTTCTGTTATGAAAATACATTTTTTTGTTTACTAAACCTCTTTTGCTAGGTATGAATCTTGTCTATAAAATAACACATAGGGCATTTGTAGAAGGACCTTAAAAAACCCGAGTACCATGAGGGATTAATGAAAAAGTCATTTGATTTTACACTTTGATCAAGTCACCCTCCTCCTGTTTTCGCGTTACAGTATTTTTTCTATGTATGTTTGTGTAGTACCAAGTAGTATGTAGTATTATTTGTTAGTGGTTTTCATTTGCCAATTTTATTTATTTTGCTTACACGCAACATTTTACTGGGTAGACCTCGCGTATTTTTGACACAACCGTCGATAATAACTGTAATGATGCATTATTAAGTTGTTTTTCCAATTTAAATCGAAAAATATCATATAATAGAATTTACATTTTTGTTTTGGCGTAAAATGGAACTGTAACTGTTAATTTACTATTTGTCGCTTGCGGCCTCTGGACAAAGCTTTATAAAATATAACTTTATCGACACACCTTTGATTTCCTTAAAAGACATCGTATCGTTTAAGACGTTAGGACACTGGTGCGACTCACAGTCGGCGTACGAGACTTATTACCATCCAGATGTGAATAGTTTTTGAGTCGTGTTACTAAAGATAGCTATAGGTCAGCGCGAGAGAGTGTAAGGTAACAGGGGGAGGTAAAGAACGCACACTGGTGTCATAATCCACTGTGAGTTCTAAGCGTGGCTTCGATTTCTGTAGAGTGTATTCGAGATGTGTGGCGTGGGTTTTAGATGAGCACCTTCGGGCATTGATGGTGAAGGACCGGCCGTACAAGTGTGAGCTCTGTCAGATGCGCTTCACGCAGAGTTCCAGCCTCAACCGCCACAAGAAAATACATACGGGTGGGTTTCCTTCCGCACCGACTTGTGCTTCAATCCTACTAAGCCTAGTTTATCCGACCCCGTAGGCCCCTTAATTACATTCGAAAGATTAATAATTAATAGTAACATCTAGACCCTTGCGGGTCAAACAGGTCGTCCGATACTTATGCGTGACGACTTTGAGGCAGCACGGTTTGATATTCTTCGTCACGTACCTCCCCCTGGGCGTGTGATCGAGTGCGTTGACTCGCTAGGCTATTCAAGTTGCGAGGGTACAAATTGCTATATCGATACTCGTATACCTTATAGAGGAGCACAGACGAGCCCTGTTAGAGAAAGTGCGGCCGTACCAGTGCCACATCTGTTTTATGCGCTTCACTCAGAAGTCCAGCCTTGGCCGACATGGAAAGATACACACGGGTAGGCCTTTTGCCCTAAACTCCTTAGTAGACATTGAAATACCTTACATAGAGCCACGTCATTAGGCACTGACCGAGCGTACGAAGCGGGATAGTTGTTGTAGCTGAATTTTGTTGCTATTTCTAGAGGAGCACATCCAATCGCTGATCAACAAAGTGCGCCCCTATCAATGCGACATCTGTGACAAGCGCTTCACTCAGAAGTCCAGCCTGGGCACCCATAAGCGTATACACACCGGTGGGTCCCTTGATATATTATAGCTTCTATAGGTATCTAAGTCACAATCGCGAATCGGTTCCGTTTCAAACTATCGTTGTGGCTTCGACGCCTTTTTGTGAATAGTTTTGCGGGCTCCCCGACGTCCCTTTTGCATTAAGATTAGCGATTTGGAAGTGTTTCTCGCATCGTCAGGAACACAGAGCTGTTTTTATCGAGCTAAGTTTTATTTGTTAATGTACACAGGTGCGCGCTCAAAAACTATTCACAAACTTTAACAAAAGCATGTGAACGTTGTGAAAGATTTAAGTTACCGTAGGTGAGAAGTCTGATGGACAAATAACCTGTTGAAATTCCCTCATGGTAGTTTTTTAGATGAGCGAGACATCGGTAAAGTTGTTTGAAATTATTTGTCCATCGTCCATTTTGTTTTGTTTCTCTGTCCCCCCGCGTGCGGCGGCGCAGGCGAGCGGCCCTTCCAGTGCACCGTCTGCCTCAAGTCCTTCACGCAGAAGTGCGCCCTCAATTTGCACGAAAAAATACATACGGGTTAGTAGCCCACTACTACATTATAATAGTGATTCTTTCGGTACGATACGCAACATAAACTTCACGCACCCACTTCATCTAGCGTCATGCTTTTTCCTGTTTTCCGTTGCCTGACCCCTTGATTTATGCACTTTTCAATCGCTTTCATCTCGTTGCTTAACTAACTTTCTGTATCTTTTAACTCATGAAGCGCTTTTTCGTACTTCTGCACTCGCGTCGATCCCAATTCCCGAGACAATCACATCCGCTCAGGTCATTACGCCGTCATTATTTCCATTCCGTATAGATTTTCATTACTGAATACATCATTGTTTCATAAATATTAACTATATTACAAAAGCGGTAATGCAATCGCCGTACAGACGCAATCGCGACAGACGAGTCGTTTGGGGGTAGAGTCGAAATAGTGTAATGTCGAGAGTCACCGCGTAGAGATCGGCCGGGGTGGTTTAAGAGCGCTTTAGTATTGCGTCGGCGACGTGCGTTACTCGCTTTTGTGTGTGCACTGGGCGCAGTGCAAGGGCGTCCATTCGCGTGCGGGCTTTGCCCGGCGGCGTTCGCCCGTCGCCCCTACCTGGACATTCACATGCGCACGCATACAGGCGAGCGGCCCTATCAGTGCGACGCGTGTCTGAAGCGCTTCACGCAGAAGTCCAGCCTCAATATACATAGACGGACGCACACAGGTGGGTGTCAGTCGGGCCGGACTGGACCCCGCCCGCCCCCGGCCTCTCCTAGCCGCGTCTCGCCTCTCGTTCGGCCGGTCTCTCGCGATCGTTCTCACTAACGTACCGAATAAATGGAGCGGAGTTAGCGGCGAGCGTCGACCAGTCCGCGCCGCGACTCCGTAGCTTAGGGCGTCTAGCGTCCTTCCGGCTCGCCGCCTCTATAATGTAATTTGGGCACCAGTCCAGGGCAGACCGTTCCAGTGCCTGTCGTGTCCCGCGGCCTTCACCTGCAAGCAATACCTGGAGATACACACGCGGACGCACACGGGCGAGCGGCCATATCAATGCGACATCTGCCTGAAGCGCTTCACGCAGAAGTCCAGTCTCAACATTCACAAGCGGACGCACTCAGGTACGTGGCGTCTCGAGTCGTAGGGCCGCACGGGCGGTATGCGGGCGCGGGCGGGGGGCCTGCGCGCTCTCTCTACACTACGCTAGAGCAACACCCCGGCTCCGGGCGAAGGTCTGTCGGCCTGCCTCCGCGGGATCGGCGCACAGAGTCGGGGTGCTGCTTGAACATTATCTACTCTGCTAATCAGACCGCCTTACAGTGCAGGGGCGGCCTTTCCAGTGTCTGCAGTGTCCCGCGGCCTTCACCTGCAAGCAGTACCTCGAGATCCACAATCGCACGCACACGGGCGAACGGCCCTACCAGTGCGACGTGTGTCTTAAGAGATTCGCGCAAAAGTCGACGCTAAACATACACAAAAGAACGCACACAGGTGAGCGTAGCTATGTCCGTACTTGTACTTTCATTTATTAACATCTCGTTATGAGGTTGTCGGTGCCACGTGTCAGGATAGTCGTGAGGTTGAAGCGAGCGAATGACTAACGTTGTGTGATGGGTAGTGCAAGGGCGGCCGTATCAGTGCATGGAGTGCCCGGCGGCGTTCACTTGCAAGCCGTACCTGGACATACACATGCGCACGCACACAGGCGAGCGGCCCTTCGAGTGCGATGTCTGTTACAAACGCTTCACGCAGAAATCCACCCTCAACATTCACAAGCGCATTCACACCGGTATGGAAAACGAGTTCTGTACTGTAACAGGGTTGCCATCTGTACCATTCCATTTACAATCCGTGCATTTAAAAAATATTGATGTAACCAGCATCGTTTGATGGCGGCCCTTAACAAGACCTCATCTACACTATCGGTTCGTTTACAGTACCGGTCTCGATTCCCTTTAAAACTATCAAAAAACGAATCGATAGTCTAAATTTGGTTTTTTATTTGTAAATCATTGAATGTGGTTTGTGATAGGTAAAGGGCTTATTGAAACTGTTTAGCCGGCTATAATTAAAAAAAATTAAAACGCTTTCCGGGGTATTTATCGGAAATAAATTAGTTAACTTATTTTCCTCTACGACCCAATGTTCCGGATGCTTTGCATCATTCTTGGTCACAGGGTGAAGCTGTAAGTTAACTAATATTTTTCGCGTTTTAAACAGTTAAAAAGTGAATTATTTAAATGTGCACTATTCGCATACTACGGTTGTAATTTAATTAGCAAGAGACAGCGTTTGCCTTTGTCTCTTCAAAATTGACGCCTTAATCAAAATGCTTGAGTTTGAACGGTAATTCGTGTCGTTCGTTTTCAATCATCGCTTAAGTTTCGTGAAACTGTACTATAACTGCAAGCCTTCGAAGTGAACGCAAACGCATGCGTATACGCATTCACCACATTAAGACCAAGAGAAGACGGCAAATTGCGATAACAGGTACAAATCTGGCCGAAAATGATGTGGCACCGACAACGTTTTAATATTTCATTTTCATTCGCTGCATCATCTTCAAGTTTCATGAATACCTTATTTATTATTATTTCTTAGCTTTGGATTCATTAATTTTTTCAGATTGCATTAAATTGCCAATTGCATCTTGCCGTCTTTGTAACATTTTGCTTATCTGTGCTTCGTTTAGCGCCATTACGTAGAATTTGCCTTTTTTGTTTTCACTAACATCACTCAGTACAAAGAATTTTCGTCTGTAACATTTGTTGTAAATTTCAGGGGAACGCCCCTACGCTTGTGATATCTGTCAAAAAAGATTTGCCGTGAAGAGTTATGTCACGGCTCATAGGTAAGAGAAGTAGATAGATCTGTACTAGTCTAAATGTATTGTTCGTTGAGATAAGACGTCTATCTTGAATGTGATAAAGATATAGCAATCGTTACGTATATATTAAATAAAAGCATAAAAAAGAGTTTGGTCGTTATAAAAAGAGAGACAGCATAAACATTTTCCTTTTTTTAAAAAACAATCGAAGTAAGATCATCATTATCCAAATATTTGCTACAAATTATAGTCACAGATAATATAAATCACGTTTAACCTCTTCCTGATATCAGAAATTCATAATTCTTTCTACGTATATGAAATAAATACAGAAAAATTAAAAATAACTAGCCGTAAATATAAGTAAATAGTAAATCTTAAATACTTAATTTTTACTTAAAGTCACGGTATTATTTTTTTTCACTTTTGTAACACCCCCTTTAAAAATAGTCCGAAATATGGATTCCAAGAAAATTTATTTACCATAATAGTCCACGTTTATTATATGTACTATTCGCGCAAAATACAGACTTTTTCTTTGAATATCGTATTTCTCTCTTTGTGAGAATCATTTTCTAAAAATTGGCGTGCTAAAATCATAATTCCACGATGGAATATAGAAAGGATGAAGTCGCCAGCGCTACTCACGTAAACAATTTTTCTGTGTTTTGTGTAATCTATAGTAGTGACTTACAAAATAATTAATATGAATATTATATATTAATGTATATTATGTTAGATGGTCTCACGTGGCGGACAAGCCGCTGAGTTGCGAGCGATGCTCTATGACGTTCACGTCCAAGTCCCAGTTCGCACTACACATCCGTACGCACGCGGCCGGTCCCTGCTACGAGTGTAGTGTCTGCGGCAGGACCTTCGTGCGAGACAGCTATCTTATACGGTATGTTATTGTCTTAATATATTCAATTTAATATTTTATAATAGATTTATATCGTCTAGTCAGCAAATCAATATAGTGGAAAAATGTAGTAATTACGACATTGAACCTCAAAATGTTATTGTTAAGGTTGAATTTACAATGCGCGAAAGGTGCACGTATCAATGTGTTCAAGAAATTTGTCGATGACTTGAAGAAGCAGCACAGAACGCTATGGATGACATTTCAAGTCTCACCTTTCGCCAATTTTTTTCATCTCAAATCGATTTTAATTTTAATTTAGTATAATTAAAAGATGTAACCTATCTAAAAATGTAAATGCATAACTTTTTTTCGGTGCAGTCATCATAATCGCGTGCACCGCGACAGCCATAGCAACATGTCGGCCAACAGCGGTGTCATCAGCAACGCAGGAAATGGAGGGAACAATTCTAGCAACTACGATTCGCCCGGCGTCTGTGACTTAAGGTATGACTCGATCCAATTTACTTTTTTAGATTGACTATTTTTAGACAGCTTCAACAAAAACTGGGAAAAATTTTAGTAACTTGCAAAAACAGTGATCGCATTAAAAACTTATTTCAACCTTTAGGTATGTACAGTGTAAACAGAAGGGGGGTCTTCGTATTTATAGCATCAATATGTTCAAACATTTTGTAACTCATATATAACGTTAGCTGTGGCCGCGCCTTCACCCGCGTAGGATCGTTATTTTGGACATCAAAATTTGCTTTTGCAAAACTCCTCATCATCTTTATATGATATACGTTTTCCCCGTCTCGTCATTCTTAAAAGATAGACATATACTATCGCGGACATTTTTTAGAGTATTTAAAAATGATTCCATTCTATCATATATATTTTCTAGTTTCTTAAACCATTTTCACAATGCACGCAACGAAAGCCCTCAAAAATAAACAATTTTCCTCATTTTTCCTACATTTTTACTTCCCCTACGCTTCTATCACTGCGACTCGCAGTCTGGTAATTATTATAGCCTTCCTCTATAAATGAATCGATTTTTTTAAGTTTAACCAACACAAAAAAAAATCGAACCAGTACTTTCTTTAGAGTTCTTGAAGTAGTAGTTTAGTATAGATAATGATGTTTTTGTTACAGCTTTGTCCCAATGGTGAACCGATACCTAACTTCTCAGGGTACGCAGGTGTCCCTCGACGGCACTACCAAGATGTCCGCTATGTCGCCTCAGTCCATCGCATCTATTTGTAAGTGCATGAAGAGATTTTGATTTTTTTATTTATTTAAATGCTGTGGTTTTTTATATGGAAGTTAGATCTTAAATTTGTATCAAACTATGAATCAAATTCTCATGTGAAGTTTGTTTACAGCGTCCCCCCCTCCGTCGCACACACCCACGCCGCAACCCCAACAGATGACGTCAGGGATGCGACTTTCGGACTGATCTATTATACATATTATAGGTAAAATTATTTGATATATTGTTACGCCACATAATGTTAGCCAGAAATAGCTGAAAATTATAAAGATTTTTTTTTAAGATAGAGTAGATCAAGGTGCACTTGATGGTACCTCATCCATATGACATCTAAACAAGATGCACTATCGACCTAATCCGGCTATGCATTTTCGAAATCCACTGACTGTAATCCAAACGCGATTAAACTTCACGACTTTTTCATCTGTGGACGGAATTTCGATATTTCTACCACCAGTTTAATATCCAGATTTTCAGAAGACCAACTTGTTTCAGAAAAATTTAAAAATTGATTAGCAAATATATTGCATTGTATGGGAAGTGCACCCATTACCCGTTAAGTATCTATATCCTAAATCGGGCAAAACTTAGAAAGTTACTTTCTTCAAGACTTTCTATTGATACGGTCTCCTTTCCGATAAAGAGGCAATGTTCTAAACCTCATTTGAGTTTTTCTTAGTAGAAGTCACATGCATCTTGTTTAACGGGTTAATATTATAAAGTGTCCTTTGTGATTCAGCTCTCGATTGAAGTATGGGCCGCCGAGTGCAATACCAGATGAACGGCAGCCAATAGCAGCTACCGGTGCAGTCGACACGAGACGGCACTTACACCACAGATACTAAAATTATTTTATATTCTTCTATTTATTTATACATATTTTTGGTCGGCCGTGATGAGGAAAGGTTAATTGTGCGGGAATGGGATCCCTCGAGCCGAGCACGTGTCGGGGTTAGATAGGGCTGCTACCTCATGGTTTTGTATCCGTAATAACTGGTTTTATTAACAGATTCTGCCCTACATACCTATCGCAAGATTATCTGTAAGAATACAGGTCCGGTGTCCTATTTTGCTACATAGATGTACCTAAACGAGAGTCGTCGCTAATTAGTGTAGTTGGCAGCCCTAGTAGTTGTAGCGTGGTAGCGGTACCGCCTATGTGATTGAAATCCACGTCTGTGATTTATATCTACCATCACAATATTTAATACAGTGGTGGCATACATAAATCGTTACTTAAAGTCTCATCGTTATAGATTGTAGGCCTAAATTTTTGATCTCATATTCTAATTTGCTTAGTGATAAATAATCTTTCGGAATGGTGAACGGTATCTCCAGTGAAATTCTAAATTCGTGGTTACTCGCTTGTCATCACTTTCCATACATTCATGCGTTAGGTTTAGCGATTGATGCAGGAATCCTCTCGTTCGTACTCCCGATAGCTTCATCGGTGAGCGAAGATGCGGCGACTTGCAGACAGTCGCTCAACCAGTTCATAGTTCACTTTAGAGTAGTGGAATATTAACAATATCTTATTGCGATGCTTTAACTTAGATGTGTCTGTGTATATCGATAATTTTATAGAACTGTTACCGATGAGAGGTCGAATATTTTGATCGCTAAATTTTAAAGGACTCTTAGACGATACTCCTCGACACTTATCCGTAAGAACGCTTTAATAGAGAAAGTGAACAGAATTCACACGAAGATAATAATAATTATAGCGTACGAGTACAAATCGATTGAACCGCAGAGTCCTAAGAGGCAATAATACAATAATGGCTTCACAAAATTAACTTTTAATATGATGTATATTGGAGTAATCCAGAGAAGTGCCTGTTGCAACATAAAATTGGCAATATTTTTTAATAGTATTTCGTTCGTAGGAGAGTTACGTTAGGTGTTCAATGTCACAGTAGAGCCGATAAGTGGAACTTGCACTTTATTCTATGCACAGAGCGTATCTTTTGTGAAGCTTCTCACTGTAACTTTGTGTGCCTTCTAGCAGTTAGCGCGGTTAGGCGATACGACTCGTTCCATTGCGTTCATTCTCATTCGCGTCCTCCACGATCCATCTCTTACTGACTTCCGTTTCGCGTACTAATAGTTTCCTCCTTTCGGGACTGTCGAATAGCGTAAAGTATAGTTGTATAGCGCAGTAGTCTTCCATACCTTGAGACGACGTGCAGTGTCCGCTGCGGGGGTTCCGTGTGGTTTGCCATTACGATATCAAAGATAGATTGGTGCCATTCAGTGTAAATGATGCGGTAGAAGTAAGTTTATAGTTAAGTTCGCCGGTCAGGGTAGAGTGGAAATAAAATACTGTACAGCGTTCACCTCGACTCAGCGTCTGTTGTTTCGTTTCCTCCTCGTTGTTTGTTTTCGATACATTATTTTATTTCCATCGAGCGTGTGTCCAAGTGTTGAAGGTCAAAATTGTAAATATTCGTAGGAGTTATTTATTCGAATGTCACGGGATTGATGAGTCGAAGTTATATTGAACGATATGATTATTTCGTAGAGGCGTAGTTCTACGGGATCGGGTCGAACTGAAGCGGTAATAATGGAAGTAATCGTAGTGATTAGGTCAGAAGTATACTTTCTTATTTAAATATCGAAATTTCCTCGTAGATATACATATTAATAATGAGATATATACATGTGAATGTTGTTTGATAGTCCTCAATATTTTTTTATATTTTGATAGTTCTGTATTGTGAAACACGAGAAAATAGGCCAATATCTCATTTATCATTTATAAATAAAATTAAATAACTAATAATAATGTATGTATGCGATACTATAAGATTAACTACGAGACGGATGCATTTAGTCGCCCAGGAAGTGAAAGTATAGATATAGAGATAACATCCAAAATATTTTACCGTGTTTTCGAAAGTGACGTTTTTATTAAGTTTTTACCAAGCCATTGAGAACAGTATTATTTAGGGAAACTAGATGTTCCAGTTATCGGATAGTCGGCTATCCTCTACCAACTTAGTGATCACCAATGAAGAATAAGATCGATTATTATTTACCTACAATATATAATATATATTTAGCGGCAGCGTCGAGGAGCTCTGAGCGATGTTGTGTAACCATAGTTATGAGAACGGAATAGAAACACCAACATAGTGAACTAGTTACATAAAGTATATAAAATGTATATTGTCGTGTGTCCGCTCCCCGCGACTCAGCGAGGATGCAGCTTCTTATAGATTTAGTAATATATTTTTGTTATATGTTCTTGTCATTACCGTGATTGTTTTTTATATTACATTGCTTCGTCTTCGCCATCCTGACCGAGTCCAGGGGTCGAGCGGAGTTTATAGAGAGCGGTTCTTCTTCGTTACGACATGTATCTCTATATTTACAACCCTTATTATGTATCGAAAGGGGAGAGCTATATATCGTAAATGTCGAGGCACCGAACAACAGTCAGGATGCACAAATTCGCGCCGATCCACAAAAGGTATTTTTGCAGGCGGTTCTTTACCGGGTCGGGGATGTGTGCGTCTTTTCTGCCCCAACTATTTTACATACAATACGATGTTAGTTACTAAATTAGAGTGTAATCGAGCTATAATTTTCAGTTACGTAATCGTCCCTAATTTCTTTAGTCGTACTTCCTCCATTTTCCAACCGTAGAAAAGACTGAGATGCTATGGATCCACAACGTGTACACCAAGAATACTCAATGGGAAAAAATATGGCGAAATTTTATCGGTTTGTTATTTGTTATGTTAATATCGGAGCGGTTGTGGTGTTGGACCAACCAGTTTCTTTGTAAATCTTTAAAAATTTTGTTAGGAAATCGTACATATCTTAGCCGTTGATGATAAATGTATACCTATAACCGTTGTCGAGGCAGTACTAGTCGTGGGGGCTACGGCCACCGAACACCGCTCGCTCCCGATCGAGGAACGCCTCCGCGTGTCGGGGGGGGGGGGGGGAGTGCGGACGGCGCTTCCTCCACCGGGAGCGGTGGTCTATCCACTTGAATGTGCTAGTTTTATTGAGAAAATAACAGTGAGCCTTGTGTAATCATTATGACTAAGGTACATAAATATTTAGTTCTATAGTACTTTAGATTTACGCGAACTTCCGCTTTGTCAACATATTGCGTTGCTTACATCATAATCATACGAGAGTACAGCCTAAGGATTTTAACGTTTTTTTATATACTGAGAGCTATTCCTAAGTCACTGATTTTGTACTATTTATAGTTGTATAACAAATTTTATCGGCTTTAAGCCAAAAAGAAGTTTTGGAGTGTTTTACATACCTACTTTTAATTCCTATTTTATTGAAATTCACAACAAACATCATGGCATGATGCTTTTTGCTACGGTCATTTAGTTATAGCTCTGCAGGTGTTTATTGACCAATATTTTTAACTGCAACTGTTTTTCTTTTATTGTTAAAATTTTTAGGCTAGTTATATTTTATGAGATAAGTTAGGTTCGTTAACTGTGGTGTATTACATTGCACGTGAACATTGCACCTTTACAGCCTCGATTACTTCAGAACTATATTATTGTTTGTTTCTTTATAGTTGCATTGTGATAAAATTTATAACTCAGATGGAATAGTACTTAGAAGGCATCTACGGTCCTTTTATACTTTTATAAGTGGGTTTTTTATATTCTTAACCATGGGTTTGTTAAAAACATTGCTTTTTCGTTGCCTTCGGAGACTGGATTTTACTTTGAAGATGGCTACTTAAGGTACTATCCATCTTTTACTTAAGTTATTTTTTATATTATCAAATACATTATTTTTTTTATATTTATCGTTGATTCTTTGAGAGTATACCGTTATAACTCTTATTCGTAGTTCTACTCTTATTGTTTACAGTTTTTCGTTTATGGTATGTGTATACCATTGTCTTTGAAGACGTGACGCGTAAGGAGGCTGTAAGGTCCATTATGTAGTCAGCATTATGTATATGCTTTAATGTGATTTTTTAAATGTACTCTTTATTATCATTAGTATCATCAATCAATATAATTAGCGAACTAACAAAGCGATTTTTAAAATTTTCATTTAATAGTGATTTATATTGAGATCAAAATAAATACAGAGTTTATTTAATTTTATGGAAAGTATACATTGTAAAATTATTCGATAGTGCTCGAGTTATCGAGCCCTTATAAAAAGAAATTATATGAATGCAAAATAACAAGTCACGATTCTTTTAGAAGTCGCCATGTAGTGGAGAAAAATAAACGTGCCATGATATTTGTGGCTAATCCGCTTGTTTATTTCATGAAAACCCTTCCTCCCATATTTTAAAGAACAATCAAAATAACCATAGTAACATGATAGAATTTGTTTAAAGAAAACCAAAAATTAGAGAAATTAGAATTATTAAAAGAAGGTTAGTGATTTGTACAGTTATTAGTTAAAACACTTGTGGATTTAAATTCTATATTTAAAACTAACAGTCGACTACAATTTCCTCCTTAACTACATTCGCGTCTCCAGCAGGAGCTAACGTATTGTCAACTATCGGTGCTGGACTCCGATAATACCTGTTGCTCACGTGGTGTTCCTTCAAGTATTCTCCCCCCATCTCGTAGTAATTCTCTTTAGTGATGCAGCAGTTCTCGAAATCGTTACCGCTCGCGAAATCGCGTGCCCCGTGCCATGCATCCAAGCTGGGATCGCTCGCTGTTACCACTTTGTGCGTGGATTGGAACGGCCGCATTTCTAAGAGTTCTCGTTCAAGGCGTTCCTTGAGACCTGCAAGATTTATAGACGTCATCAATTTTACAATAATGACGGAGTCATGAGAATGCATAAACGTTTTGTAGGGCTCGTTAATAATCTACGGGTCGCGTGTTCGATCCCCATTAGGTCCAACAAATCTAATCAATTTATAATTTTTCTGAAACATGATAGACTTCGTATGGGAATCTGGATATAAAATAGGTGGTAGGACTGTCGAAATTTCGCCGGGTCACCTTTACCGGGTTTATTACCTTTCGGTTTCAGTGTGTGGACTTCCGAATATCTAAAGACAAAATGGGTCATCACCGCATCTTGTTTACTCGAATATAGATCCTATAGGCTCGGGTGTTAGTAATACCCGAGCCTATAGGATCTATATCGAGTAAACACCATGTTTGACTGTCCTCCTCTACGTAAAAAAAAAAACACCTTTTATAACATAATGTGACATTACCAGGGAACTGCGAGCACCCGCCTGTCAGAAACACGTTGTTCGCCAACAACAGCTGGTCTTCCGCGTTGAAATGTTTAAAGACATACTCCATAGTTTCCGCTAGACCTGCCTCCAGGTTTCCCATCATTGATGGTTGAAATATCAACTCGGGTGCTCTGAAATTGAATAATTACATAGTAAATAGGTTATATTGTCTATTAAGTTATACAAGGAAACAACTACATTGATAATTTTCTTCACAAATTTATACCATTATCATAAAGCAGAAGGGTTTGTTTATTATTTTCTGGATTATTTAATACAAGGCTTAACCCGTGACCAATAAGAGCAAAGAAACGCTATACGTAAACGGTTCTTGAAACCAAAATATGTATGATATAAAGACTCCTTTTTAAACGATCTAAAAATATGTCCACAAAAGTTCTATATTTAAAGATTAAATTGCCAGAACGACGGGACGCGGTCGACGTCGTGGACAACAGCTAGTGTAACGTGACAAACTTTTTTACCAACCTGTAAGGTTCAATAGCTAAATGCAATTGATGGTGCATACTGGAAGGCATCTGAGGCTCGTATTCCCGTAACGCCTCTTCTAGTTCTACGATCCTCTCACCGTCCGCATCTGAATCTGAGTCGGCGTCACGACTTATACTGTGGAAGTAAGATATTTAAACGTACTATTGTTAGAGAAATATTGTGATGACGTTATCAAGGAGGGGGGATAAGAAGTAGTGAATTTGATCGTGCCGATAACTTGCCTAAAGTGAGCCTGCTCGATTGCAAAGTATTGTGTTATTTAATAATTAGAAAGTAATAGTTTATTTAGTTTTTTTTTGTGATTTAATAATTAAAGTCTAAATTTAAATTTAGAAAGAGCCAGTAAATAATGATTGCCTCTTTTTTTATTATATTCCACTTCCATTCTTGAAAACAAACTATAGTCATTTTACAGAGCTTGTTTTTCTTAATGGAGTGATTAAATTATGTACCTTTTATATACATCCCAATCTGAATCCTGGTTGCCAAACTCGTCACCAGCAGCCGCTAGACGAGAGATAACACGCATTCTTTCAGCGGCTGCTGCCGTGCGCCTGCGCACCATTGCAGCTCGACGGGCACGACGCGCTTCACGACGTGACAGTATCTCACTGTACTGTAAAATTAAATTTTTTTTTTTACCTGTACTTGTTTTTTTTTATTTTGAGTGGGATTAATTTTTTATGTATCTAATGTTTCTTTAGGGTTCCTTCATATAACATCTAAACGAGATGAACGAAACATCTAAAGAAGAAATAGGGCGAAACAGGCCCTATTTTGGCATTGGATATTCGGAAATCTACAAACTGAAATCGAAACGCGAATAAACTTCACGGCTTCATCTGTAGACAGTGGTTCGTGACGGGGACCTTTTATATACCTAATTAATATCCAGATTTCCAGAAGAACTTTCAGAAAAAATATAAAAATAATTACAAAAATGTTGGAATTGGTGAGGATCGAACCCACGACCGGGAAATTGTTTGATAATAATTTAATCGCATTTTAATTCCCATAAATTATGAAATCACCCCAGTGCGCCAATAAAAATGATCTAAGCGCAAGACCAGATACAAACCTTAGCCCTGGTTTCAGTAAGCCAAGTCTGAAACGCGACGGGGTCCTGTGGCGGTTGCATGCGACCACTGGGCCGTGGCTCTACGACCTCCTCGGGATTCGCAGCTGCCGCTATGCGCTGTTTGTTCTTCTCTATTCGCATATTAACATTTGCTATTTGCCTCTGAAATTGAAATAAAAATGTTACTATGCATTTATATGGTATACTAGCTGATCTGGCAAACGTTCTTTTACCATAATCTGAAGTATTTACATGAATAGGATTACCACAAAAGACACTGTTGCCGATATATTAGGAATAATTCTTATATATATTTATATATTTTGTTATCTTGAACCGTTGTCGCAGCACACGTAATGGAAACAATTTTTTCACATTTACCGCGGTCTCTTCGTTCCTATCGGTCGCAGCCTGATATTTTATAGCCTAAGGTCTTCCTCGACAAATGCTCTAACCAACACGGAAATAATTTTTCAATTCGAACCAGTAGTTCCTGAGAAACGCGAGTCAAACAAACCAACTCCAGCTTTAGATTATAATAGATTTATATCGATTAACCGCAAACCTGTAGATCGGCGTAGCTCTTTATTTCGAAAGTCTTAATCGCCTCTTCAAACTCCTGAGTGTCGCCATCTTCTATTAAATCCTGTAACGAAAGACAGTGTAGGTGTTAGACAAAACATTTTAAACAAATATATATAATATAAAAAAATAAACTATATAAGATGTAGATACCTGTATAGCAAGCAGTTGATTCATTTGCTCTTCATCTTCAGCTAACCTTTCTTCCCGTTTCCTTGCATTTATTTCTAAGAGACGCCGTGCCATTTCCTTCTTACGCTCTTTTTGTTGCTCCGCTAGATACATTACAATGTATTAATTAATCTAGTATTTATTATAACAATACATGAATAGGCTAGTGTCACTAGTTGTTGACCACCACAAAAAGACACATACTTCTAATCATTAAAAGGTAGGGATTGACACCTATACTAATATATCAGCTGAAGAGTTTGTTTGTTTGTACGCGCTAATCTAAGGAACTACAGGTTTGAATGGAATTATACGTTGGTTTAGAGCATTTATCGAGGAAGGCTATAGGTCTATAAAACATCGCGCTGTGACTAATACGAGCGAAGATACAGCGGGATATGTGAACAAAACATTCAAGATACCTAAAAAATGTGTATGAAAGAATGATTTATCTTTAAGTGATCTAAAAAAAAGTCCGCGAAGTCTATATGTCAAGATTTAAAGATAAGAACTTGCAAGAACGACGGGAAGGGATGCGATCGGTCGTGACTAAGGGCTTAGTTTATAAATATTACGCGGATTTGCAAAAACTAATTTGGATGCCCAAAATAACGATTCTCGCAGACGAAGTCGCTAGCACAGCTAGTCATTGATAAAAAGAAGATACTGATATAAATACTCTATCTACTAATTAACTAGGTATAAAATGAATGTTGAAGGGAAGAATTATTTAACATTACAATAAATATATGTTTAAACTTCTATTACCTGTAAGTGCAGAAGAACTTGTGTTTTGCACATACGGTAACTGGATTCTTTTAACATGCCCATCGTAGTAGTCTGCATTTGCCCATTTCTTTATTTCTTCCTGATAGTCCAAAACAATTGAACAGTGCTCATGCAATATCTCTTCAATTCGCGACATTGTTATTGCATTTACATGCACTGGGTACTTTAACTGAAGGAGCTTGTGTAGGTAACATATAATTTCACTGCCCCCTTAAATTTTTAAACACAAATGATTCACTAGGACATTTTATTAGGCGATATATTCAACCTTTAATGCATTATAGGCGTTAAAGAGTTTTCATATTTTTCTTAAAACATATACTAAGTTTATTCTCAATAAAAAGTTATGATAAAAATATTTACCTAAATTAATTCTTCGTGCATGTTCAGCAATAACATTTCCCCGAATGACAGGGATGATATGGATTGTGTGGTATCCAAGATTTATAATGAGGCCTGAATCTCCAATTTGGTTTCTATAAAAGCTAAATAGAGAGTCAATTCCATAGCTTACTGCGGGAACTCCATATCCTTCAAAGAGTAGTTCTGACATCACTAAAAATTATATAGAACATTGCATGTACTATGTTGTTATATATGGCATGTACCTAATATATATTGATTAAAAATAGTAACAACTTAAAAACTACATTTCAAGGGGGTTTTTTAGCAGCGGCAGTTAGAAGTCAATCATACATGGTTTTCTCTTATCTTGTACTTAACAAATACTTACATTGCCTTGAATAATTAGGTGCAACAAAAGCTTCAGTCATAACAATGGGATGTGGAACACAGCCTTCACTGTCCAAGCCCAAATGTGAAAAGATGTAATCACACACAAGTTCTTGGACTTCAAAGTGAGTCACAACATTTTTGTCAAATTGAGTTTTTAATTGGAATCTGAAAAACAATCACTTAGTATATTGTTCTTATAATATTTACACTTTTAACATACACAATAATATGTATCATAATTTGTGTATTAGCTGTATTGGTTTTAGGTCTGGAGGTACATGAGAAAGTAATGAACAAACATAGTTTTATTTAATTTCGATACAAACCTAAATAGAACACTATTACCGGTTTAAAACGCGAAATGTATTAGTGAAACTTTTGAGTTTGTTTGTTTGTTTGAGTATTGGAATTGCTAAAACAAATACTGACCTAACAGCTTCGATATTGATAATATCATTTCCTATTTGTATTGGAGGTGTAACTGGAGGTTCGGAGTCCTTTTTACAGCGATCTTTACGGGGTCGTGCAATTAGATTTTTAAATATTAAATGTGGTTCATCATTTATCGACCACCCGACGCGGCATTGATATGAACCTGTAATAAACGGAAAATGGAACAACTTTCTAAGATCAAACGAAAAGATGGTCATAAATAGCGAAAATTATAAGTAATTTACCATTATCTATCACTAGCGGAATATGTCCAAATTTGACTGTAGGCTCGTACTCATGAACTATATCTGGCACTGTTTTATAATCCTTCAATACCAATACATCCTCCATTTTTCGAAAACAAACAGAATTCAAGAAAAACTAAATTAGTGCAATAACTTAACCTTTAAATTACCAATATTTACAAATAAAGCATCCAAGCTACTATTACCATAGAGAGTACTATTTAGCACTTCGACCGAACAGATGAACTCTCAACCATAGATTATATAATATAAAAAATTAAAACTAAAAATCTTCTTTGGTATTATATTAATATGTTTTCTAGTTATTAGATAAATTCTAGTATTTAAATAAAACACGTTAACGGATCAAAGTGGAAAATGTATTGGTTAACTCATAAACAATTTATTTTATCTAATATTTTTACTACTACTTTATGCATTCCAAACGCCCGAAGTTTACTAGAAGCTATGCAGCCACCGTGGTTACCTACGGGATGTTTCTACTTACATGTCAAATCAAGTAATTAAATATAGATCGCGAACTCAAATAATATTTTGTCGTTAAAAATGTTTCGTTTACTTTACCTTTAAAATACTACTGGTACCGTTTTTACGTAAAATACATACTGGATTTAATGTATTTGTTTTAACGCAACGCGAAAGCCATAAATATAGCTCTATTTTTTAGTTTAATTTTCTAATAAGGTATCCATGTACTTCAATAACCTGGACAAGTAATAAAAACAATGGTATTATGGCTTTAAATACTTTTATTACGTTAATGGCGCTTGTTACATATTCACGAGTCGCTACAATTTCTACGAATTTAAAGAAAACACCATTTATAGAGTAAGCATTTGGATCATTTTCAATAACAATAATAAAACTCGTATAGGAATGTAATTTAATAGCGTTAATAAATAAAAATCTATTAAAAGGCGATTATATATCGATCTATGATATAAATATAGAGTTGATTTTTCCAAATAACAATTACTAAAACTGCAATATTTACACGAATTTAAATATAAATAACATTTCAAACAGTTTTAACTTTCAACAATGAATAAGATGCGGCCAGTCAAGGGCTGTGGTAAAGCTATTTACAGTGTTTATAATACTTGTGTCATCTGAAGGTAATGCTTCGACCAAGAGTTCTAGACAACATTAACAACAAAATACATGATGGCTATAATTCTTAAGCCTTAGCTCCAACAACAGTACCGGCCTGCTTGTCAATTTGTTCCTTTTCCAGCTGTTTGCCAAGGTATTCCCTGTAATGCAAAAGTATGATGAAACCACAGAAAAGACCTGATACAGATACAAATGTTTTAAATATAAAACAGTTTAACGGTTTAAGACGCGCAGCAGCCGAAACGTCGGGCCGAAGTTAAAAATAATTTCAAATAAGTTTAAGTAATATATGGCGTTTTAAACCGTTAAAGTGTTTTATTTAAATGTATAGTATTCGCGTAAACTATAGACAGTATCCATAAAACAACATATTTTTTTTACAAGAACATACCAGTTGTGAACCATTAGTTTCTGAACGGCAAGTAGAGCTTCATAGCGCACGTTGGGGTCTTCGTGGCTCAGGAGGTACATAACGCGTTGCTTTCCGCCTAGTTGTTCGATGACGCTGTAAAAAAAGCTCTCTTTAATGTTTTCTCTCTCTCTCTCTTATCTAGAAAGAATATCTATATATCTATAATAGAAAATATAGTGTTTCTATCTAACTACCAAAAATGTTAGATTTTAAACACGAAGTAGACAGGTGTGCTAGTAAATCCTCCTGGATTCATTTACTATGCCAACTTCTGCTTTGTCTTATGTAGTATTAATATTTTCATTAAACAAAATTCTTTAGAATAAAATGTTCCAGGTACAATATTCAAGTAAGTGGAAAAGTTGCATAACTTTGACATTGGCATTTGTTTACATAACACAAAGTCATAAGCTACAAATGATTTTTTAAATATTTACATCTATTAAAAGAAAAGACAAGTCGTTTATAGGACAACAACGCATTCTCAGTGGGTTATAGAGCATCTCTATTATAGAGTTATTAGTATAAGCAAGGTTTATAAATCACTTAAATATACTAACTGCTTGCCACGGGGGTAGTGTCGAACGTATTCTCCGATGTCGTAGCAGGCGACAGCGAGAACTATGGGATCGCGGCTCTTCTCTAGCAAGTGAACTAGGGTACGAAGGAGTTCTTGACCGCGCTCGTTCAGCCTTGCAGCGTTCTCGCGCCAGAACTTAGCAGATTTGTGCACGGGGGACCATTCCAATCTGGAAATTGGATGGATGGTGATTAATGAAATAGGTAATGTTTAACAGTAAAACAATAACAGTGTACCTGTTAATAATTTGTTTTATTTACACTCTTGATTTTTTTAGCAGTTGAAATACAAAAAAATATATAACTCACCGTCCACTCTTAACTTCAGTAGCGTATTGGTCGAAAGAACTGAGGTCCTGCACTGAGGCCTGAAGACGCTCGTTGAGGAACTCCACATCATTCATAATATCTTCGTCGTCAGAACGCTTCTGTTCCAAGATCGACAGCTGCTTCAGTACTTTGCATTGCACCATAGCAATGCAATGCTCTTTAGCGACCTGTACATATTGAATGGGATAAAAGTGTGTACATATAACATTATCCATACAGACATGTGATTCTAAAAATTTATCTACATCAGTTATGCCGTTTAAACGAACATCGTCTCTATTTTCTTACCCTTTAACGTCTATTTAATTATTTTTCAGTAATAAAGTAAATGTAGTTTACTTTGAGAATAAATGTTTGACCATAATGTCAAGATAAGAATATTATTATCAAATTATAACAATAACACATAGACATGTAAATATACATTTTAATTGCAAGTATATCTCTTTTAATATGCCTCACCTGTTGATCTTCAGGCTTCTCAATCAAGTTCCTGAAAACAGCCAAAACGATGCGCGTAACCTTCTCCTTGACAGAGTCGCTCAGGATATCAGCTAAGATGGGGATGGCATTGAACTTGTTCATCTTTTCCGCCAACAACGGGTTGAAAGTTAACACCCACAGGCAGAATACAAGCTGGTATTGGACCTGAAAAGAAGAAAGTTATTTTATACTTCAGATTAAAGAAAGAATAAAGCTTAAAAAATAATAAACAAAATTGTTGGACAAAGAATGGCCACATCTATTATGCAAATATTTTTTAAACTGTACCTACTATGTACTATTGATATTGCTTGTTATTTCTTACTCATACCCACTAGATAAATTATTTTCTATTTCTTTTTCCTGTACTTCAGGTTGCCTGGAAGAGATCGCTTCTTAGCGATAAGGCAGACTTTATTTATAGGTTAGCATGTATGATTTTTCCTCATTAATATATATTTTATGTGGTGTGTTTTATAAATAATAAAGCATTTATTAAATACTAATTAGTATGATCTTTTGTTGTATACTGCGATGGACACGAGCGTCTTTTTGTATCTTTGGTACCCTACATCTCTTTTATTACCTGGAAGTTGACCCTTGAGGCAAGGATGGAGAGCAGAGTAGAAATGCCATCGACGGAGAGAAAGGCGAAACGGTATTCGTCAACGCGAAGCATCATCTGGAGGCAGCGCGCCACCGACTGGATGTAGTCGTTGTTCTATTAACAAGAGATAATGTAAATTTTATTAAGTACCTTATACTATATATTTCTTCTACAAAGCTTGTAAGAATCGCACAGTTTTCAATCTATAGGTATATTTAGACACTGCAATATAAGATAATAGCAATCTCCATCAAATATTGTTAAAATATTAGTTTACAAAATTACATAGCATAGAAAACAGTAGTCACAAATTGAAAACATTAAATATTTCAAGTTGTAAGCTTTACATCAAAGAGCTTAAACAAAAAGCTGGCCCATACAATATAAATAATTTCAAAAACAAAAGAAAAAAAGTATAACATCATTCCTCAACAGGCAAATTACAGTGCCTCGGTATAAAATACATAAAGTACCTTAGAAAATATACATAGTATTGCATGACGGTTGTAAATTACAAATTAAATAATCCTAAAGTACACTTTTCTGATACATTTGCTGCTTACTAACTATGTACTTCTTAAAAGTATATAATCACCTTCTGGTTTACAACTCAAAACATAATATATGACCTATAGAAAAGAAAATCAGAAGCGAGTTTATACAATTCTAGTAGTCAAATGTTAGTAGGATAGTTAAAACTGACAATGCAAGCTCCAGTGTTATTCAAGTACAAAAATGGTTATTTACAAAACAAAGTAGGTACAGCGCAATTTTCGCGTTAGTGACACAGTATGTCCAGTTATAGTACACCGTTACATTCACGTCTCGCGGCTTTGTCAACACAAAATACCTTGTGGAGGCCCGGAGGCAAGTCCTCGTGGGATTTCAGAACATCGAATGAGCTGTAAAGGCTCGAATACTTTTCGCTGTCAGCTTTCTCTGCGCTCTTGTCCTTGTGGTGGTGCTTAACGTGTTTATCGGAGAAATTTTGTTTCTCGTGCTCCAACATAACCTGCTCAGCATGCGCTAACTCGGCAGACATTTTCTCCGCCTTGCCAGAAAACAAACCTCGCAGTGATAAAATGCAAACCATTTCCATAAAATCCCAATGGCGAAATAATGGTGATGTAATGGCGCGGTCGGACACCCGAGACAGGTGAACATTTCATTAACCATGTTTATGATTGTTAACCCAATGCAAATGAAGTCAGATAAACGGTAATATAAAAAAGAATTAACAATAATATAATATAAAAACCTCTACAAACAATAAAGATTAAAAAATTAATAACACAAGTTACAAATATTATAGAGTATCAAATTAATTATTGTAATTCTCCTTAAACAATAAGTCTTTATTGTACATATTTACTGTCTGGTGTGTTTTAATCACAGGTATACCATGGTTAGATAAATGTTCTTATGTTATGCAACTGTAAATAAAATGTATTAACATGCCATTCATATCTAAAATATAGACAAATATATAAATCAATACAGACAAGAAACATGCTTTTTGAATGCACACAATGCTGGAGGATGCAGGAAAATTCCAATGTAATTAATGTTCTCTTTCTGTTATGTACTTAGGAAGAAGCAGTAATAGCAGAATAAGTTTTAATATCAAGATTAGAAAAACAGCATTAATTTCAAATGCCCATATCACCTCTGCATTTGGAAACAGTACAAACTTAAAAGATAGCATGATGATTATGTTATCAATTATCTCATACATATATGATTTCTTACAATAGTACTGCTCTCTTCCTAATATTTCTTTTGTCATACTAAAAAGAAATAGCAGTGAACATATACAAAAAAAAACCAAACTTACAAATTGTATACTGAATCATGCCCAAAAAATAACCACTTACATTTGACTTTAGTTGGTCCTTGAGCCATGACAAGTAGAAGTGTAGATCACTTTTCTCCATCAGCTGTGGGTGCCAGCACGCTAGCTTCGCAATGATGCGAGCCGTCATATGCTGCACAAACTCATCTTGTCGGTTCAGCAGATTCAGGAATGGCTGCCAGACATTGCCATGCCTTGATTGACGGAAGATCTTCACTCTAGATTTGTCTTCCTAAAAATTTTTTATGTAAAATACTTTTTAATGATTATATGTCAATTAAGCATATTTTAAATTAAATTCTTTCAGAGTAAGAGTAGGCTTAAAGCAGTATACTTAATAAAGGAATAATTCACAACAGGTAGACTTTTAAGTGGTAAAACAATGTCTTTGGAAAACTGGATGAAATACAAGGTTAAGGTCATTTGCATCAAGTAAACATATGTATGGTACATATAACAAATATTTATATTTATACTTACAGATAAGATGTCATCGATTAGAACTAATACATATTGAATGGTGTTATCTTTGCTGATGTGAGTAATTAGGTTCAAGAAGACATCAGCACAAGCTTCTGGGTTTTTGTCTGGCAAATCCTTTTGACCACGTTGATCTAGGTTCACAATAAAGTCATGATCGCGCTGAGTGATCATCTGCGACCTACAAATTATACATTTTTTCAAAGAATGAAAAATGATTAGGTAGACTTTTATTTGTATGTGTACTTACTGGAGGTAAGATTGCCAATTTATTTGACTTTGCCGAATCTCACTTGCTCTAATTTGTAGCACGCTGGTGGCAGCAATCATATCTGAAAACAAATTTCTTGAATAGATAGAGAAAAATAAATTCACGAACAAAATGTTGAAAAGATATGTTTTAGGAATAAACTTACCGATTTTATCGTCACCAAGCGTGGGAATTAGTTTGCTAACATTTTCATCGTTAATGTTAGCCATTTTGGCTACTTTTTATCAAGGAAAAAACGCCTTACAAGAAATAAATGTTACGGAAATTAAGTTTCCGAAAACACAAAAATGGTAGATCGAACACTCAGCTGAGAAGTCTTGTGACTTAGAGAATTGTCGTTGTCTTTGCTTTATTGTTTATGGTTATTCAAAGTATTGCTTACCTTCTCTAATGTAGACCTTTCGGGCTGTAAGAAATGGGATAGAGGATAGATAATTTAATTTAAAAATGTTGCCATTGCTGTTTAGGTTCATAAACATAATTGTCAAAGTCAAAACTAATAATAGTAAAGTAGAGTAATGCCATCTAGTGTTCATTAAGAATACACACAACTTTTTATGATTTTACATTAAAAATTGTATTACCTAAACTTAATAACCTTACAATTTTATTATGAGTTAAGTTACTTTATAAATAAATGTACACATTTTTTTATAAAGTATCTTCTGTCCGTTCACACATATAACTGTGCATATACGTGACAAAATAAATTCATTCTAATAAGTACCTATTTAAATAGATCGCATTAAAAAATGTAAATAAGAAAATATGTATATATACACAACGAAATTGTTATAAAAGGTAAGTTTTAGTCAAAAGTTGTAAAATATTAAAATTTACTCTAGAATATTTTTTAGATATTTAACATTAAGCTTATTCGATATCACAATATCGTTAACAGATATTTTACTATTAGTAATACCCTTAATCACTGTTTACTAATATTGTTACAATTTTTAAATTAAACCTGTTGATTAAAGGGTTACTTACGATTGTACTTTTCATCATCTTTTGGTTTTGTTGATGTTGTTTCCATTTTTTTTTCACTTAATCAATTTTGCTCACAACAGAATGCTATAATTTAGTATCGTAATTCATATTAATATATTTTAATAACAAATTGACTTATGTTACAGCTTCATTATAGTCATTTGGACCTGTGACACATTGTGCTAAAAATACATTTTGGGTACTGGCCAGTTTCTTTGTCATGGCTAGTTTGCAATCAGAAGCAGGTTGTCAAAGTAATGACCTAAATAATCAATTCCCAATGGAGGTAGAATCCTCTTTAAGATTTCCATTGGACAGTTCAATGAGAATAATTTTTACTGGATATTACAATGGGTTTGGTGTGGAGGTCAGGGGAATTGAAGAAATGTCAATGTTGTACCACATGGGTTGTTTTGGAAAGAGTACTAAATCTAAATCTAGACCTAAAGCTATTAAGAATGATGAAAGTCCACAAATTATGAGGAAAAGGCAATACCTCAAAAGGAACTATTGGTTTAAAAAGTTTGAACCCACAGAATCATGTACAGAATCAAATAGTTTCATTAATCATGTAGATAGTTTATTGACCAAGCTCCTTAAAGATAGTGCTAGTAAAACAAATGATGTAATAGATTTAGTTTCTAGCGATGACGGTGATACTGAGCAAAATGACACAGTGGAGTCCAAAGATACCTTTACTTATGGGAAACAAGCAACAGTTGTTATTGTACCAAATTCTGATTCTGAGGATGATAATTATTTTCTTAATTTGAAGCCAAAGTGCTGTGTTAACCGAATAAAACTGGAAGAAAAGCTAATGCTGACTAAGCAAGAAGCATTTTTCCTTGTATATGGACTGGGCTGTTTACAAGTGTTAGATAGTGAAAACAAGGTTTTAAAAGTAAAAGATTGTTGGAAGCTGTTTGCTGAAAGTGACAGTAGTTTCATTAGGAAGTATGTTGTATATCACTATTATAGATCTAAAGGGTATATTGTGAAGCCTGGAATCAAGTTTGGAGGAGATTATTGTAAGTTATCAGTACATTGGAACTGAAAAGGATTTTTATAATATGTGACTTGATAATTTTTGTTTTAGTATTATACAGAGAGGGTCCTGGTATTAACCACTCCGATTTTATTGTGGTTATAAAACATGAATATGACGATTACAATACATGGTTATCTATTTTAGCCCATGTTAGAATGGCTGTTACAACTCTTAAGGTAAGTATCTGCTGAGTAAGATATATTTTACAAGTTTCTAGTTTTTTATAAGTTTATAATTTAAAATAAATGTTGTTTGCAGGAGATCTTAACAATTGAAGTAATAGAGCCAAATGCAAACATGACTCTACCAAATGATCTTAATAAATATACTGTGAAGGAATTGTTGTTAACAAGACACCTTCCTGTAGTAATAAATGCTGGTAAAGACTAAAGCTGTTTATTTTTGTAATGTAAAACTACATGTTTACAGTATTTACGCCCTTTTTATTGGTTTTTTAACGCCTGTACTCCTATATTCACTTCTTTCCTTCAAGTATTCTTCTGTACATATTTTTTTGAATTCCTCATTTTTATACCATTTGCCTAAACAAGTTTTCATAGCACTATTTTCATTCCTACATTTAAAAACCATTAATAATGAAGAATCCTTGCAACATTCCATAAAGTGAGATACTTCATCTACACACTTTTCAGCTTTTGCCTTTTCTCTCATAAGTTTTGGTATTAAAACTTCTATTTCCACCCTTCTTAGAGACTTATCATCTGGATCACCTGTATCAGAAGACCAGATTTAGTAATTGACTCTATAAATTCTGAATTTTCGTATACATGGTCCAACGCCTTACCTAAACCTTTAGGTCCTGATGAATATTTTGGTGGTAGAACTGAGTGTTCAGCTGCTGTAGTCATAGTTTGCATGATTTAAATTCTTACAACTAACTAGTTATACGATAAACTCATCAATATCTCTTAATAATTGCAGGAACTAACAGGAATTAAAAAAAATAATCTATTTTATAGTGAAATCCTCAAAATTCGCATTTCGGCATAGTAAAAACACGACAAAAAATTCAATCAGCTGTAGAAACTAGATAAACAATTGTCGCAACCTTATTACGGCCACAGATAAAAACATAGCAGCATATATATTGTAGTCAATACATAAACGGCACAGAGCTAAATACAAGATAGATAACTCATAAGATAATTTGAACACTCTATGCCTAAATTTGTAAAAACTCCATTTAATCTGTGTTTTAAAAATGTGAATATGATTTGTCATCTTATTTCCGAAGAGTAACAATAGTTGTGTTAATTATTTTTACAAATTAACAAAATATTTCACGTAAATACGAAAGAAAACCAGTATAATAAATAATTATAAAGCTGCCCTAAGACTGTTGTCGAATAGTACGTGTAAATTATCTTCTTTATTGGGTGTGTGATGCGGTGTTGTTAAAGCTAACGCTGTGACTTGCATTTTTGTTGTAGAATTGTAGTTAAAGAAGTAAAGCTGCAGTATGGATCGCTTACTTCGTCTTGGAGGCGGTATGGCTGGTTTGTCTCAAGCACCGCCTCCAACAGATGCTCCCGTTGTGGACACCGCGGAACAGGTGTACATTTCTTCGTTAGCACTGCTCAAAATGCTTAAACATGGCAGAGCTGGTGTTCCCATGGAAGTTATGGGCCTCATGCTTGGTAATTTTTTACAAGTCATTGATTGTAACATTAGCTACTATTTCTTCTACTAATATTAATTCTTGTTTAACATAGGTGAATTCGTGGATGACTACACTGTACGTGTAATAGACGTTTTTGCGATGCCTCAGACGGGAACTGGTGTGTCGGTTGAGGCAGTTGATCCAGTATTCCAAGCTAAAATGTTGGATATGTTAAAACAAACAGGACGACCGGAGATGGTTGTTGGATGGTAAATTTTGTTTTTTACTATAGCCATACACTTGTATACTACTTTTTGTGCTTACCTGACCTAATAATTTCTTAGCCAAGAGTTTGAAAAGTAAGTGATATTTTTGATCATGGGGTCTAAAGTGAGTTCACTGGAACTATAATTTTAAAGTTTAGAAAGAATATTTTTAATCAGTGGCAGAATTATTATTGATTATTTATGATGTTTGTCTCCATCTAACTATGTTTATTTAATCTAGGTACCACTCCCACCCCGGGTTTGGCTGTTGGTTATCTGGAGTAGACATAAACACGCAACAGTCCTTTGAAGCTTTGTCTGAAAGAGCTGTAGCTGTTGTTGTGGATCCAATCCAATCTGTCAAAGGAAAAGTGGTGATTGATGCATTCCGTCTTATTAATCCCAACATGATGGTTCTCGGGCAGGAGCCTAGGCAGACCACCTCCAATCTCGGTCACTTACAAAAGCCCTCTGTCCAAGCTCTGATACATGGTCTTAACAGACATTATTACTCAATCAGCATAAACTACAGAAAGAATGAGCTGGAACAAAAAATGCTTCTAAACCTTCATAAAAAGTCATGGATGGATGGTCTCACCCTCTCCGATTACAAAGAACATTGCAAAATTAATGAAACAACAGTGACAGACATGTTGGAACTTGCTAAAAATTACAACAAAGCCCTCGAAGATGAAGAGAAGATGACACCAGAACAGCTAGCCATTAAGAATGTTGGCAAGCAAGATCCTAAGAGACATTTAGAAGAGAAAGTTGATATTTTAATGGCAAACAACATAGTTCAATGCTTAGGCGCTATGCTCGATACAATGGTGTTTAAATGATTGGCATCGTAAGAAATTTTGTATGTTATGTTCTTAAGGTAAACAATACAGTGGCACAGTAAGGTTTCAGTCCCTATGTCTTGAATCTTTCTCACCAGATATTTACTTATGTAATTAAAGTAAGGACCTTACATAAATAAATTCAATTCTTTTCTATTTGAACTTTTTATTAATAGAACAGTCTTTGAGGGGCAATTTCTTTGCAGATATCTGCTAGTCTTTCCTTCATGCCAGGATAGTTATGTATATTTGTGAAGTCGATGTCAAAAAGTGGCTTTAAATTTTTTTGCGAGCTTACAATTTCCTTAATAATTTTCTTGACTTTTAAAAATGCAGCTTCAGTATTATCCATGTTAACCTGTGGGATATATTGAGTGCAATTATTCTGCCACAAGTCATAAATTGTATGATGGTTATATTATTATTGACTAAAAAGATCATGTACTTACAGTGTCCCAAAAAAGACCAGGTCTCGTGCGATGTATTTCATCATAGTCATCTTTTATAGTAGTTGTGAAGGTTTCCGTTGGAATCTAGAAAATAACACATTTAGTTGAGGAAGCCATTGCTGAGTCTATTTATACACTAGGTGTTGTTTAGGCTGTGCTGTGCCCAGCTCGGGCAACCAATAAAAAATTTATTTATTTATTTATATTTTTCACACAACATATGCACACAATTCCAATGAATTAAAAATAATAGTAATATCTATAAAGTATGGAGTGTAACGGGCGGCCTTATCTAGCGATCTCTTCCAGGCGACCCTTAGGAAAATAATGTAAAACAACTTAATTAGGGGAATGTGCAGAAGTCTCTATCTCGATCTAAATAATTTTACGTATTACTTATAATAATGTAGGTGGCTAGGGATTCAATCCCTGGACGTCCTGATTATGGTAGTGGGTTGCCTAACAAAACTGTAAGAACATATTTTTAATTACATACTTGATCAAGTTTTCAACGTTTTCCTGAAGAGTCACGTACCTCTTTGTAATTACCCATTTGAACTTTAAAGAAATCCGCTTCGTCTAATCTGCTCTCATGTTTAGTTACATTATCTTTAAAAAATTGAAAAATAATTATTGCTTACACACAAATTAGGAAAGCTTTTAGAATAATACAGTTTAGCATTGAAGAAGGTAAAAAGAAGTAAGAATGCTACTAACATGGGTCGGCAAATATTTCACTAGCCTGCGCTAGGCCATTTTCGGCTAGGAACGCTAACCATAAATCTGAATCTCTTTGTTCTTTATCCCCATATGACCTACCGACTCTTGCGCTTATAGAAGTTCCAAGTAATACGTTTTCCACTAAAAACAAATATTGCTGGTAAATGGTAATGCTATGGTAAAATGTATACAACGGATTCATCAACGTGATCTTATTTAGTTTTTTATAAGCCTTATTTAAACAAAAATAATAAATTAATCCCCTTTCATAACATTGTCACTTAAATTACTAACACAACTATTACTGTTATAATATGTTCGTGTTATTCGTTCGTAAATTTGTATTGAATGAAGAAAGGCGATGCATTTTTAAAATGGTTTTATACGATTACTTTCTGCTAGTTCTGTTTGACAGTTTGAGCTCTGCGCAGATCATTTGGCACGTCAGTCATGCTTATCTTTTACACTCCATACATTCGCAAATGCGTTGAGATATTATTTAAATGGCGGTTTAGGGCAGGCAAGCATGCGGGTTCGCTTGATGGTAGGTGAAATACGTCAGCAATAGAATGGCTAAATAAGATGTGTTGTCGGCCTATTTCATTAGGTATTAGACGTTTTTTACTCACTTTCTCTTTGGGGTGCGGGTTCAATGTACATCCCCGATGGATCAGATTCGTCAGCCAAGTCTGTGTTATCCGGGGAGGTAAATGCGACTGATTTGGAAGACTTCCTGCTGCCAGCTGTAAAATTTTCCTCATTAATAGTGTAATAATTTATATTTATACGTCACTATACATTACCTTTCCAATTTCTGTGGTACTTTGAGTTATCAAAACTCTTTGGTCTGTTATAGGACCTTCCCGACCTCCTGGAATTGTATTCTTTAGTTAGAAAAATTATTAACCAAATTAGAAATACCTAAAATTAATTTTAAATGTTTTCTTAATTTCGTATATAAATATAATGCGAAATTTAATTTAATGTGTTTTAATGCGGCACCTACATATAGGTATGTTTCTTATGTTATATCGTGTTTAGAGGTTATATTATCAGAGCGTAAGTATAAAAGGAAGGCGAATAGAGATGAAACACCTGAAGATCAAGTCCACATTGTCTCGATTCTTAAATTAGTATAATCTACTATAAATTTATATCTACTTAAATAGCTAGCTGTTTGTAGTTTACACGATATACACATTTTAATACAACACTTTGACGGTTTAAAACGCAAAATATTTATTAAACTTGTTTATTGTTTATCTTTAATACGAGACGGTTCGGATGCTTTGTAGCAGCCTTGTTGTTCGCGATTTGAATCGTTAAAGTGTTTTATTTAAATAGCTACAAATACTTGAAAAGAATACGTGCGTTTGACCGTAAACGTCACTAGTAAACTCGTCCATGGGCTGCGAGTCCTTGTACAGAGAGTACATGCTAGTGTCAACTTGGCTGCTATTTTTCTCCTGATCGCTCTTACAAGCGTCCCCGAGAGATGAGCTGCTCTGTAAACGAATATATCTCGTAGCAGCCGTGCCACAGTTTTCGTGCCAACACATAATGAGAGCGGATACTCACCGGAGTCAACACAGTGAGTCTGTTGACATTCTTATTATATTTACGCGGTTGTCGCGACTCACTTTCCATTAGGAGGGAGCATTCTGATTCGATTACGAATTCACTCTGGCTCTTATCTTCTGGTATCGCCTGAAGTACCAAATATTATATGTATATAAAACGTGTTACAATTTTATCCGTCAAAAACGAAGCGCGAGAGGTGCATGTATCAGTAAGTTGAAAAAAATCGACGATGTAGTGTGGGACTCAATTGTTGTGGCAACAGCGCGAAACGCTGACTTTGCCGGTTCAAGGCCTGTCCGAGTCGTACAATTTTCCAATTTTTAATTTAAAAAGGAAGATTTAATTCGACCGTACATAATATGCTATTGTATTTTTATCTTTGCTGATAATTTCGTCGTTTGAAAATTTATTGGAAACAGGGTGTGATGATGAAGACCTGACTAAAAGAACATAAGAAAGCGTAAGTAATCTAAAACCGCGTTAGCCTATCCGAGAACAACCAAATAAATAAAGGAGAAGATAATTCTAGGGTGGGTATTAGATTAGTCTCAGTTAATTATCTCTTAAGCTGCTTTCTCTTTAATTGTGCCATTCTCCTTGTCATAATAAATCTCATTATTAAAACGCACCAATAAAATTTCGTTTAGAATTCCGTAAATGATAATTCTGCCAGATAAAAGAACTTGTAGTGTCGATATCTCCACGGTGTTAGATTGCTTCTCTTCATTCGCCAAGTCTCTTTTTCTGTAACAGGAGATTAAATGAAGTTCTCTTTTGCTATGTAGGGCATGATAACAAATGCCGGCGCCCGTGTTAGAGTTTATTTATAAGCTAGCTACTAAATAAAATACTTTTACGTTTTTAAACCGCGAAATCGAAACGTCGGGCCATATTTAAAATAATTTCTAAACTAATTTTACTGATGTATATCGCGTTTTAAACCGAAAGAAATATAGAATTATTACACCGACAACTGACAGAATGTCTGATTGTAGGCGGGCTTTACGTGTTACTCAGTGGAAGGACATGAAAGAGAAGAAGGGGGGACTTTTATACCGTTGGGAAGCTGAAAAGAAAAGATTCACTGGCATAAACTTGTGTCACAGTGCACACGACTAACAAAAATGGGCATCTTTGGAAAAGCCCTATACCCAAACCGTGGTGTAAACCATTTTTGGTGTTTGTAATTAATAAAGTTTATAAATAAATAATAATAAATAATACTTATCAAGTTATATGTACCTTGAACATAATACATTACACATATTTATATTATTAACATAATTTAAGCTCACTACAAAATTTATGTTAAATGTAATATCATAACCAACAACTACTGTAAAACAGGACATAAAAAGGCTTATTATCTTTAGTTGATCACGCCTCATGAACGAAGGTAACGGTTTTATATCACACATATATATGTGTGATTTTAAACCATACGGATATATCTAAAACATATTTTAAACAATTACGCCATAAGAGCGCATCTGCACGTAAATATGTGAGTAGTTGAGTAAATATTTTTTTCATACATTTTTCGCACCAGTTGCCTCACAGCTAGCGCTCGTTTATCCGCACAAGTTGTTAATATCAGATAGGGCTGGCGACCCCTGAGTTTCAGCATTAGAGCACCAATTAGATCCATAGTTACGATTTTCACTTTACCATCTTTGACATAGGCTTCTTCGCGGCCTGTACAAAACGTTATATTATAATAAAGTAGAGTTAATTTCAATAAAAGCGGTTAGCGGTAGATTGCGAGATATATAAGTTAATTTATTTCCAGCTAAACGTTTTGCCTAGCATTGCGTTAAGCGCGAGAGGTTTTGGGTACTAATCCCTGGAAAAAAATGATTATTTCAGTCAGGCAGGGTCTGTACCCTATACCCCAACTTCTGTAAGTTTGATCAGGTTGCTTGTAAATAAAAATGAGTAAAGCGGACACATAAATCTGTTCGATCATGCTCCACGCAGAGAAATACAATTATACTTTCTCTCCGACTTGACGTACCTACTATATAATATATTTTGTGTTTGAACCGTTAAAAATGATTCAATCAAGTGTAAGTGTATTTTTTTTATATATGCAATTAGTTAATGACAAAATAAAAATTAAATACTATCTGATTTTAAACCACTGTGTAAAATTTCTTTCGGAGAATTCGAAGCAAATTAATCTGTGGAATCTATCAGCTTTAAAACCAGGTGATTTAATAAGCTACGAAATATAAAATCGTGGCAATCTCGTAAACTAATAAGACTAGGAATGAACGAGTTATTGGATTAACTATCAAGCCGAGTCGAAACTAAAGCCTAATTGAAGTCAAGTCTAACTCAACTCAACTAGCTAGAGCTATATATTCTGTATGCCTTTGATGTTAGAGTACTACGCTACTCCTGTATTTAATAAAACTTTTTTATCGGTTTAAAACGCAAAATATTCCCCTGTGAACGCAAGACGACGAGTCGTAGTTAAATATTAAGTAATATATCGCGTTTTAACCGTTAAAGTGTTTATTTAAATGTGTACTACTCGCGTAACTATAGACAGTATTTAATGTATTTCGGGTTTTTGACTGTTATTTTTTACTGGCTGTGACCGCTACTTCGTCCGCGTGGAATTGTTATTTCGGTTATCATATTATTTATTTTTGTAAGCTACCTTCTCAACTTTATAGATTATAGCTAGTTACCCTCTTGTTATCGGCCGCGTGTCTTTGCGAGTTAACCTTAAAATAATAGACATATATTGTCGCGGATTGATTTTAGATCATTTAAAACAGAATCATTTCGGTATTTCGATCCATTTTTGTAACGCAAACAACGTAAACGCTGAAAGACGACTAATTTTCCTCGTTTTTTGTTATTGATCACGGCCTGATGTTTTATAGCATTTTTAATAAATCATTTTTAAATGGTTCAATCATGACAAAATTAATTTTTCATTTGGAACAAGTAGTTCTTGAGATTAGCGCATTGAAACAAACAAACTCTTCAGCTTTATAATATTAGTATAGATTAAATGTCGTACTACGTCCTACGATCAATATTCATTTATGTTAACAAAATATATGCTTTTAAATAAAACCCTTTAACGGTTTAAAACGCGCTATTTTTTTTAAACTTTTTTTAAAAATTTTTTTTTCTCCGCCCCCCGGCTCCGGGGGGGGGGGGGGGGGGGGGGGGGGGGGGGGGGGGCCCCCCCCCCGGGGGAAAAAAATTTTTTTTTTTTTTTTTTTTTTTTTTTTTTTTTTTTTCCCCTTTTTTTTTTTTTTTTTTTTTTTTTCCCCCCCCCCCCCAAAAAAAAAATTTTAAAATATATGCTTCTAAGATACTAACTGAGGCCGTACGATTCGCCGTCCACCTCGCTATAAGTAAGAAATTCGCCAGCCAGCAACATATCATCGAATCGTTTCCTTGTTACTTGTTTGTAATGTTCCGTCATGTGGTGAAATGCAGTTGTATGCTTAACAGCTAATTCCACATGCGAGCTGCATTCTGCTGCAATACGACGCGCCAGCGAGCCTACGGATTAAACTTTGTGAATTTCTCTCGAAACTTGAAATTCGTTTAAACTCTCAAATGTCCCACTACTGAGAACAGGGTACTCTACAATAGAAGAAAGGCTTGGAACAATTCCAGTGTTAGACTACAGGTTAAATACCATCACTAAATAAGTAGTGGTAACGCGGTCTGACTTCCAAACACGTACTTCAAACTCCACTAAAAACCTTCTATAAACAAATCTTAAATAAATATTGTCTGTATTTTACGCGAGTAGTACACATTAGTTAAACTTATTATTATATTAGTTAAACTTATTTGAAAATTATTTTAACTTTGGGGGTTTTCGAATGTCTTGCAGCAGCCGTGGTTACGCGGACAACAGGCAAATAATTTTAAGCAACGTATTTCGCGTTTTAAACCGTTTAAGTGTTTTGTTTAAATTTCAAATACTGACATTCCGACCTCGTGATGTACGGTAAAATGGACTAACTACAGACCAACGAAGCATTTTGAAAAGCCTGCAAAGTTAATTTTAACAAGCGGAAAAGAAAGGAGACTGTTTTAGACAGGTGCAAGTACTTTTCGTTTTTCGCTTTGAATGGTACATTAAAGCAATTACGATGCAATTAGGGCGTTTAAACATTCTGTTCTATGTTACGTTTGTTTTGGTCGACACCCAGTTAATTAGACCGACTTTAAAGGAAAAATACAATTATATATAAGATCTACCTGGCAGTGTTGTCTGTAGCAAAATTATAATAGCTTCATTTGGACGAATATTCTTATGAAAAGTTAATAGAATAGTTTTATGAAAGCAGATTTATTTTGAAAAATAAAGTAGTTGTCATATATAACTTTTTTAATTTGTGAACACGTTTAATCCCAAGAGGGTTGCAAACACACTTATTAGAAGAGAGTTCAGTAAACAGAGCTTTGAAAGTTGATTCTAATGTTTTTGACATTACATCTATCCTTCCACAAAGCTAAGCAAAGCTTTATGACAGTTCCCACAACTGGGACACGTGCAACGTTAATCTATGACGCTGTCAATTGTCCATAGATAATACATCTTGTCAAATATTTGATTTTTGAGCAAAAACGAAACTAGTAATTGATTCTAAAATACAATCTCTTTTTTTTTTTAGATTATACACAAAGATATCTTGAAATTGATCCGAGTATCAAACTCCTAACCTCGCACTACTTGACAAAACGTAGATCGCATAAATAACATATCGACGACTGCATTGTTTATTGCGTTATCGGGCAGTAAATTATCGTTACGGTCATTCGGCGTGCTGCCAAACATGCTCTATCTTAAAGCTATATCAGAAGCCGTGCTCTAGACGAGACTGAAAAATTTATTCGAGCCTTGAATACGACTAGAGACTAAATAAATATGAACTTCGAAAACTTTAATATTTTTCACATGATGGCACTATAAAATTTTTTCGACTGCTACAGCACGAAACGCTGACGATAATTTTTATTTTTTTTCAATTTATTTTCGATTTTAAAAAAAAATATTAACTTATTCTTTCTGTAATAAATTGTCTTGAATATTTATTGTTTTTGCACAGCATTGAAACCAAGTCTTCTAAGTAATAAATCTAGTAGTAGTAGTCTAGTAATTTATTAGATCATTGAGAAACTATATGAACACAAGACGACTTTCTCGAGTTTAATTTCTTCCGTCTAAATTACTTTTAAATTTTAATAATAATTTTCTAGATCTACGGTGAGATATAGGTTGAAATACCTATTAAGTATTTTAATTGATTGTCAGGCGTCAAATTTATACATATTATGATTTAATGACAATAAAGTAAATAAAGATTATTCTTATCTATTTGTCCTTCCTAAATATTAGGTTATTATAATTACTACATAATTCGGAACGTTCCCGCTTATTTATATTAAAGGTGCTACGAAGTGCTACGAGGGCGGTTGAAAGCGCTATAATTAAAATTCTCATTAAACTCACGTTTAGTTCTAACGTGTGTTACTTTACGGTTTTATATGAAGCCACATTACGTTTATATAAATATGGCTAAAGTATGAAATATTATTACATATTGGTAAACTCTTATTGTATTACCTAAAGCAAGATACATTGCTTTAGGTACTAACGATTCTAGAAAAGTAACAATTATTTGACCGTGACAATTTTTGTTTCCCGCATATACATATCTCTCTGCATCTCTCAATTATTATGTTTGTATTGTGTGGTAAAGAGATAAAAAATAAAATGTACATTTTTTTCATGATAGATAAGTACTAAGTAAGATTTCATCTCAGCCATATCATGTAAATTCGAAACGCAATTAAACTTGACTGCTTTTCCATCTAAAGACGGTGGTTTGTGACCCGGACGGAATTTTGATATTCCTACCACCCATATTTGTAATAATATAATACATTGTGTAGAAAAATGCCGGACCCGTTGATTATTAGCCATACAATGCTACTATAACACCAAAGAACCCGTCAAAAAATGATTATTAATTTATAAATTAAATTACTACTAACTAAAATTTACTAAGTAAAAATATTAAGTCATGTTATTTATACGATTTAAATAAAACAACTAACTATTAAAACGCGAACGATCCGACGTTTCCGATACATTGCAGAAGCCGTTCAACTAATATCGCGTTATAAACCGTTTTTGTTGTTTTATGCAAACTTGTTATATTTATAGTCTTATAAGGACGATATAGATTTTCACCTTTACCAACAGCTTCATAACCGACCAATATGACAATGGGGACATCTGTGGTGTCGGCGGGTGGATTGTGGGGCGAAACACGAGAGCGAGACAGCTGCTCGATATACAGTAGCCGCAACAGGCGACGTGTTGCGAACATAAACACGTCCGGGTTCATATTCATCTTACGGGTTCTCTGTAATTTGGGTTCATATTACCTGAATGTTACCGTTAAAGTGTAAATAACGAAAGATCCCGTTTGTTTTCACTAAACATTAATTGTATGTTAGTTTCGCGGCCATTTTAAAACGCTACTTTTAATTTCGTTGGGTCATCGTAATTCCGCAATGTCATCACGAGGAAACCATTGTTGAGTATCGTAATTTAGAAAACCTTAATATTTTTCACATGTAAATTTGATTTGACTAAATTTTCAATCTAAATTCGTTTTGGAATTTATAGACTTTCCAGACGAAGTCCAACATGTTTCAGAAAAGCCATGAATTTCTTGAAAAATTACTTGCACGTGTTATTATACATGACGGCATTATATAAATTAAAATATTTGTTTATATTGAATAATTCACGATGCGGGCAGGACTTGAAGCGGCAGCACAGAACGCTGTGGATGTCGTTTAAATGCCCGCAAGTGTCCTTTTTTTATATAAGTAGATTGAAAACTTTATTATTTTTTACATCTATTTGAAATTAATTTACAGTGAATTTAAAAATCTTAATTAAAATTAAAAATCGATTATACATTGATACAATTTGCATTGTCGGTTTCAGTCCTGCCGTGAAGTAAACATTATCAATTATAATCGATTTTTAAATTTAACTATAAATTAATTCGAAACATGTTGAATCTCGTGGAGATCGAACACACCGGTCGTTTATTATTAACAATAAAATTGCTGCCATTATACCAAAGGCGAACTTGTCAAATACGTATAATTGTAAAGTAATCAACGAACTTGTGCTATAGGATCCACTTCAAAGTCGTCGAGGCTAAGCAAGAGCGGAAACGTGTTCACGACAACATCCTTGTACCCGGGAACGATGCAAACCGGGTTTGAGCGAAAATCGAGAAGAGTCAGGCGTCGTAGTTTATTCATATACACTGCCAGTTCTAGCAGTGAACTCAATCTGTTATTCCTGGCGTGGATTTCGCGGGGTCTGGGAATATTCGGGCATAGTTTATACACAGCAGACACTTTGATACGCAAGATTATAGCTAACTAGCTGTGCCTGCGATTTCGTCCGTGCGAAATATTTGTTTTGGGCACAATATTATTCATTTTTTAAAACAACCTCCTCAGCTTTACACATTATTGCTGTTACACATATGTCATCCGCGTCCCCTTGTTCTTGCAAATTTATATTTTTTTAGATCATTCAAAGAAGAAATATTCTTTCGTAATTGTTTTTTGTTCTCCCAACATAGTCTTTAGTTTTATAATATTAGTATATATTAAACAAAGTATTAAATGCTGCACGAGAACCCCCAAATAACGTTAATGTAAAAGTCATGCCAAGAAGATAAAGTAAAAAAAAAATCCGATATGGGCCGAATATTCGGTGACCAAGTACCTACTTACTTGGTACGTAAGACTACTGGACAAATACATGTAAGAGTGGTCACAAACGGGCAAAGGGAAAGAGAGCAAGGGGAGAGAGAGTAAATAGCATGAGGTCAAACCTGCTGCAGCCTGAGAAAATTTTCATAGAAGTCAAACTGTTTTCATTCAAATTCAAGTATTCAAGGTGGAGTAAAGTCCAAAGGCCGGCGTTATCTCCGAACTCGAAGTCGGAAATGTTGTTGTAAGATAAGTCGAGCCAAAGTAACCGTAGATGATTGAGATTTTCCAGCCTTTGTATGTGATTGAAGGAGAGGTCTAAGCGTCGGAGATATCTGCAAAGAGAGAGCAATAACCATGTCTTTTTATTAAATAATTAATAATAAAAAATACTATAATACCTACTACATACTTCCTTAGTTTTAAGCACCCACACAGGATTCTAGTTGACCCGATAAACATTGTTTTAGTTATATATGTACATTATTTGATATGGTGAAAATTGTATAAAAAAAAACTAATTATGGGTATGAAAAATAGATGTTGGGCCATTCTCAAAACTTTTAGATATATAAAGAAATTCTTAAAAATAGCCGTTTGGAAGAAGTTCTGTAACAAACATCGGCGTATGAGTTTTTTGCATATTTGATTTTCTTTTTAAATAAATTTACAGGACCTACGTAGTGTACGCTACAGTATTTTAGTTACCTAAGAGTTTCAAATCCTGTTATAAACTTTATATTATTGTGAGATAAGTCAATCACCGTGATAGACCAAAAAGCAGCTAAATTACGGATTTTCATCACAGAATTAAATCTGTAATAAACTTCAGTGAGGAACCATTGCGCTGAAACAGATTATCATAAGAAAAATATAATATACACTGACCCCACTTTTTTAGAATTACCAATAGAAACAGCTCTAATTCCTTAGGACTCGACACAACCTTTCACTTCCAAACAATACGTTTATTGAGGCGATCAGATCAAGAAAAGTACATTACTGTTATAATAAAATACTAAACGTACGTGTTTCGTAATCCAATACCGTCTTGAAGTTATTAAAGGATACATTTAGATATTGAATGTACGGAAGGTGGGAGAGTACGCTGAGGTCATCTAAGAGATTGGAAGACAGATCCAAGTACACTAAATATTTGTAATGCTTCAAAACATCGATATTCGTGAGAAACTGAAAGATGCATTTAATTTTATTAAGTTCTTATATCGTACACGTACTTTTTCTTGTATCAAACGTCAGATTTATTTTAGTAAAACGTAGTAACGAGAAAATTGTTTAAATTATAATTAAAAGGCACGAACACCTTCTACGTAAAGCTGGCAATAAAAGTTTTCCATGTTACAGCGTAGAACGGTCGAAATATTACTAAAATAAAATAAAAAGAAGTGGGAATTTTTAAATCCGATATTTTTATGTATGTTTCTGTACATCTATATCAATACATTTCGCGTGTTAAACCGTTAAAAGTGTTATATTCGGTTTTGGCATTTGGTGTTGTTATCTGACGGAATTCCGATATTCTTAACATTTATTTAAAACTTCAGATATTGGGTCTAACTTTAATGAAAAAATGACTTGGTAGACACGAATGAAAAGGAATCCCCTACTATGGGTTTTCAGCCATACTTTGGATCAACTAGTGCGACTTACCGTTTACCGCTACTAAAGCGACGTAGCGGTCTACGTGAGAGCTACGGTGCTTATCCGCTACAGTTGCTACGTAAACGAGTCAGCTACGGATATCTATTAGATTCTGTCTATGTAAAGTTTATCCTTATAATACAGTCTAACGCTTTTCCAAGCTTGAGTTTGATATATTATTTTAATGTAAGACTTTTGTTGGATTATGACTTGAAGTTAATCTATTTGTTTTTAATTGGACCCGACATTTGGTAGGACTGAAGATGGAGTGTTTCCTTAATGTAAAAGTCAAATTCTCGTCCGCTATGTTAGCGTCATTTCTTTTGTCGTGGTATTTGGGGAGTTGCTGGGTTCTTACAGAAAAGACTTACGGTAACCTCTCGTTTCGGTGTTCCGGGTCATAATTAAAGTCAATTAACTTTTTTAAAATATATTTTACGTTTTTAAATAAAACACTTTAACGGTTTAAAACGCGATATATTAGTTAAACTTATTTGAAAATAATTTTTAACGTTTTATATTTTACGTTGCAAACCGTTTAAAGTGTTTAAATTAAAAAAAAATATACTTTTCTTTCCACCTTGAGAATTACACACAATCCACTAGATTTGCAAATAGCTACTTGTAGGGATGAAAAACTATCATCTCTATATTCATAGATATGCTAAATACATTTAGCTTCTATATCTATACTAATACATAAAGCTGAAGAGTTTATTTGTTTGCTTGAAAGCGCAAAAAAAAATTTTTGAGGGAGGCTATAAGCTGCAAAAAAATGTACTGTGTCTAATAGGAGCGAAGAAACAGCGAAAATTGTGAAAAAAAAACGGGAAAAAAATAATTCAACTTTGCGGGTTTCCGATGCAAACACTGCAAAAACAGTTCAAGATATCCAAAAAATATGTGTCAAAGAATAATTCCTCTTTAAATGATCTAACAAGATGTCCACAACACTGTATGTCTATTTTTCAAGCACGGTGAGACACGACCGTTGGTAACAGGTGAAATTCATAAGGATGAAGATGTGATTTCGATGCCCAAAATAACCACGCGGACGAAGTCGCTGACACAGCTAGTTATTGATAACGGGAAATGTTACTCCGCAAACATGTTCGATAACATATTTACCTCTGGGCCCATTATAACATTCCGAAACGTTTGGCAAGCTTACCTGGGACCCTAAATCCAATTTAATACATACGTAGTCGCCCAAAATCGGTGATCGTCTCAAATAACTGAGGCATACGCTAACCAGGTCCCTTGTGAGTACACCACCTTCAATATCGGGTATTTCGTCCGCATTCCTCACACGTACTAGAGGCGAGTACGAGTCCTCATATAGCTCGGGAAAGTTATAGAAACATCCCCACAGTTGGTCTTCGTTCATAAGTGGCGTCATATTTATTGGAAACTGAAAACGTACATTGAATTTTACCTGGGTGTACATTTTTGTAATGTTTTTGAAACATAATCTAATATTGTCTGTAGTTTACGCGAGTTGTACACATTTAATTAGAGCGCCTTTAACGGTTAAAAACGCGAAATATATTAGTTAACTTATAAATATGCTAACTAATTTATTTCACAAATAAAAGTGTTTCGTTCAAACAGAACGATCTTAAATTTTTCGACAAAAATTCGGTCATATTTCATTTATATCAGAAGTTTCTATCTACATAAGGCGCGCAGTTGTTTGTTTACATTGTTTATTAAAATTAGCTCAATATCACAAACTCTAGAGTTCAACATATATATGTACATACTAGCTGTGCCCGCGACTTCATCCGCGTGGAATCGTGACTTAGAATAGGGTAGAATTTTTAATTAATTAGGCTGTCTATTAGTTTATGTAAGGGCGCATTTAAGGCAGCCAATCTATGTTCTATGTGTAATGTGTGTTTGCCGCAATACTCTCACCTCCCATCACTCCAACTCTAACTCCTACACTCACTCCCACTCCCACTTCTATTCCCAAAAAGCCAAAGAAGAAAGTTTCATTGTTTTAGCTTCAAAAACCACGAATTTCCTTACAAACTTTCATCCCCTTTTTCAAAACCTATCAACCCTTTTTTGGCATTAAAAAGTCTTGTCATTTCTCAGGCTCTAAAATATCTGTTTACCAAATTTCATTTAAATCAGTTCAGTAGTTTCGGAGTTAAAGCCGGACAGACAGAAAGTCTTTCGTATTTATAATATTAGTATAGATATGAACAAATCAATATGTTTCCTTTTAGTATAGACACCAACGAACACATTTTAAGTAATTTACAACTCGTTATTAATCTGTGGATTATGAAACTACGCGATGAGTACTTCATAATTCCAAGAATAAGGAAGTTTTCCGTGAAACAAAAGGGCATTAAAACATTATCAAAACAAGGTCTGAATTAAAATATTTTAACGAAAAAAGTTCGGTGGCGAGTTTTTCTTGCCTACCTGTTCAATTAGCTCGCTCTCCTCATCTTTATTCTGAAACTTGGACGGATCAAATACCGGCACAGATATTTTCTTGAATGGCAGCGAGAAACTTTTGAACCTCTGGTCTAAAACAAACGTTCATAAGGCTCTTAATTAGTTATCCATTAGATTAGAATCCGGGCTTCGGCTTTAGGGTGCGATTCTCAACTTAGATTTACTTTGGCGTACAATACGTCGACTTACAGAAATAAGTGCTAATATTCGATATTAATGTATATATTATCTGAAAAAAAAGCCTGATATAAAATTACGACAGCGTGATTAGTTGGTTTTAGCCTCCATCATAAAATTGATGTTCACTTGAAAGATAAAATACCCCAGCCATCTAAGCAAGATATTTTTTTTTCATCTGTGGTCTGGACGGTGGTTCATGACCCGAACAGAAGTTTTGATATTCTTAGCACCCACTTAATATCTAGATTTAAAGACGAAATCAAACATTTTCCAGAAAAAATATAAATTGAGTAGAAACATGGGGATTGCAACCACGGCCATTTGATCAGCCGTACCTTGTTACCAAAGGCCAGAACCAAAGGACAAAAATGCTTGTTTCTCCCCCTGTATCGTATAAAAGTGTGTAAAGTAAATTATTAACACTGACAGTAGTTTAAGCGAGTAGAACAAAATTGAAATAAAACACTTTAAACGGTTTAGAACATGAACCGTATTAAATATTTTATAAATAATAGTTAATCTTATTTATTATAATATAATATTTTAACAAATACATTTCGCGTTTTAAATCGTTAAAGTGTTTTGTTCCATTGCTATCCTTGCCGTTTCACTGTTGAATTGTAGACCCCTATTATACCCGCGTGACTAAACACCACATATGTATGTAAATGACACAATTATGGTACTTAACTGTTGTTTATTTTACCGCGCCTGTGTCGAAATGTAATACGAATCTATTTTTATAAGATAATTGTTTCAAGAGTGTTTTTCCAACAGAAACGGTAATCTCAACTATAAATTAGGGAAGAGGACTCCCTTCCTTTTTGTTAATTACTTCTCGGAGACAGTAAAAAAATATAAAGACTTAATTGTTACAAAGGAATATAAACAGACAATTTAATGCTTGAAAAATCTTCTCTTTAACATATTTTTATGTGTAAAAACAGATAAGATGTAGTACGGCTTTAAATAAAACACTTGTAACGGCTTAAAAAGCAAAATATATAAGTTTACTTATTATTAATTCGACATGGTATTTCACCTACCACCAAGGAAATGCCATGCCTATCATAAATAAAGACTTACATTAAATTTGATTTTACATGTAATAATTTAAGGCTCTAACATTTGACAACGTTAATTAGGACTAATAAGGTGAAATTTAATTTTACAAATGCCCCAATCAACGCGAAATTTAAACACGGCAGGTAATGTAATTAGTTAGCCAGTCGCGATGCTGACAAACAACTTAAATCATATAAACTACGGACGCCCAACGAAACTGTATCCACGTTGATATGGATGAGTAATTGCTAAAATTGTAGGAAGCGGTAAACCAAAACTATATCATTTTCAAGCAAACGTCCATTTTCAAAAATTTCATATGTGAGGAATTCGTTGCATATTACTGTTATTTGCGATTTAGACTTGTAGATTTAATGAATTTTAGACGATCGCTTTGGTCTAATGGTAATATGACTGACAATAGAATACAAATATTCTTAATTGTAAACATGACAAAACGAAAAAAATAGATGGAAATTCACGACAAACGGACATTTTTTATGTTTGAAAACTTTATTATTTTTTACACGTTGCACATGAAGGCACTATATAATTTAAAAATCGAAAATAAATTGAAAAAAAAATCGACTCGGGCAAGACTTGAACCGGCATCGTCAGCGTTCGTTTTGACTCGGTAGCTTAATAGGAGAGCACGGAACGCTGGAGATTTTTTAGTTTATTCGCTGTCTTCCAAGCAACCGCGGTGAAACTGAAAACTCAGTAATAAAAGAGGTTTGCGTGACAGCTGAAAAGCGTACTTAAACTATATATATATATATAATAATATAAAAATGAGCTTAATCTAAAATAACGTTTTAGAGATGAATTAATTTAGTAATTAATATATTTTACTAAGTTCATGTACTAAGTTACTTAATAAGAGATAAAATAATCAACTAGTTGTGGATTCGATTAATTTCAACTCTAACATGTTTCTAAAATTAATTTATAATTATTTTGAAAATGTGGATGTTAAAAAGGTGCTAGGAATAGCGAAATTCCGTTCGGGTCGTAAACTAGTAAATATGGAAAAGCCGTAAAGTGAAATTGTGTGCGGTATGAGTCTGTAGATTTCCGAATGCCCAAAGCAAAAAACGATTGTTATAACATCTTTAAATTTTATTAACCTGGAGCACTACATCCTCCATCATGTGAACACCACGATTGTGCTCCTCTGTCATGAAAAGATATACTAGTACTCGTTAACGTAGGATCCGTTTCATGAGTCTTTCAGTCATTAATATAGAAAAAAACAACAGATTTCTCTTTAAATAAATATGCAAGTTCTTGAAGAAAAAAATACCGATTTAGCATCCAAGAGCCTTTATTGATTGTAACAGACGTTGATCTATTCACTTCTGTGCTCTCCACTTAAAATTAACACCATTATGTTATCCCACAATGGAATATATAATAATATATACCTCTAGATATATCGTCCAAAGCCAATGCAGACATGTAGTTAATCCTAGACACTTCCGTCCAGGTCTGCAGCAAGCTGCCAAACGGTACAAATCTCATGGAACTCGAAATCTTTCTCTCATCGTCGAGTGTTGGGCTTCTCGAACTCATATTTTACAAATATAGTTGAATATTTTGTATTTTAGCGCTGTTGGATTTCATTGAATTGACATAAGCTGTCAATTATAATATAAACTATATGTCAAGTATTTATAGTGACGTTGTTGTGTTGGGTATAAATTATTTTTATTCTGTCAACACGTTACAGAGTACCAAATATAGCCTCTATATTTTTTGTATGTAAATACGTATATACTAAAAGAAAATTTAAAAATTTGTGAGGTCATTTCAGTGAATTTAAATTTGTTGAAGTTGTTGATCAGATTTGTTTGCCGTACCCACTCGAAAATAGTTTTCTATAGGATTTGAACCCCATCCCTCACCCCCACTCTTTACACAATCATATAAAAAATCATCCCAAGCAACAACAGGTAAATTATTTCATTACACATTTAAATTTTCTTGTATTTAGAAATTTTTAGACCGATAAAAAGATTCTCATCGTGTAAGGTAGTAATAAGGTACAACGGGCGTATCAACTTACGTTAAGTATGCATGAAAACATTTTTTAGTGATGGCATTATATAAATTAAGAATCTTTAATAGATTTTTTAAATCTTAATGATTAAAAAAAAATACGATGACACGGCCAGGACTTGAACCAGCATCCCGAATGATCAGCGACACACACAAAATTTGCAAAAATGTTGTTTATATGTATATCAAAATTTCTAATAAAACTAATCGAACAGTACACGTAACGCATATTAATTCGCGTCACGTTTGTAAACATACTTGATTGATTTAGTGACACACGTAATATTAATTACATTATCGATTAAATACACAAATAGTTAATAATTTACGCAATTTCCGCGTAAGCCTGACATTAAACAACGGATAGTTAATACGGATTGATGTTTTCATACACTAGTGTTTAATTATCTGGGTTTGGCGATAATGTTCAGATGGGAATTAGCTTCCATATTGTGAAGTTGGTTTTATTAGTCGATTTCGGTTGTTGTCGATAATGCAGTTTTTTGTGAAAGAAGTTGGACTTAACAAGAACAATAAAAAATATAACCCATAACAACATAGGGATTGTGTAAATTCTTACTAATTATTCTTAATAACTTCCATTATTCTACTAGCTACTTAGTTTTGCTACCTATTATAACAAAGAATTATCTAAACGATTTTTTATCTGTAAATACCTACTCCATAGTGGTATAGAATACCATAATATTGTTTATCTATCAATGCTTGCAACCGATATAATGACTTTGTAAAACTACACCAGTTTAATAATAATAACCAAAAAGTTATTCATATAATATTCTGAGTAGTAAAGATTTTTTTATACCATTTAAGGTGTATATTTTCTGTATGTAATAGCAATTAGAGCTACCTAAAGTTATCAGGCAAAACTACTCAAGAATGATTTTATGAATGAAACCGAAATATTATAAATTCTCTGTAGTTTAACACACTACATAAAAAAAACTGGTTCAAACGCGAATTATATTAGTTAGGTAATTTAACTAGCTTGGTTATTATTACTATATAAAAATTAGTTGCTGTAGTCAGAATGTTTTATAGTATGTCTATAATTGAGTACAATGTGGATAGTCTATAAAATAGAAGTGCATAGATAAATGTACATTTTGACGATCGTGTAGATTATTTAGTTCTGTAGTGATAAAAATGAAAAGTACGCTGCAGATTGTTCTCTGTTTATATCGTGTTTTAGATTACGCTTGGGTGTGTATTCGCTATTCGGACATACACTTTATTATTCGCATTTTATGGCCCTACTGGAATTGTCGGTCTTTTATGATACCTACTAATTTTAGCATCGATATGGCTGTGTAATTAAGAATATCTTCATCCAAGCAAGCTTATACTTAAAAACTAGCTGTGCCCCCGCCACTTTATCTGAGTGAAATTTAAGGTAAATACTGTCTATAGTTTACGCGAGTAGTACACATTTAAATAAAACACTTTAACGATTTAAAACGCGATATATTAGTTAAACTTATTTGAAAATGATTTTTAACTTCGGCCCGACATTTCGGATGCTTTGCAGCAGCCTGGTACAACCGAAACGATCCGCATCCAAACGTCGGGCCGAAGTTAAAAATCATTTTCAAATAAGTTTAACTAATATATCGGTTTTAACCGTAAAGTGTTTTATTTGAAATTTAAGGTATTTATTTTTGCAATCAGCCTTCTCATCTTTATAAATTATATTTGCTACCTACGACGTCAATCACGTCGTAGACATTTTTTTAGATCATTTAAGGAAAAATCATTATTTTTCATTGTTATTTAGTTCTTCACGTAGTGCAACGGCTAATCATGGCCTCGCGGTTTGCTTGTATCATTTATTTCAATCAATTTCAAATGAACACATTATAATAGAACAAAAGATCTTTTCTATTAGCGTAAGTAAAAGAAAAATTATAACATTTTCAATGAAGTTTATCTGTAAATAAGTAATTTAAAACATTAAGAGGCACCAGAATATCATTATGAAGTCATTAAAAGTTACTAAAGTTTCGAGTGAAAGAGGTTGGAATCCATCATGGTTTATTATGATCTTTAAGGCTGCAGAAGTGAAATTGTCTATAGAGAGTTTTATTAAAGTAGGCTGTTAAGGCACGAATTCTTATTATCATAAAAATGGTATTACTCGAAGTAAGTGAGCTTTCTTTAAACGTAGGGTTGAAATTCGTAACGTCTTATAATAAAGTAGATAAGATTCTACTTCTTATTTTTGATGTCATTGGCGAATAATTTTGACCCAAAATAATAAAATAAAATACCCAACTGAATTTGAGTTTGTGTTAATGTCATCTTTTTGTGTCGTAAGTTCGATTTCAACTGGGCCCAAAAAAATGATGTAATTACTGTTTTTCTTACTCTACATTAAATGAGTCATAGTGATATCCAAATTTGTATGTTAAGAAGCCGTTTCACTCTATGGATTGAACTGAATAAACAAAATAGGTCGATCGCGCATCTTGCCTAAATGTTAATGGCTATGGTATTTCACCTTTTATATTATGTTTGTCCGTCATCTCCTGTCACAAATTTCAATGACATGCATTTTTAATTTGAATTACGAAGAATTATGACCACAGACTATGTTTATTTGATTTTTTTTTAGTTTTATGTTTCAAACGAACTACGAAAGTCACCGTCGACCTACCTGCAATTTATAACTTAATTCATATTAAATACTGTCTAAAGTTTACGCAAGTAATACACATTTAAATAAAATACTTTAACGGTTTAAAACGCGATATATTAGTGAAACTTATTTGAAAAATGATTTTCAACTTTGGCCCGACATTTCGGATGCTTTGCAGCAGCCGTGGTCACGGGGAGTCTCCCCGTATGTATGTATGTACGTATTTTTCAAATAGGTTTAACTAATATATCGCGTTTTAAACCGTCAAAGTGATTTATTTAAATTAATTCATATTTCAAACTTACCTTTTAACAATAACTCACTTTTCCGTTTTCTTGTTCGTGTTCAGAGGCAACTGTAAATACTTTAGACGAAGCAAAGTTCATGTAAAATGCAAGCAATATAAATCTGTAAAAGTACAGTTGCAGCGTGTTTTCTCTAGAGGAAGAGCCAACGTTTTCCATCCGAAAGCGCAGGCTGTAGATGTATTTAAAATTACGTCAAGAAAATAATCTAGGAACTGGTTTTGTATTATCAGTAGTGTGAACTGATAATCAAAGTGCATTTTGCATTAACCTTGTTTTCGGTTTTGAATATTGATTACTGACTGTGATTGATTCGATTTGAATTTCCGATCAGGTGAAAAATATGTATAATAAAATTAAAACTTAGTTACGTTTATGAAAATTTTGGAGAGGTATTTGTAACTAGGAATGGTGTCTTACATTAAGCTCTCTGTCCTTTTTAAAAGATTTTTAAAATTTTTTAATTTTTAAAAGATGCTTTCATTATTTAGCTTAAGCGGCTAGTACATATTAATAAGGCACTTTTTAACGGTTTTAAAAGATAAAATATAACTACAGCTCTCTTATATGTAATAAACGTAAGTTACTCCTACCTTTTGCATTTTGAATAATTTATTAAAATGTTCGGATATGAATCTGGGTATCTCAAACTATTTCGTCATATCTTTTCGAATCAACATATTTTCGTTGCAACTTAAAAGTTTAATAAAGATGTTAAAAGATTTAAGAAGTTTCAGCGGGTTGCGAAAGCGCTGTGCAGCTCAGACGGGAAGTAGTTCTTAACTTCAACAGATTGCAGAATGGATTTTGTGTTGGAGACTGTTCGGTGCCAGACATCGAGAATTTGGAGCAGTTTTAGAATCGTTAGAAGTGTCACAACCAAAAGTGTACCAATGCTCCTTTTGTTTAAAATATAGTAAATTAAATTCTGTTAAAGTTATATACCACTTTCGTAGAACCGCAATTGTCTTTTTGGCCTCGTGATTTCTAGTCAACGAATCACGCCATTCAAGGTTCGAATCGGATCAAATATCATTTCGGAATTTGAAACTTTTCAATAACTAAATGAATTTGAAAGTGATGACAAGGTCACCATGTCCTTAGTAGCACTGAAGGAACACTAAGGCAGCATGGCGAGCCTAAAATCCACATAAGAGACACGTAACTAAAAGTGGAACGATAATATGTTGAACTGAATACATGAATCGAAAAACCTTCGCGGGAACGGATAAATAGAAAAGAACAAAAGAAATACGTGTCTAGTGAAAAACTGGGTTTTTAAATACGTTTTACAAAGAAACAAAGCATACAAATTCGAAGCGATTTGTGAAGAGGGCTGACAAATGAGGTGTCGCGTGGACTACGAGCGAGAGTTTCTTTTATCTGCGGGGCGTTAAAACGACCACAATAGATATTTGCAACCACAAATAAAACGTCCGAGCCTTTAATTTTATGTAACTCACATGCTTGTTTTTTGGCTTCTGTTACGTGTAAATAAAGATAAGCTATATTCATGCTGAGCTAAAATAAACTACTTTGATACTTATGTATGACTAGTACTTTTTAAATAAAACACTTTAACGGGATTAAAACGCGATTATAAAAAATAAAACACTTTAACGGGAATAAAACCCGATATAAACGCGCTTATTTAAAACGCGATTAAGCTTGTTTGAAAATTAATTTTAACTACGGCCCGACGTTTCAGCGGGGAGTCTCCCCATGACCACGGCTACTGCAAAGCATCCGAAACGTCGGGTCGTAGTTAAAAATATTGTCGATTGTATATTATGTACAATATGCTATAAAAGTGTTTAAGCAAAAAATAGCAAACTTTCACCACACCACATAAATTATGCAAAAGGTACAGTTGAAATAAATAAAGACCTGTCAAGAGCTTGACGATTTAAGTATACGATCTTCAAAGGCAGGTAAAGTTCCTTTGGTACAAAATTACATAATATATCCGTAATTGAAATAATATGTCGGCTTCCTAAACGTGAGATACAACGTTAGGGATACTTTGTAAAATCCAAGTTTAATACAATAATTGTATCTAGTTTCACTTTTTGTAACTTTAAATTTAATTTAAATATTTGTCTATACTAATTCATACGGCTGAAAAGTGTGTTTGTTTTTTTTTGATTAGAATTATATTTAAATAATTGAATTAGTATAGACTAGATATTATAAACGCGCTAATATCAGGAACTACCGGTTGGAATTTAATGTTTTATTATTATTATAATAAAAAAATATCCGCGAAAATATAATTCGATCTTTTAAGATTAACTTGCAAGAACTACTGGACGCCACCGTCGTGGGTAACGGCCTTAATTTATAACGATGAAGAGGAAGTTTGCAAAAACAAATTTCGATCCTCAAAATAACTATTCTACGCGGACGAAGTCGCTGACACAGCTAGTAAGTTATATCTGTAGTTGGGAGTTATTCAAAAAATGTAGGTTGGTAAAATTGATACATCATTACTAATTAATAATGTTAGACAACCCGTTAAGTTATTTAGTTGATATTTAATTGGTATTTACTAGGTGGAAGAGAAAATATCCTATAATCTAAACTAGAAGCTGTCGACTTACTTATGGCATTAGTCATTCTAAAATCCGTTGATTGAAACCGAAACGTGATTACAATTTTTCATCTATGGACGGAGTTTTGATATTCCAACCACCCTACTAATATCCAGATTTTACTGATACAGTCCAACATCAAAAGAATTCTGATTTAATTTCAGAAACATGTTGACCTGGTAGTGTATTTTTTTGCCAATCTACACTAATATATAAAGCAAAAAAGTTGAATTGAAAAATATTTTTGTGTTGGTAGATTATCGAGGAAGACTATAGGCATATAGAGGTATAGTAGATATAGGCTATAAAACATTACACTGTTACTAATAGAAGCGAAGACAGCGGGAAATGTAGAAAAAACGGGGAAAATTTTTCATCTCCGTGGATTTCTGATGCTTACGCTGTGAAAACGGTTAGACACCCAAAAAGTATGTATGAAAGAATAATCTCTTTAAACGATCTAAAAAAATGTGTGCGACAGTGTATGTCTATCTTTTAAGATTAACTTGCAAGAACGACGGGACCCTAACGACGGGACGCCACCAACATCGTACTTACAACCAACAAGCTTACCAACAGCTTAAATTTATAAAGATTTGCGAAAACAAATTTAGATGCCCAAAATAACTATTCTACGCGAACGAAGTCGCTGTTACAGCTAGTATAGATATAAATTTAATATCTGTAGTATTGTTTGTGCTTCGTAACTTATTCTGAAAAAATGTTTAAAAATGAAGAACAAAAAGATATAATATGACAGTCTATATTTTTGATAATAAAGTATTATTTGATCCGAATAATACAAGGATGCCTTAACTCATGAAAACGAACAACTGATTCACGTTAGCATAGTAAATAAAAGATAAAAAACGTACCCTTGTGCATTCGCGTATAAAGTGCTTCCTAACTGCAAACTATTCCCGTTTCTGTTTACTTTATAAGTACCACATTTCCGGGTCTGTATCACGCTGTCGACATTGTATATAGCTGCTGTTGGATTTTGGCAATGGGGCGCGTTACGTGAATTTTTTATGCAGTTGGATTACTATTTTCTCTAACAAAGCTTAAACTAACATTATAACTTTCATCATAGACTATATTATCTGTTCTTAATAATCTTTTTTTTAATGATCGACGGAAATCCACAGACTGAGATCGAAGCGCGTCTTAACTTTACAGCTTTTTTCATCTGTGGACTGTGGTTCGTGACCCGGACGGAATTTCTATATTCTTACCACCCATTTAATGTCCAGATTTCCAGACGAAGTCCAACATGTTTCGGAAAAAATTTAAATTGAAAAATTAGAAACATCTCGAACCCGGTGGGAAACGAACACACGACCCGTCGATACATACATTGCTACCATTAGACCAACGGGCCCGCCATGTAAACAATTAAACGCAATTTACAGAAGTTTCGTCAAGTTTATCATATTAATTGTAGCTATGCAGTTAACTCGTTCTAATAAACTTACATCCATTGTAATAATATATATTTCACAATAATTTAAATAATTTAATTTTTCATACACAATAAATAGCGCAATCAGTGGTTTAATTTTACCCCACTTTTTATGTTTGAAAAATACAAACACATAGCAGTGATCAGCTGTCATGCATTCTACTATTTGCCTAAATTTTAATGACACTTTGAATATGTTTGCATTCAAATTTCAAACAAAAAACAAACTAACTCAGTTGTATATCTACCTTTTTAAGTAAAGTAATTTATATTTTTAGTAACGCCATTTTTCTATACATGTCAATATGTTTCAATCAATAAATATTAAGTTAATGAAAACACGAGTAATCAACTCGAGTAACTCAAAGCAATTAATTTGCTTAGACAACATCTTCAGTTGTTTTAGCGATGTCTAAGCCGGCGGTGCTCGTTAATACTTTTGTACGCGAAAAACCTTTGGGCTATTGCGTTGACCCTGTTTCGAAATTTTTTATCATAGTCGAAACTTTATTGGGCTTAAATCGTCTCCTATTAGTGGGGAAGTTAAAAACTGTATGTGTTCTTCTAGGTTACGGTTATTCTGCTTTAATGGTCGTTCTGTTCAATTACATGACATTCGATTATGATTTGTGGGAGAAATTTCCCGTAGCGACAACTATCGATATTATGTCGTTTCTTCTATGCGTTGTTATTAGTTCGGTGTTATGGAAGCGCGTGCGCAACTATTACATAGAGCTGTCTCTATTCGATGCAGAGGTTATGTGTGAGGTGAAACTTTCGCGAAGGTCGATCGGAAATTTGGTGCAGTCCTTACTTTCCTTGATGTGTCTACTCGGTTTCTTTTTGATATCGTTTACCGTACCCAACTCTTTGGCTTGGCTGGGAGCTATAGTCATGCCGATGAAAGTTTTGCACACCGTCGATTTTCATTTCACCGGCCATTTGTTAAGCCTTCTCGTTCCTCGTCTTCAGTTAATCAATTATTTCTTGGAAGATTTATATCCACAGGACGAAATATGTAAACGATGTCGCTTGGATAAAGCTATAAAGATTAATACGAGACAAAAGCGGGAAATTAGCATGATTGTTGATTATTATAATAGAATCATAAAAGCATACGACATTTTGAATGATGCAATAAAATGGCAGGTAAATAATAATAATAAGTTAAGGCAGGTAAGTTCAAATTATATGTAGACTAGATGTTAAGATGCATTTGTTATGAAGAAATAAATATTTTTTTTTCATTTCAGCTTCTTTTTATGATTATCGAAACATTTTTAATAGCTTTAAGGGATTTATATTCCATAGCTTTGCTGCTATTTTTTGTAAAGGAAGTAAGTATCGAAAATGTAGGTACTAAATAATCATAAGTACGAGGAAATATTCAGTACTAATACTCGTAATACATACCGATTTCTTCTAGTTGAATGTTGATGGTATTCTCCTGATGCTGAATATTTTGACAGTGAGATTCGTCCCAATGCTCTTGGTGTGTGTAACTGGTGATAATTTACAAAAGGAGGTTCTACATTTACAGGAATTGCTTGCGTGTCGGCTGTATGAAGGGCGTTTAGGTGAAATATTCATTTGTAGTTGTAATTAAAAATATTCTCATAAAAAATATTATCTTATAGAGAAAAACCAGAGAATTTGATTTTATTATGTTAGGCAATGGACATGAACGTAATGTCAATTTGTGTGTTTACTGATAGAATTATTAGTGAAAAAAAATACTTTTATCTTTAGGCAAGCATATTGTGATCAGCCTTCTATATAATGCCTGATCATTTTTGACGGTCTCGTTAGTCTAACGATAGTAAAATTAACGAGTCATGGGTCCGATTCCCACCACGTCATACATAATAACATAATAAATGGATGATAAAATTGAAATACCATACACTATTGAAAAAGCCGTAAAGTGTTATTTCGTTTTCACTTAGGACAGCGCACCCCGTATTGATGCTATATGTCTGGAATGTTAACTTAACATTGAGTTAACCCTATACTTATCGTACTCCTCTCTATATAAAAAATAAGTTTTCTTTCGGAACCCATACGTGATCAACAACTGGGCCTCGGAGGTCTCCAACGGATGAAGGATGCATGAATTATTTAATTGGTTACAGATAACCGTGATCGAAGGCCCGCCCAAGCCCTCCTGACATTGACGGAGGCACGCAATCTGTCATTCTCACTTTTCCACATGTTCAACATCGACATATCACTGCCATTTAAGATGTTTAGCCTACTTATCACATATCTCATCATTCTGCTACAGTTTGAAAAAGTAAACAGAACATCCTAGGGGACATTATAATAGTGATGTTCTTTTGCTTTACAAACACTAGTCTATATTCCTTTATAGTAGTTTTTATTATTGTAAACCAATCCTGTGGTGTTTATAGTTAATAAAGTTTAATAAACTAGTTAACTGATAACTTATATTAAAAATCTATTGGTCAAGATAAATTAAAATTCTATTTATCTACAGCGCTGTAGATGCTGGATCAAGTCCCGCCCAGGTCATTAAATATTTTTAACTTTAAACAGATTCTCAATTAAATAATGCACTTATGTAAATGTGTGTGTAATGTTGTGTAATACATCAATTAAAGCAGTTATTTAAAAACTTAAATGTTAAGAATAGTTTAATAATTTTTTTTAAGATCTTTCTAAATACCTACTAAAATTTACGCAAGTAGAACACATTTAAAAAAAACACTGTAACGGTTTAAACGCGATATATATATATATATTTTTTTATTATTGTTTTATTATTTATAAAACACACCACAGAAAATATATTAGTTAAACTTATTTGAAAATGATTTTTAACTTCGGCCCGACGTTTTGGATGCTTTGCAGCAGCCGTGGTCACGGGGTGTCTCCCCAGTTAAAAATCATTTTCAAATAAGTTAAACGAATATATCGCGCTTTAAACCGTTAAAGTGTTTCATTTAAAAGATCTTTCTTTCAGTGGGCAACTTGATTTTCGTATATCGTTTAATCTACGGTAACTGTATGTGCATTCTTTGTGTGTAGCAATGTGTATTATGGAATTATATCTTTATTATCTGCATTGTTGGTTATTCTTTGTCTCTATAATAATAAATTAACAGCATTATGTACGAGTCGAAAGCATAAGTTAAATATATAAATATTTGTTGTATACATCCAGGTTGATAGCCATTCTTGAATATTTTAAAATACTTCAAACAAATTTATAACATGCTATTAGAGTACACATTTTAAAGTCTTTTATACTAGCTGTGCCCGCGACTTTGTTCGCATGGAATAGTGACTTGGAGTAGAATTTTTAATTATTCAGGCCGTTTATTAATTTATGAAAGGGCGCATTTAAGATTTTTCCACGACTTCCAAACAAACTTTCATCCCCCTTTTCAACCGTTATCAAGCCTTATTTGGCATTAAAACCTTTCTCAGGCTCTAAAATATCTGTGTATTAAATTTAATTTAAATCAGTTCAGTAGTTTCGGAGTTAAAGCCGGACAGACAGACAGACAGAATTACTTCCGCATTTATAATATTAGTATAGATATAGATAATTACTGCGCAAAAATAGGTTAATAGTATTCCTTCAGAAACCGTAACAGCTTCATTGGCCTGGTACTTAAATGCTCTAAAAATGCCTGAAACGTTAAAATTCCATAAAAGGGTCTGCGGCCGGCGATCCCAGATCCTTTATTGAGGTTTTTGTTGACAAGGCTCTTGAACGTTAAAATTTTCAATAAAGATACCTTTTAACTTCTCTCTTAAGCTTTATACAAGATGTTTAGGTCATTATCTATAAATCAATTGGAAAATGTTGCCATAATGATCCTATCTCGAATCCCAGGGACACTTAAATTTCGGTCGGGCTGGGCACAGAAGCTTGATCAACCAAAAGAAATATATCTGCTGAATACACCATGTAACCGCCTCTGTAGCCAAATGGTTAAATGTATTGCCTAGCATTGCGTTGAGGGCGAGAGGTCCTGGGTTCGAATCCCACGGAAAAAAAATGGTTACGGTCGGGCAGGGCACAGAAGTCTCATCAACTACTTGCCCGTTAAAAGAACGGATCAATGAAACAGACACAGAAGTATGTTCGCCCCATTTCACACTTTTTTTATACACCATGTAACTTAAAGTTATACTAGATTTTAATTCAACAATTTACAAACTTATTGTATAACTCTAGAGCGCTGGTGTTACACTTAAAGAAACATTTTTAATTAAAAATGAAAGTTTTAATTACCTTGTATATGTATTGTACTGATATAAAAATGATGATATTTTGTTTCCTAATACAATATTTTTCTTGACGTTAAAAAGCATATATTTATTAAATAATAATATCTACGAGTCCGAAATTTATTATAAATATATTATAAATAAATGTATTATCGTCTGTACGAAAAATCATGACTGTTAAGGCGGTCTTCAGATCGTTAAGCCACTAAAGGCCTGGCGAGGGGCCAAGTTATTCTTACAAAAAGTTCATCAATCAATGAATTACGCTCTTTGAAAATTGATTTCAAATAGAACACGAACGCGTAGCGTTGGTGTTAATATTTGTATTACGAGTACATTCACTCCAGTAGTTTAACTTTATTTGATTAATTTATTGAATAACGTCGTGTCATAAATATGCTGATATAATATTATTTTGGATAAGTACTGAAGCTCAAGCTTTAAATTCTGAGAATCGGCGCACAACTTTTAAATAAGGATGCAACAGGAAAAATCCCAAGGGTTTAGAAAGATTTTCTTGAACTAAACTGAGAAATACTTACTTACTTATAAAAGCTGGAACACCATCATGATGTTCCAGCTTTGAAACTGTGAGGACAACTTACTACGAAGTTAATCTGTTTCTTTTACAAGAATACTTTGTTGTGAAGAAAAATATTTTTATTCTCAAGTCCCCAAAACCTTCCTCAAACTCATAGGTAAAGAAACAAACAAAACGACTTTCTTTATTTGTCTTCTGTACTACTTCGCAAGTAAGTCACAAATGTTGTTGATAATTATTACAGATATATTCACGCAATTTTTTATTCATCAGATTGTTATTTGAATAACGTCTCTTTGAAGACAGAATGGTAAATCTCAGCTAAGTGTTTCGTTTATACGAAATTTTTACTGCTTTGTAACGAAGCGATCCATTACCTAGAAATAATGAAATTCTCAAAGATTGGAAGATGCATACTTGCATACAGTAGGACTAGTATTATTAATTAGACATATTTATGGGTGAAATATAAAAAAAAAACGTAACGTAGACAGATATAAAATGTATGAACACAAATATTTTTTTTTTTTTGTATAACTCTTTCATTAAATTCTAAATTACTACATACTTATGTATATGCGTAAGAATTGAATTTGTCACGGAATAACTTCAATTTAAATATAATAGATGTTTGTAATTAGTTTTATGGTGTAAAATTATATGAAGCATAGTTGAGTTTTTTACTCTATAGGTTATTGCTATGGTACTCGCAACCTCTTTTATTGGCCAAATAATAGCTTTCTCCTTATTTATTGAAGTTTTTTTTTTATGGTCAGATCAATATTTTTATTTTATAACATACCAGTCTTATAAAATGTAATTTTGTTGCGAACTATTGCTTCTAAACCCGAAACATACTTACCCACTAAACGTTTTTAAAGTAAATACATGTCCCTTCTAATTGTGTAGTAAGTTACGTATACTTCAATCGTTTTCGATCAGTAAACACTTAAGTTACTAATATTTATCTTTCTAATAGCTACGATTTAGCGAGAATTCGGACATCTACGAGAATAAATTGCCGTAATCAGCCTGAATTTGGAAACGTACTGGAATCGATTGGAACAAGAAAGATAATAAATAACGAAGATGGTAGAGATACTGTTGACGTGAGCGACAACATTGAGCTATTTGCAGGTATTTTATTTATGTATTTTTACATTGTACATTTGCTTCACTATCAAGTTTAATTTTAATTATTTAAACCATACAATCATTACCATTTCATAGAGATAATTACATTTTATTTTAGATTACACATTAGGCGGGAATCGAACCCACGACCACAGCTTACCATGCTGTTATTTTATTAATTGAAATGGTAATATTTAATTCGTTTCTAATGAACATTGTAGATATAAAGAAATCTAATTGTACTTTGTATATGACATTTGATGTTCAATTCTAGGACATTTAGTATTTCTCGACCTCGACATCTTAATTACTCAGTAATAAACGAGGGTTAGCAGTGGTAAACTGAACTAAATATATTTTCCTTAACTTACCCCGAAGTTCGAGCACATTTACGGGCTCGTTCAGAACTTTGAAGATAGAGTTGGGACTCTCACTTGTGAAGACAATTACCAAGATGACCGGTATACAATATATTGCTTTATTCAAGTAATTACTTGACGTTTAAGATTCGAAAATCAAAAATAAATTGAAAAAATTTTCGACTCGGACTTGAACCAGCATCGTCAGCTTTCGTGCTGTAGGTCAATTGGTAGAGCAATTATTTTCGATTTTTAAATTATATAGTGCCTTCATGTGCAACAACATGTAAAAAAATAATAAAGTTTTCAAAATTTAAGATTCGTTTTCAGAACTTAGAACTATATATTGGTCAAAGATAGATCACGCTGAAGTTTAATCACTGTATTTTGGCGAAACATTTTAATCGCTCGCATATACACGTCCATTTGCTGAATATTTATTTTTGCAAACAAACTCGTCATATAATTTATAGCTATATATCTATATTTTACAGCTAAAGCCTTCCTCAGGAAATGCTCTCACCAACACAAAAAGAGCTTTTCAATTCAAACTAGTAGTTCCTGAGATTAGCGTGTTCAAACAAACAAACGAACTTTTTAGTTTTATAAGATAAGTATAGATATCGTTAATTATATTACACTTAAAAATAGCCTGGGCCGCGTCGCCGTGTTAACAAATACAAAACGGTTACATGGTTCAAAAGGTATGGGTTTGAAGTATTCCGCGGCGCTGTACGTCGATCTAATACACTTTGTCCTGTATGTACCTATTCGTTAACTTGGCTAAGACCCCTGGCAATATATAAGTAATTGGACTCCAAACCATATTCAAATACAGAATCGAGAAAACAATGGAAAAGTTCAAATATTGATCTTTGATCTCACCTCTGCGGAGATTTGTGTTTCCGTCAGAATATATAATAAGTAGAGATGGACTGAACGGGTTTTTAACCGAAGCCGAAATTAAGCCGGATCTCTTCATATTGGCTGCCCTGTTAAACGTTCTTTTGTCATTTG